TTTTAATGTTTTGATCAAGTGAATTACTTTTTTTGGGGGTGCTATTAGAGTTGGTTTGTATAGGTAAAAATATATTCAGATGCTTATCGCTTATCAAGACCAATTAGGAAAGTGAAAAGGCAGGCCACACAATGGAAGAAGATATTTGTAATACATATAACCAATAAAGGACTTTTATATATTCAGAGTATATAAAGAACTTTTATATAGCAGTAAGAAAAAAAAGGGAAGCCCATTTTAAACATGGACAAATAATTTGAATAGACAAAAAAGAAGATAGTGTAATTATCAGTAAACTTTACAAGTGCTCTACTACCTTAGTTGTCAGGAAATGCTAATTAAACCACATCCTAGTTAGAATGGCTAAAATTAAAAGAGTAACAATACAGGCATTGGTCAAGGATTTGAAATACTAGGAACTTTCATACACTGTTGACAAAAGTGTAAATTGGTATAGCCCTCTTGGAAAGCTGTTTGACAGTATGTCCTGAACTTGGACATATTTGTATTCTCCTTGATGTATAGCCGTCCAACTTAAAGCATACATAAAAGACATGTTGAGAATGTTGATAGAGCATTACATGTAATAGTCAAAAACTGGAAACTGTCTGGATGTCCACCAATAGTAGAATGGATAAATTATGGATTATCTGTGTGGTGTATACATTCACGAGATACCTCTACAGCTCTATTACACAGTGTGTAGTCTACTGATCAGCTGCTTCTGCAACACCTAAGAACTAGAAATTCAGGTTAGGTCTCACTGAAGATACACTAAATCAAAATCCACATTTTAACATGATCTCCAGGTTATTCTTTTGTTGAAATAAAAGTTGAACAGCACTGCATTAGTAGTTCAGTGGTTCTTGATTTTGGTCCTGCAGCAGCAGCACTTGGGAAATGATATGAAATGCAGCTTCCCAGGCCCCATCCTCAGGCCTGCTGGTGCAGACGCTCTGGGGGACCTAGCAATCTCCCTTAACAGCCCTCGAGATGATGGGGATTCAAACTGATGTTTGAGAATCTGTTTAGAACTGCAGTTCCAAGAAGTTCACAGGTGATCCCTGCTGGAAAACACAGTTTTGAGATTCACTGCAAGATTAGCCTAACCTTCTGTAGAGGTCTAGAAAGAAATTATTTTAAGGTTTTGCAGGCTATATATAACCTCAGCTGCAGGCTCAATTACTTTGAAAGCCATAGACAATATGTTAATGAGCAAGTGTAGGTGTTACCAGTAAAACCTAATTCACAAAAAGCCTGCAGACTGAATTTGGCTTATGTACTTTGGGGGGACTTGTGTTCCGTAGTAGTAATGATAAGATTTTTTAATTTTTTAAAATTTTGTTTATTAAGTATTTTTATTGATTATACTATTACAGTTTTCCCCATTTCCCCCCTTTATCCTCTCTCCACCCTGCTCTCCCAACCCTCCAGCATTCCTCCCCCCTTAGTATGTCCATAAGTTGTATGTATAAGTTCTTTATGAGTCCTCTGTTTCCTATACCATTTTTTATCTTTCCTCGTCTATTTTTTGCCTACTAATTATGCTTCTTTTCCCCTGTACCTCCCCCCCCCCCCCATCTCTCCCTTCCCCCCTCCCCACTGACCTCCCTCTGTGTGATGTCCATTTCTCCTATTCTGTTCCTGTTCTGGTAGTTTGCTTGGTTTTTGTTTTCATTGTTTTTCTTTTGTTTTAGGTTAATTTGTTAATAGTTGTGAGTTTGTTGTCATTTTATTGTTCATATTTTTTACCATCTTTTTCTTAGATAAGTACCTTTAATGTTTCATTTCATAAGGGCTTGGTGATGATGAACTCCTTTAACTTGACCTTATCTGTGAAGCACTTTATCTGCCCTTCCATTCTAAATGAAAGCTTTGCTGGATAGAGCAATCTTGGATGTAGGTCCTTGCCTTTTATGACTTGGAATACTTCTTTCCAGCCCCTTCTTGCCTGTAAGGTCTCTTTTGAGAAATCAGCTGACAGTCTGATGGGCACTCTTTTATAGGTAACTGTCTCCTTTTCTCTTGCTGCTTTCAGGATTCTCTCTGTATATTTGATCTTGGATAACTTGATGATGTGCCTTGGCGTGTTCTTCTTTGGGACTCTCTGGGACTCCTGGACTTCCTGGAAGTCTATTTTCTTCACCAGATTGGGGAAGTTTTCCTTCATTATTTGTTCAAATAAATTTTTCAGTTTCTTGCTGCTGTTCTCTTTCTGGCACCCCTATAATTCAGATATTGGAATGTTTCAAGTTATCCCAGAGGTTCCTCAGCCTCTCTTCATTTTTTTTTTATTCTTGTTTCTTTGTGCAGATCCAGTTGGATGTTTATTTTTTCCTTTTGTTCCAAATTATTGCTTTGAGTCCTGGTTTCCTTCTTGTCACTGTTGGTTCCCTAAACATTTTGCTTTATTTCATTTTGGGTGTCTTTCATTTGGTTTTTCATTTTTTGACTAAGCTCAATCAGTTCTGTGAGCATTCTGATTACCAGGGCTTCAGATTTTCCATCAGATAGGTTGGCAGTGTCCTCATCGCATAGTTCTGTAGTTTTGCTGTGTTGTTTCATTTGGGCCATATTTTGTTGTCTTGGCACACAGGTCAGGTTGTTCTGGTTGATTTTTTTTTAGATTCCTTGGTTGTTGGAGTCTCATGCAATTTGACTTTCTGGCATTTTTAGTTGTTTTTTGATTTTAGATTAGTGGTTATCCTCCTTTTGGTTGTTCAAGGAAGCGAAGGATTTCTACCTATGCTTCTATCTTGGCCGGAACCGTGATGATAAGATTTTGAGTACGCACAAAACATGGATGAATGTTGAATAAAAGGCATATGCAAAAAATACATACTTCATGAGTCCATTAATTCTGAGTTCAAAAACAGGCAGAATAAATCTTTGCTCTTAGAAGTCATGAGAGTGGCTGGAAATAGGGGTGATAATGTCTGGTGGAAAGCACAAGGTAGCTTTGTGGGGTGCTCATAATGTTCTAAGTGATTTAAAACATAAAAATGCTACAATCAGTAGATAGGTTATGTGTGAATTTTAAAAATAAAGTTTCAAAGTCAGACTTCTAGGGGACAAATGGATTGTTCTTCTTTGCCGTCTAGGGTCTTTTGGATAAATTTGAGAAGCACTAAGATACATAGACTTTCCTTTGTCTTTTAAAAAAATTTAATCCCCCAAATCCTCTGGCATGACAGTTGTGAGTGAATGTGTATCCCAACTCTGTGTTTCTTCTCACTAATTGTATTCTTTCTTGTTATTTTCCTCCTATCTTAACTTGATATGTCTTAGTATATCCATGCTTTATTTACCTTTTTCCTAAGAGTGGTCCTTTGTAATACTCTGTTGGTTGTCAGTGTATTAGTGATGTTCCTAGATGCTTCCTTTAGGGCTCTAGTTATTAAACTCTTTGGTGCTAGCGTCTGTTTACACTCTTAAAAACTGAGGACCCTGAAAAGCTTTTGTTTGTATTAAAAGCTGTGTTAAAAATCAACGCTGAGCAATTTTTAAAAATTTATTAATTCACTTAAAGATAACAGTGATAAACCCATTAGGTGTTAACATGTATAACATTTTAGCTATATTTCCCAAAACAATAGCTTTATGGGAAGAATATAATTGTTTTTCCATTTTCTGCCTATCTCTTTAATGTCTTTAATGCCTATCTCTTTTAATGGCTTAAAAGATAGTTGGATTCTCTTCTCTGCTTTGGTGTTCAGCCTTTGTGATGTATTTTCTTAGCCGAAGTATATGAAGAATATCAGGCCTCATACAGATGTGTAGGTGGAAGAGGGAGAAGTGTTTTAGTAGCTTCTCAGATTGTAAATATTCTTTGATTCACACCAAAACACAAATAGCAGCTGTTTTTTAATATAAATTGCACCAAAAAATCTGCAACCACATCAGTGAACACTTCCCATTCTATTACATTAAAGTTCATTAAACTATCTTGCACTATGATTCCTCTTTTATCCTTCAGTGTGATTTTAAACATCATTTCATTGGTCATTTGGAAAATACTGGTTTACTAAGTAATGCAGAGCTCCTGAATTGTTGACACACTTCATTATACAATACCAGAAACTCATATTTGTAGATATCATCACTGATATTTTTTAAGTATTGGGAACCTCACACATACAAGAATTCAAATTTTCATTCAAAATTTTGACTTTGTTTTTGGCAACAAATACTGTTAGTTATGTCCTTGACATTAATTTTTGAGAAAATGTTTGAGTCTGAGTAACCATAGTTTCTTGGTCAGTGGTTCTTTTAAATAAAAATAATGATTCATAAAAAGAATAGCTTGTTCAGCTTATAAATCAGTCACACAAAAGGTTTTCCTCTAGCCAGAGTGGCTTTGTGTGTACACACAATAGGGACTGTATTTTTTGGACTATAAGATGCAACCCTCTGCATTTAGTAGAAGATGGGGGTGTGTCTTATAGTCTGAATGTGGTTTATGACTTGCTGTGGGGGAGGGGTGGCGGAGAGGGGATCATAGGTTATTAAATCTTTTACCACATTTTTGCTTCAAAAATGTTTTTCCTATTTTCCTCTAAAACCTAGGTGTGTCTTATGGTCTGGTGTGTCTTATAGTCCTAAAATACGGTACTTTTTAATGCTTCATCAAGGACATTAGGTGAAATTGGCCTTGTGGTTTGAAAGCGTGTGCACCTGGCAGTATAGAATATAATGGCTAGTGCAGTTAAGAGCTACTGCCTTAATCCATTTTATCCAGTAGTGATCTTTCTCTACCAGTGCTGTTGTCAGCACAGTGGAAAGTTGTGTTATAAAAATAGCTTTAACGCTGGGGCCCACAGAGATCTATAGACTACACTTTGAACCCTGCTGTAGGGCTTTATCCTTAAAGTACATCATATATTGCACCTACATGTGTTAGTTACTAAAATAATGTGTCATGAGAGGCTTTTAAAAAAAGCATGTTTGAAACATACTTTAACACTTTCCTTCTTTTGAAGATGCTTATGCTTTCCTTGTAGGAATGTATCCTATCAGGTATAATGTCAGTGAATGGAAAGAAAGTTCTTCACATGGATAGAAATCCATATTATGGAGGAGAAAGTGCATCTATAACACCTCTGGAAGATGTAAGTATTGGAATAATTAATATGCCTTTTATACTTTGGTCTTTTACTTTACTCTCATCTTTACTCTTTAGAAGTATTAATTTTTTATTAACTGGATTAGCTGTAGTATCGTAATTTTTAGGAGCTCCTTATTTGGGGCTTGCGGAAATTGAAATTGAAATTGATGATGACCTAATGTGCCAGGCCCAGTGCCAGTGCTTTCCTTGTGGTCTAATTTATTTCCCCAGTCACTCAAAGAAAGATTTTTATCCTCATTTTTTTAGACAAAATAGTCTCAGTGGGGTTAAAAATGACAGAAATGGGTTGTGCACCTAGGTTATATGACTACAAAGCTTAATTCCTTTTGCTATACATGTGCCCTATTCCTACTCTTTTAGAAAAGAGCACATGAAGCATTTGCAAAGTGTATTTTACTAAAGGTATTTATTTCTCTAGGTAACATTTGTTCAACATCCACATGTATGGATATGAACTGTACTGTGTTTTTTAATAGGCGATGTGTATATATCAATTATTTCTTCAATAATGACTGATGAAATAAGCTTAATATTTATATAAAAACTTTTAAAAAAATACTCAAGATATACATAAATGTTGAAAGAGAACTACTGAATCAGAAACTTCCATCTGGATTTAACAGTTAACATTTTGCTGTGTTTGCTTAATGTCTTTTTGTATTACTCATGGAACCATTGACGTTAATAGCGTGATCTGAATATTTCAGAATTCATCTGCTAAGAGTAACATTCTCCTACATAGTACTGTTATGACATTTAAGAAAATTAATGATATCCAGACCATATTCAAGTTTTCCTGTGATTTCCAAGAATGTTGTTGTTGAGTAGTAGTGTTACTGTTTTCAAGCCAGTTTAAACATTGCCTTTGGGTTGTTTCTCCTTATTTTCTTAACCTACTGAAGTCTGTCCACTTTATTTCTTTTTTCCTTTGAAAAGTCCAGACTAGTTTATAATAAAATATTTTTGGGTGCTTCACATTGCATCACATCAGCATGGCTCCACTGTTGATGATAGTAAGTTTGACCCTGGTAAGATGATTACCACCAGAACTATTTATTGTGAGTAATCTGTGGAGTACCATTCCTTCCATGCCTAATACAGTTATTAGTTGATCTTCAGTAAGATGAGTAAGCTGTCTTTTTTTCCTTTCCTTTTTCTTGTGTGAATATATGCAAGGATTTTTTTGTGAATATATGCAAGGATTTTTATTAAGTAAATATGTACCCACTTTGCTTATTCTGTGCTACCTTGGCAATATGTAAATTTGAATATTCTCAAAGACAAGCTTACACCTAGAGCTTCTACTTATACAAATTATAAATGAACTGGAACTAATTTTGTCTTTTTTGATATGGAGAATCCAAAATTTATTTTTAACTCCTTATGTAACTACAGAAGCAAAATTAAGCTTTAAACTATCAAAGCTTCTGATAGCTTTCTATTCAGGAGAGAATGAGTTTAAATGATTTCGACAAATAAGAAGGGAAGTATCTGTAGAACTACTGTGTTATTGACAAATTGTTTTGTAGTCTTGCTTTTCTGCTAATAAAAACAAACACCACCTTTGCAATACTTATTTTAGCATTTATTAGTTTAGTATATATATTATTTAGTTTACCTGGGTATTATAACTTCACTGACAGTTTTATATGATTAAAAATGAAATGCCCTTGTTATACTTTACCTCATGTAGTGGTATTATTATATCAAAATCATCTCATCAAGAAAGCAGTTGCATAGTATATTAAAAGTTAAATTTTGTTACATTATGGCTATTTTTGTTTTGGTTTCAGTTATACAAAAGATTTAAAATACCAGGAGCACCACCAGCATCAATGGGGAGAGGAAGAGACTGGAATGTTGACTTAATTCCCAAGTTCCTTATGGCTAATGGTAAATAATCCTAATTTAAATTTATGACAATCTGATTTTAGAGTAGAAACTAAGTCCTGACGGTATTATTCCAGGTATGTGCAGATGCATTTTTTTTAATGGTTACAGCATGGTGAGTAGTATGGTACATTAGAAATGTCAAGAATAAATAAAAATGCCTGGCTGGTGCAGCTCAGTGGATTGAGCGCAGGCCTGCGAACCAGAGGATCGCAGTTCGATTCCCAGTCAGGGCACATGCCTGGGTTGCAGGCCATTTCCTAGCAGGGGATGCGCAAAGGGCAACCACACATTGATGTTTCTCTCCCTCCTTCCCCTCTAAAGATAAATAAATAAAGAAATAAATCTTTAAAAAGAATACATAAAAATGGAGGGAGCCCTGGCTGGTATGGGTAAGTTGGCTGGAGCATTGCCCTGTAAACCAAAAGATTGTAGGTTTGGTCCCCAGTCGGGGCCCACAGGGCGCGTATGAGAGGAATCCGGTCCATGTTTCTCACGTTTTTCTCTCTCTCCTCCCTCCCTTCCCATCTCTTTAAACTCAATTACTATGTCCTTGGGGGAGGATTTAAAAAAATGGAGGGAAATGGGTTGACTTACTAATTATTGGTTCTGAAGAAAGAAAATTATAATGTGGCACAAGACGACATACATGTCAAAACTGTAAGCATTTATAACAGGCTTTCTTCTGATGCTTTGGTGGCACTTAGATAATTTGGCCTTCAGAAGTAATGTCTTCCTAGTTTGTAGGCTTTTCAAGTTATTTTCTAAAATATTTTTTCTCATTTTTATTAAGAGGAACTGAGTATCTTTTGAGATTGGTGTGATATTGTATTGTCTTTGTCTCAGATAACATTGAAAAACTAAATTGTTAGTATAATGTCCACTAAAATAAAGTATGTGCCACCACCCTTCCCCCTTATTTTGAGTTTATATTCTGTAATTTTAAAAAATTATTGATTTTTTTTTTAGGGGGGAAAAGAGAGAGAAAAGACACTGACTTGCTGTTTCACTTATTTATATACTCATTGATTGATTCTTGTATGTGTCCTGACCAGGGATCAAACTTGCAACCTTGGCATGTTGGAATGTTGCTCTAACTAACTGAGCTACCTGGCAAGGGCTGTAATTTATTTTAATGCAAAGGTCTTATTTGAATTTTTTCTGAAATAATTTAATGTTAACTAAATTGTTTTGAGGTGAATTGTAAACTCAGAATTTTTTAATATAAGTAATACAGTTCCTAAAATTAGAAAACAGATAAACAGAAAGGAAATAAAATTTGTATAACCTGCCAGGCTATATATATATATATATTTTTTTTGTTTTGTTTTGTTTTGTTTTGTTTTTCTTTCCAGTATGTTTTTCAATAGATAAACTGAATTTCTGAGAGAGGGTTTGTGTGATAAATCTCGTTGTATACTCCTTGAAGTGTATTACGAAGGATAAAGGGAATGAATTCATAAGGCTTTTTCCTTTATATTGCTAATCACCAGTAGACTGTGAGATTGTCCCTTTCTCAGTATCTTTACCAAACTCAGATACTCAGTTTCGTTTTTGTCATGTTATTGTACTAAAAGACAAAATAATGGATTTTTAAAGTATTTATTAGAGGGTGAAATGATTTCCAGGTGTTTATTAGCTTTTATATTACTTTGGTGAACTGTTTAGCCTTGTGCTTTGCACATTTTCCTGTTGAAGTTCTGTGTTTTTTCTTACTGATGTAATGAGCTCTTTATAAAGGCTATTAAATCCCCTTTAAAAATATGTTGAAAATATATTTCCCAGTTGTGATCGGCCTTCTATATTACTGCTGTATGTGTGTGTGTGTGTGTGTGTGTGTGTGTGTGTGTACAAAAGCTTTTAAATTTCATGGAGTCATTTAGGTTGAGCTTTCTTCCTTTCATTATTTTTTATTTGCAAGGCTATGCTTAAAATTTTTCTCTTGCCTCAATGTTATAAAGATACTACTAATACTTTAGTTTTATTTTTATATTTTTATTTTTTCACCTATTTTCTATTATAAATTTTCTGTTTTATTATCCTGTTGTTTGAGTAGAGACTGAATTTTTTCAAAATGGCAAGTGAGTTGACCCTCAACACGATTTATATTTTCCACTTTGATTTAAACTTTTATAATATATTAAGTTCTTATATGTGGGTCTACATTGTTTTTCACTAATATGTGCAGTAATTAATGTAACTGTACAGTGTACTTTAACATCTGGCTGCGTAAGGCTCTTTTTATTATTTCATGTTCTTAAAGAACCTTTTTATTTTGACTAAGTGTGTTCTTTCAAATGAGCTTTAAAATAATTTTATTTGGTGTATAAAAGCATGCACAACTAACCAGAACAATAAATCGATGTTTCTTTCTCCCTCTCTCTCTAAAATCAGTTTTTAGGAAAATAGAAATAAAAGTACATTTACTGCCCTGGCTGGTGTAGCTCAGTGGATTGAACACAGGCCTGTGAAGCAAAGGGTCACCAGTTCGATTCCCAGTCAGGGCACATGCCTGGGTTGCAGGCCAGGTTCCCAGTCCCCAGTAGGGGACATGTGAGAGGCAACCACACATTGATGTTTCTCTCCCACTCTTTCTCCTTCCCTTCCCCTCTCTCAAAAAATAAAATATTTTTTTAAAAAGTACATTTACTAATACTAATGGCTTCCCAGTGTTTTCTTAGCATTGTCTAGTAGCTCCTACAAAAAGTCCTCAAAGTCTTATTTTATTTTTATTTATTTATTTTTTACCAATACAAAATTTTAATTCACAAAAGTTTAATGTGAAAATGTACGAGACTCAATTTTTATATTGTAGTAAAACAGGAGATGTGGAGAGGGGACTCAGAAGCCGTTGGTTTCTTTGGTGAACATGGTCATTCTTTATACTCCGTGCCAAGGCTTCTGACACGATACTGGTGCCTCGTGTTACCACCGTTCCAGTATTGTTCTGTTGCCCGCTAGTTGCCATCTCCACTCATTCATCTATCACAAGATTCATAAAGGGGTCAAATCCCCACAAGATTCCTTGGACATGTGTGCCACCATTTAATTTCAATGATAACCACTTCTCCATAATTTTTTTTAGCTTGGGGTGGGCAAGCTTTGCTCGTGGTGTTTATTCAACAAGCTCAAAGATAGCTCCAGAAGGAATTCTTTGTCGCTTACCCAAAATCTTATTTTAAATGAGACAATCAGAATGCATGCCTAGCTGTTAGCATATTTAGAAGTATTTTTTTATAAGGTTTATTTATTTATTTATTTATTTATTTATTTATTTATTTATTTATTTATCTTTAGAGGGGAAGGAGAGAGGGAGAGAAACATCAATGTATGGTTGCCTCTGATGCGTCCCCTGCTGGGAGCTGGCCTGCAGGGAACTTGCTTGCAACCCAGGCATGTGCCCTGACTGGGAATTGAACTGCGATCCTCTGGTTCGCAGGCCAGTGCTCAATCCACTGAGCTCTACCAGCCAGGGCATATTTAGAAGTATTTTTTAATGTTTCAATTTCAAGATTAATAACTTCATCAACTTGCTTTTGTAAAAGTCACACATAATTATTACAGGTGTGAGATTCAGAATTATAATACTACTTCAAATAGGTTGGGTTTCTTTAAAGTTTCCGTTACATTTTAAAGAGAGGCAACTGAGGCAAAACTTTTGAGGAATTTGTGCTTTTCAGGTTCTTTCCCCCTTCCCTTCCCCCTTCCCTCTCCCCTTCCCTCTTTCCCCCTTACCCCTTTCCCCCTTTCCTTTCTTTCATTAAATCTTCACTTAAGGTATGTTTTTAAATTGAATTTTAGAGAGAGAGAGAGAGAGAGAGAGAGACAGAGTGAAACATCGATTACTTGCTTTCTCTGTGTGCCCCAACCAGGGATCCAACCCACAACCTTTTGATGCACAGGACAGTGCTTCAATCAGTGGAGCCACCTGGGCTCTTTTTTTTTTTTTTAAGTTGATTTTAGAGAGGAAGGGAGAAGGAGGGAAAGAGAGAGAGGAACATTGATTTGTTGTTCCGTTTATTTATGCACTCATCGGTTGATTCTTGTATCTGCCTTGACCAGGGGGTGACCCAACAACCTTGGCCTATCAGGACAGCACTCTAACCAGCTGAGCTACTCTGCCAGGACTATCGCTCTAGTTTTTAAGGGTAGTAGGATATAGGTAACAGTTTGAATTGTGTGACTTTTATAGGTCAGCTGGTTAAGATGCTGCTTTATACAGAGGTTACTCGTTACCTGGACTTCAAAGTGACTGAAGGGAGCTTTGTCTATAAGGGAGGAAAAATCTACAAGGTTCCTTCCACCGAAGCAGAAGCCCTGGCATCTAGTAAGTAATTTTATTTTATTTTCTTTGTTAAGATTTTACAATGGAAAATGAATCTTAGGGATTAAACTTAATGTCCCTTTACATCAACCATCATTCACTCATTCAATCAACAAACACTTACTGAATGTCTGTTATGTGCCAGACAGCATTCTGGGCAGTTGAGAATACTTCAGTGAATGGGGTGCTCAAAATTGTCTACCCTTTCGAAGTGTAAAGAGAGTTTAAATGACCATCTGTATATCATGTAGCTTGTTGCTGGTAAGTCTTGAGCCTACCTAGGTCTAGAAATGCTCTTTTTATTATAATAATTCATAAGAGTTATTTTTTTTTGTTTCCTATGTGTTAGGCTTTGTGCCAGACACACTTCACATTTTCTTACTTGGCTTTTAAAACCACCTTATGGGAAGAGGAAAAAAAAAAAAAACCACCTTATGAGATAAGTTTTTATTTTAATAGAGGAGGAATTTCAAGCCTGAAATCGTGTAGGTGTTTAAGTAGAAGGATGGGAGTTGAAACCCTGGTAGGATTGCTCCAGAGCCTTGTATTTAATCACTGTGCTAAGCCGATCTCCTAGCCTGTGTTATCCAACCTCCTGAAAAAGAAAAGACCTCTGGTCTGGCAAAACCCATCTTCTGATTGGTGGTATTGCTATTCTCCAAAATCTTTATTTTTAGGAATTTCCAGTGAGTATGGAGTGATTTTATTTTTTGCCCTAAATATTTCCTCCATTGGGTCAACCATAGATCCTTGGTTAATGTTTTCTATTCTGATCTCTCTTTTAAATAGTAAACACCCCTAGAAAAGACCTCTGTTCTTTAGAATGTTGTAGTTATTGTGCAGGGCAGTTTGAGAAAGAGCAAATTTGTATAACTATAAAGGGTAGATGAGTTTTATATACTAAATGTTTTAGGAGTTTAGAGGAGGGAAAGGTTTGGTTGGGAGAAGAGGAAAATAATTGATAAATTCCAGTAATTTTATTTTGGCATAAGTGTGGAAAAACATTTTCATTTATTTTGGCAATTTCTCTAACTCCATTTATTTACTTTTTGCTATTAGGGGAGAAAATACTGGGCCTAAAATGTTGAAAGACACTATAGCCAGATACTAAAAAAAAAAACCCACTAACAATTAGTTAGAATTGACAATTGGGGAGGGAAGGGAATGGCTCCTAATTAAATTGAAAGGAGTTAGTTGTGTAACCATGGGTTAGAAAATATTTTAAGTCTTAAATGACAGTGAATTTAATCTAAAAAAGTATTGTCGTAGAAATAGTTCAAGAGTTTGGATATAATCTTTTTAAACAAAGTTTATACTCTTTCCTTTTTTATTCTCTTTGAGCTCTTATTTATATATCATTAAACTTATTTTTAATTATATTTGACATGCAGTATTACATTAGTTTTAGGTGTACAACAAAGTGATTAGACATTTATATAACTTAAAAAGTGATCATCACAGTTAAGTGTAGTACCCACTGGGCACTGTACATCATTACTGCAGTATGATTGAGTATATTCACTATGCTGTACATTATTTCCCCCTGACTTATAATGAGCAGTTTGCACTTCTTAATCCCCTATACCTTTTTTGCCCATCCCCTACCCCCTCCTACCTGGCAACAATCAGTTTGTTTTTTGTATTTGTGTTTTATTTGTTTTTTAGATTCCACATATAAGTGAAATCATACAGTATTTGTCTCTCTTTGATGTATTTTACCTCTGGGTCTATCCATGTTGTAACATGGCAAAATGTTCCTTTTGATAGCTGGGTAATATTCCTGTGTGTGTGTGAGAGTGTGTGTGTGTGTGTGTGCACGCGCGCGTGTGCGCAAGAGAGAGATAATCTGTCTTCCTTATCTATTTATCTGTTGATGGATACCTAGCTCGCTTTCTTGGCTGTAATGAACACAGGGGTACATGTCTTTTGAGATTAGTGTTTTCAGTAGCTTTGGATAAATACCCCAGAAGTGAGATTGCTGGGTCATATGGTAGTCCTATATTAATAGCTTTAACTACCCCTTTGATTTTACAAAAATTGAAGGACTTAACTTTTGGCAGTTCTATTTTTCCCTTTTTAATTTAATTTTTTCAAATATATGAAATGTTTACATGACCTGAAAGTCAAAATTATATTAAAAATATATCTCGTGTGTAATTCTTATTCTTAATTTTTTCACTCCATTCTTTCTAACCTGATAAATAATTTTTACTTGTTTCTGGTTTATCCTTCCTTTTGCAAAAAAAGCTAATATGTTAGTATATATATTTTTAAACTTAGGCTTACTGAAGTATAATATTCATAGAGTAGAATTTACTGGTTTTAGTATATGATTGTATGAATTGTTACCAGTAGCTCACATTCACTGAACATTATGTGCCAGCATGTTTGCACTAAGTACTTCATGTATGTTATTTAAATTTATTTCATATAGTCCTCTACTACAACTCTGTGAGAGGTGGGTGCTATTATCTTTATTTTACAGATGGGAAAACTGAGGTATGCCGGTGTGAAAGAGAAGCACAAAGTAGTGTAACTCCTGCCTGGTAGAACTGTTCGGAAGTCAGATTCATCTGACTCTAGACCCCCGCACTCTTAGTACTGTACTGTATATAGTCTAGAAATATAGTTTATTTATTTTAGTGTAAGAAGGGAGGGAGAAAGAGAGGAAGAGAAATATCCATATATGAGAGAAACATCAATCAGTTGACTCACACACGCCCCCAACTGGGGACCCAGCCTGCACTGCAACCCTGGCACGTGCCCTGACCAGGGATTGAATTGGTGACCTTTCAGCTCCCAGGCTGGCACTCGGCGCACTGAACCACATCAGCCAGGGTTTAAAAAATATTTGAACAAATCACATAGTTTATGATTTTCTTTCTTGGTGCTAAACATTTCTAGTTCCTGAAGTGGTTTTTCATATAATGTGCTCTCTTGATCTCTTGGCCACTTTTGGGGGGGAAATTCTCTGATTTGCCAGACCAGACATAATACTCCAAATGTTGTTTGGTTGGTATCAGTAGGACTGTTACTTACTAGGCAAGTAATATAGGCAATACATTTCTATTAATATAGCTTGCTGCTGTTGGCTTTTTCAAGGAACGGTAGACACTATTGGTTTGTGTGATAGATAGTTCATGGTCCCAACTAAAACCCCAAGTTTCCAGTAAATACTTGTTTTTTGGACAGATGTTATTTTTGTCAAATCAGTGAGAAATGTATATGGCCTCTAGAGTAATGTTAAAATCAAATAGTATGTTCGGAAACGTTTTGAGGAGTTTTCATGAGCAGCTTTGAAGTGTGCCTAGTAAAATCTGTCTTTTATAGACAGAAGATTTGAGGCATCTATTTTATGTGTAGCACCTTGACATCAGCAAGTTACCTTTGATAAAACAGATCTAAGTGAATCCCAGGGCTTGTGGCATTCTGAGGAGCCGTGTGTGCTGCAGCGGCTAGCTGCTCATCTGGAGTTAGGTCATTTGGGTCCTTCGTTAGAATTTTGTGTTGTGTGCTGTCATATCTTAGTTTTTGTGTGATAATAATTCTCCAATTATTTTTAAAATTCTATGGTCATACCTTACACCCGTTAGTTAATTGGGAAGCTTTTATCTTTTCCCTTATTGAAACTGCTCTGGATTTTGTAGCTTTTTGGGGTGGGGGGCAAATAAACCTCTGTACAAGTGAATGAAGTAAAGTCAGATCATTTGCAGTGAAGGTAAGACTACTCAGGGGACTATTCTGAAAAATATTTTTTTCTAATTTTATTTAATTTGAATTTTTTCTTTCTATATGGTATATACAGTATATGAATAAATAAATTTATTTTCTATTTATTTCTACCAGACGTTAATTATATGGATTGAATGTTGAGCACTTGCTTTGTGCCAGGTACCCTTCTAGGTTTGGGAGTAGGGAGGGTTCAACAGCAGGACGAAAGTAAACAGGAAGTGCTTTCCTAATGAAGTTTACATTAGTGGGAGATAAGCTATAAATAAGAAAAAATATGTCATGATGGTAATAATACTGTGTAGAAAGTTGGGAGGAGGAGGGAGTATGGGGGGCAGCAGTTTTCGATAGGAAGGCATAATTATAGAGGTAGCTGTTACAAAAATTATACAGTAGGAACTGTATAATTTGAACTCTTTAAATTTGACTTTCAGAATGAGCACTGGATCTCCAGAATGTTGGTAGTTGCAGTGGTTCTGGTTCTAATGCCATAAGCACTCGTCATGCAGGTCACTAGTTGGCACCATGCATGGCAACACGAAGGGTGGGGAAGCCGCCGGAGCATCTCTTTTTCTGTGACACAGGAGTAACCTGCAGGGCCGATTCTGTCCATCAGGCATAAGGATGAGGGGCGGGAGGGAAGGAAGTGAAAGGAGAGGAAAGGGAAGGTTAAGAAAACCCTACAGATTTTTATTCTGACTTCTAAAAAGCTACGTAATCCCTAGTAAACTGTTGGTGGTAGCTGTAGGTTCCAACAGGCATTGTCCACATATGATGTCTGAGTTACAAGTGCATTGAAGTAGCGACTCGTGTTTCTTTTTGACTGCTTTACTCATACCCCTGACAATTAAGCTTGTGCCTTAATTATCGTGCTGATAAGGTGATAGAATATTTCCTTTTAACCTTACACCTTTTACTGTGTGTACATTCTGTCCATTTTTTAAAGCCGAGTTGTAAATATTTTTTAATGCAGTCAACTGTCATTAATAACCTCATGATCATTTGAATTTTCATTTTTGTTGGTTTCAATTATAGTCTTGTGAAATGTTAAAAATATCAAAACATTAAACTGTCAACAGATATAAAACAAAAGTTTGAGTTATTTTTAAAGCTATTGTTGTTTTTGGAGGTATCTGTACAGTTTAGGAAAGGAGGAAGGAGGAGACTGTAAAACCAGAATAATTTCTTTTCCTTTGCCTGTGTCTTTTTGCCAGCTATATACCAGTTGTAGGAATACTGACTAGTAGGAAGAGTTGAGGATTTATGTGGTAGTTCATAGCTGTCTACTCATCTGCTTTTCAGTGTGCAAAGCAGTGAACTGGTTATTTAGGACTTCATTAAAGTAAGGGACTAAGCAGCATGATCAGTTTCTAAATTTCTTTAAAGTCAGTTTGTTTTTGGTAGCTAAGCTTCTATCCCATTAAATGTTGGAATGTATCTTAGTATACAGAAAAAAGAAAAGGAAGAGCATTTAGAATTTTAGGCATGTGGCTGAGTATCGATCAGAGTAGTTAAAACAATATTCAGCTGGATGCCTTCATAAAAGTTTTGTAAAGTCATGTTTACCTTGTATCTAATAAGAGACATAATTAGATATACTACATTTAATTAATTGTAATTGTACTCGTAATTGTACTGTAAAATTGAAGACCTAACTGATCTTTTGTTAACATGTCAGTTTATTTTAAAGTTGTCCAGACTCTCATACCTTAAATTGCACGTTGCGCTAGAGGAGCCTCAGACAATAATATGGCACATGTAAACTTTTTCTTTCACTCTTTTCTCCAATGTCCTATTGTGAGTGTGTGCTTTTTGAAAAATTCTGTTTTAGGTTTAATGGGGCTGTTCGAAAAACGTCGCTTCAGAAAATTCCTAGTATATGTTGCCAACTTCGATGAAAATGATGCTAGAACTTTTGAGGGCATTGATCCTAAGAAGACTGCAATGCGAGAGGTGTACAAGAAATTTGACTTGGGCCAAGATGTTATAGATTTTACTGGTCATGCCCTGGCACTTTACAGAACTGATGAGTAAGTTTTTTCATTTTTAGATTTATATATTTTTTGGAATGCTAACCGAATTGGCTCATTTTCCAATGTGAAAATTCTAACAAAACAAATATATAGCAATGTTATCCAATGAAAGAAGAGGCTCTAGTTACAAACTAATGTTAGAACCTTTTAAGTAAAATAAAAAGGTATTGAATAGAAATCACTTCAGAAAAAGACTTTAAATTGAACACAAGAATGAAAACTTGAAGCCCCTTTGTAATATTTATTTCCTCTTCTTTAGCTATTTAGATCAACCATGTTGTGAAACCATTAATAGGATTAAACTTTACAGTGAGTCTTTGGCAAGATATGGCAAGAGCCCATACCTTTATCCACTGTATGGTCTTGGAGAACTGCCACAAGGATTTGCAAGGTAGGAGTTCATATTTAACTTGTTTGCTAAAACCCCACTGATTTTGAATCTTATCTTCAGTGGCAGTATGAGATATGGTTGTGAAAAATGAGACAGGATATGCCCATGAGTGACGAGATGTCTTTTATTTTTATTAAATACATTCAGTGAAGCCACAGATCTATAATAAAAATGTTGAGTTTGATAAATGTATAAACGTGTGTGATCAAAACTCCAGAATCAAGATACAGAAGACTTTACTCCAGAAACTTCCCTTGTATGACCTCATAATCACCAGCCCCCACACCTGTCATTTCTTTGGGGTGTGGGAATCCAGGAGTGGGAATTGCTTGCTGATAGGGCAAGTGTTTGACTTCATACTTCGCACTTCATAAGACACTGTGAAACCACTTGAGGGTAGTTTGTACCATTTTATAGTCAGCAAAGTGTGAGAATTTTAGTCATTCCTTGTCTTTGTTAACACTTTGTGTCGTCAGTCTCTTTAACCACCGTAGTCAGTGTGAAATGCTATTTCATTAAATTGCATTTCTCGGGACTAATATTGATCACCTTTTCGTGAGCTTGGTGACTGTTTGTATTATTTCATGGTGTGATTATTCATGTCTTCTGAACATTTTTAAATATTGGGTTGTCTTTGTGATTTTTGGAATATCTTTCGTATCCTGGCAGCAAGTCTTATATTAATATAATAAATTAATAATTAATTATATTAATTATAAATGTTTTTCTTCCAGTCTGTGACAGAAGTTTTAAATTTTTATATCTTTTTTTACTTTTTTGTATGTTTAGTGCTTTGGGGTTCCTTATTTGTGAAAACTTTGCTTACCTCAGGAGCACAGATGCTCTTTAATGTCTTTTTCTAGAAGCTTTATAGTTTTAGCTTTGTGTTTAAATCTGTGACTCATCTTGAAATAATACTAGTGTTTGGGGTGAGGTAGGGTTATTTACAGTTGTTACACAGTTAGTCTTGAAATCAGGTAGTGCAAGTCCTCAAGTTTGTTCTTTTTCAAAATTTTTTTGGCTGAAGTCCTTTGTGTTTCTGTGTACATTTTAGAACAGGTTGTCAGTTCTAGAAAAACTTGCTTCCTGGGATTTTGATTGCAATTGAATAAATCTATAGATCAGGGGGTAGCAAAGGTCAAAGGGAGCCAAATATATAGTGATGGAAGATTAGACTTTTGTTGGTGGGCACTCAATGCAATACACAAATTATGTGTCATAGAAATGTGCATATGAAACCTGTATGATCTTATTAACCAATGTCACCCCAATAAATTTAATAAAATCTATAGCTCAGTTTGGGGGAGAATTTTTCAATCCATGAATGTGCTCTATGTATTTAGATTTTCTTTGTCAGCAATGTCTTGTAGCTGTCATTGTAGAGATCAAGCACCTTTTTTGTTCAAGTTTATTCAGAGTGTTTGGTTATTTTTATGTTATTGTTAATGAAAGTTTGGTTTATTTCAGTCATTTGCTGTGAATGTACACAAATTAATTGATTTTGTATACTGAACTTGCATCCCGTGACCTTGTGTTTATTAGTTCTACTAGTTTTATAGATTTCTTAGAATTTTCCATTTACACAATTATTTCATCTTTAAACAGAGATTAGCTGCATACAACCTTTGTGTTCCCCTGCCCTCCTAGCCTTTATGCACTGGCTAGTAGCACAAAAATGAAGAACAGAAGTGAGAACGAACATATATTTTATTATTAAATATTTTGTATTTTATTATGAAATATTTTTTCTGTGTGTTGATTGCTAATTCCTCTTTGGATCACATTTTCTTGTTCAATTTTTGATCATATGTTGGACATAATGTACTGATACACTGTAGAGATGCTAGAGTCTTTCTCTGAAGAGTATTATTTTATTTGAATAGGCAGATAAGTTCACTTCGAACTTTGGAGGCTTGATTTTACACTTTTTCGGGGGGGGGTCTTTTGTTTTTGGCTAACTTTTTAGTTTTGGCACAGTAGGTGTGTGGTCCTAGGGCTTTTGTGGGAAGTCCAGGGTGTCTGCTAAGCTTCTCAAAATGGGGAACTTCAAATTTCAGACTCCTTTGTCCTTATGACTGACTTGTACATAGCTGTAATCTCTGCTCAAGTCTTTTTGTTTTTCAGCTGTTACTTTTTGCTGGCTTCCTTGTAATCTCCCTCATGTACAAACTCTTCTGGAGTTAGTTAAGAACTGGAAGAGATTTTTACCGCTTTGGTGGCTGCCATTTTAGGATTTCCCCTGGCAATTTTCATCTTTTAACAACCCCCAATTCTGTGTCATTTTAAGTCAGTAAGATCCCAGAGTTTTTGCTTCTGTTCTAGCTGCCCCATGCAGTTTCAGGGGAAGCTGCATCCATATAAATCACATAAAGGTCTCATCCCCTTGTCTCCTTTCAAGTCTCTTCCCCAGTGTCTGCCTGCCTTTGGTCACTCTGCAGTGCCTCCTGATAGTTTCATTTATATGCAGGAGGATTAGACCCATTTACACTGTTCCTCCATTAGCAGTCTTTTTTTTTGGGGGGGGGTGGATTTAAAGGTAGTAACTGTGAATATGAGACATCACTTCATGGTTTTGATTGTTTTATAATTGATGCTTTAATGACTTAAACTAATGCTTTCTAGAAGGCAAATGAGCAAATATATATTGCCTGTAACTCATTAAGATCTAAGAAAGGAGACTTTAGTAGCTGAAACAATGATAAAGTACCAGCTGTAATTAAAAAAATTTTCTAGGCTAAGTGCTATTTATGGAGGGACCTACATGCTGAATAAACCAATTGAAGAAATCATTGTGGAAAATGGAAAAGTGATTGGTGTTAAATCTGAAGGAGAGGTAAGTAGCTTCTACAATTTCTAAGTACTGTGTTCTTGTGAAGAAAACTTCATTATCTAATAAGTACTTTATTTGGTATGAACATTGATGCTAGATTTCAGACTATATGATTTCTTATAGTAAATTGATATTCATTATGACTGAGGACTGGTTACCATGGCTGGGTTTTAAGGAAACACATCAGTACTGTCTGAAGTGTTGATTGTTGCTTCCTCTTAAGACTAAAGTATGCGTATTGGGTGAGTTCCAAGTGGTAAGTGTCCTGTATGTACTGTAGGTTGGTGCCTGTTTCTCAAGTTTTCATTTAAGTTTATTTGTACCACTTGTACTTTACTGGTTGAAATTAGGCTTGAGCAATACTAACCATTTTATTATTAATAAATTGTTAAAGACTAATGTTAATTATTAACATTTAATTTGGCGTTTAGCTGTGGAGCTACTTAGGGGAAGTTTTGAACAGTGTCTCAAATTTGAATTGAATATAAATCATTGCTAATTTTGTTGAAGGGTATATTCTGATTCAGTAATGACCAGAGGCAAGGCTGTTTTCTTGTAAGCTCTCAGGTGATCCCAGTGATGTTGGTCTGCAAAAACCAGATCATTTCTCTTTCATCAACTCTTAACAAATGGAACTAAAAAAGAAACTCAAGAACTAAGTTTAAAAAAAATATTTTGGTATTTCTGATGTTACTCCATTGGGTCACTAGTTGGCTCTGTGAACTTTCATTACTGTTGCAGATCTTTTGTAACTGCCTACTACTTTCAGCATAATGTTTAGGAAATACAGATGTTTTAATTTGATACCTCAAAGTGCTTTTTACTGCAGTTTTATCCCATTTTTTGTGTCACACACAGCTGCTTCCCCTTAGGAAATGTCAAGGCTTTGATATAACTGGGAAGAAGATTATCATTTATATCTTACAAGTGAAGTTTTACTTAGAGACATAGTGTTAAAATGAGAATAGTGTTGGTTTGTAATAGTGGTACTATTTATAGAATATTTTACTCTTGGTACATTCTCATAAAATGACAGCCCTTAATTACAGTGTTTCATTTAAGGCTCACATTTCTTTGAGATTGCATAGAGCTAGGATTTGAACTCTGGTCTTCTTAGTTCTGAAACTTGTGAACAGTTTTTCTAATACTTGAATAGGATTTAGAATTAATGGATCTGTTCCAGGGAAATGTGTGGAGATTATTGGCAAAGCTAGTGTTAACAGTTATCTATAATTCAGTAAATGTCTGTAGTTAACTTTATGAAAATAATGTTCAAGAGACAGTGGCTTCAGTATACTGACTAAAAACACCATGTACACTGAAGATTATAGTCTATAAAAATGTTTTATTACAGATTGCTCGTTGTAAGCAGCTCATCTGTGACCCCAGCTATGTAAAAGATCGGGTAGAAAAAGTGGGTCAGGTGATCCGAGTTATCTGTATCCTCAGTCACCCCATCAAGAACACCAATGATGCCAACTCCTGTCAAATCATTATTCCCCAGAACCAGGTCAACAGGAAGTCAGGTGAGTTTAGAAGATCAGCAGATGTTTGTAGAATTTTGTTAGATGTCATTTACTTTTGTTTGATCCCAAATTCCTGGTTTTATCTGCTTTATTATAGTGAAGAAGCCTTAGTTTTTAATACATGGGAAACAAAATGTGATAGATCCCCTTTAGCTGAGATCCTGTATCATCACACTGAATGGACAAATTAAATTAACCTAGGAGTCCTGCCTCAGCCTTGCATCCATTGCTTTGGACCTCTGATTCTTCATCTGCAGAACTCAGCGTTTGAGCTGAGATGAGCAGCCCAGTCTCCTGGTTCCAGCTTATGTGCCTGTGAATGTTTAGTTATTAGTGACCTGACTCCACTATTTTGAAATGATAACAGTGTTATTTTTAACGTTATTATTTGTCAACTTAATTTTTATTTTAACACTGTGCTAGAACACAACTTAAATTTCTCTGATTAAGATCAGAATTTATCTTGAAAATTGTAATTCCTAGTCTGTTTTAACCAGTAGTTTTCATCCACCACCTCTTTCTGAAGTCCAAAAATCTTTAATCAAAAATTCAACTTAAAAGGGGTTATTGGTTTTTAAATACAGTTAAAAGCTATCTGTAATTTTTTTTCCATATAGGAATCCAAATCCCAGATTATTACTAAAACGGGACTTGTACTATAGTAATATGTAAAGGGTTCCCAAGCAGACACTTGGGTTGGTAAAAGTCAAAAAAGGGGAAATGAGAACCCAGCAGTTATTTTCTGTATTGGAAATGATGTGGTTACTTAGTGGTGTACATACAAGAGGAACCTATGGAATTATGTGAGTTTAGTATGCCAGCTCAAGAATAGTTTTTGCTGATTTATAATTTTGTATTAAATAGATAAAAAGTTAGTACAGAAGGTCCCCACTTAGTGATGGTTTGACTTACGATTTTTCACCTTTAAGATGGTACAAGTAATAACCATCATACAACCATTGTTTTTCACTTTCAGTACAGTATTGAATTAAATGAATTTTTGTCCATTTGTAGGCTAATCTAGGTCTTCTGAGCTTATTTCAGGGGTATTAGGGTAACTTTTGATTTTCAGTAGGTTAATTGTATTAAGTGCTTTTTGACTTAACGATGTCTACTATGGGCTTTTTAGGATATAACACCAGTGTAAGTTGGGGAGGATCTGTACTTAATACAATTTCTTAGTAATTTAAAACCTTTCTAAATGCAGAATTCAGAGAGATAGAAGACCCCCAGAGCAATTCATATGGTTTGCCAGGTGTCCATAGTTAGCTGTGACAGAGCTGGGAGGAGAAATCTCATTTCTAAGTCCAGCAGTTCACTGCCACATAAACCCTTCATCTCCAAAATGCTGAATGTTGCTGAATGTTTGCATATCCTATGTATGATCCTGTTTGCCTCTATAGAGATAAAACTTAAAGCTTACAAAATATTATCTATCCCAAGTAATTTTAATTCACATCTCAAAGAAATCCGAGACTTGAATGTGCCCACATGCCTAAGGTTTACAGACTTTGGCAGTGAGTTGGCATTACTTGTTCCCAGATATCTACGTCTGCATGATCTCCTCTGCACACAATGTGGCAGCACAAGGAAAGTACATTGCCATAGTCAGTACTACTGTGGAGACCAAGGAACCCGAGAAAGAAATCAAACCAGCTTTGGAGCTCTTGGAACCAATAGAACAGAAGTAAGTGATATGTTCATTTATATCAGCTAAATCCTAGCTTGATTTTGGCTCCATGGTGGGGTACACTCCATGAGAACAAAGAAAGCAGCCATCGTGTCCACCAGTCTCATCCTTTGGGATTTGCATTTCAGGGGAGGCAGTGTGTGTGGGGTCAGCTCACCTGCTCACTGAATTTTTTCTCTCTTCCAGATTCATTAGCATCAGTGACCTGCTTGTACCAAAAGATGTGGGAACAGAAAGCCAGGTGAGTGTGGTGATCTGAAAATGGTATTGTTAGATTTTATTGGGAGACTTCCCTAGTTTCAAGTCTTTTTAATTTTTATTTCCAGATCTTTATTTCCCGTACATACGATGCTACAACTCACTTTGAGACAACCTGTGATGACATTAAAGACATCTATAAGAGGATGACAGGAACCGAGTTTGACTTTGAGGAAATGAAGCGCAAGAAAAATGACATCTATGGGGAAGACTAACAGCAGTCTGTGTTACCATCTAATTAGACAAACTTTAAAATTTGGCAAATAATGCATACTGTATGAAATCAATATTGTAAGGCCTGCTTTTGTAATCCAAACAGAGATTGCAGAGCACTGCACCAGTAAATACAACTCCCCTTTCTAATATTGTGTATTAACTTGTTTTCATGGAGTGGCTATTCAGAATTGACAGGTGACCACATTCTGTACTGTTAACCAATGCTGGCTTTTTTTTCTAGCGAAGGGTAAGTTTTAAAACAACATTGTGATACTGATACAGAGAACTTGATACAGTATTTGTATCTTTTAATCAGTATAGCCTTTGCAGTTACATGCTTTTGCTGCTCAAGAGCTGGATCAATACAATTTACGTGCCATCTGTCCTCTTGACATTAAGGAGATTTGAAATCAAATATTCCATAATTTGGGACAGCATCTTGACGTTTTCCCTATAGCTTTACTTTTTGTGTCCTGTCAAGTATTATGATAGTGCCCATGTAGCCTAGCCACAGAGATTGGTTTATGTGGGCCTAAAATTCTAACTGAACTTGAGACTTCAAGAGTCATTTTGGAGGAAGCCTATGTACGGTGTTTTAACCCGATAAAATTGGTGAGAGCAAAGGAATAAGAAACCTATCATAAAGCAGGTAAATGTAGAAGCTTCATTTGTATCCCAGGTGTGGCTTCTTCGGTGGACCAAGCTGCAGTGAAATGCAGTATTGATTTGACAGAGCCTTTCCTTCAATGATGTCTGCCTCAAAATGGCTCCAAATGATTTCTGTACTGCAAAATAAAGCCAAACTCTGGATACCAATTCCCTCTCAGTCTGTGTGTCCTGGTGTTTAAGAGCTATATAAGTATTGTGCTGGCTACGACACAGCTGTTTATTTCCTTCAGTAGAGCTGAAACTGATGCTTAGGAGAGATGCTGAAGTGAAGTGTGTGCTTACTCATTGACAGCTTGTGAGGATTCAAACTTGAATGGATAAAGACTCTGTTATCTTGCTTCACTGTGAATAGACCCCAAATTACATTCCTTTGACTCAGTATAACTGAAACTGTTAAGAGATTCTTATTGGTAGTTTACAAGTATTGTTTTCAATACAAATGCAAGTTACTGGCTTTGATAATTTTACTTACAGTATTATGAGAGATTAAGTGAATTATCAGGTGGAATAGAGGCTTCAGTATTTTCATGTAATTTAAATTTTAGACATCATTTTTAACTGGTACCTCCTTTCCCTTTGATAGCATATACAGTGATAGCTATCAGATGAATGAAGACAACCATATTCTTGTAGGCTGCACATTGATTCTTAGAGTTAAGTCTAAAGGGCATATGACTAAGGTAGGTAATCTGTTAAAGCAGTTAGGGGTACACACTACCCATTTCTGGTCATACAGTTTTTTGTGGGGGACTGTCCTATGCATTATATGCTTACTAGTATCTCTGACTTAGCCACTGTATGCCAAGGAGTACCTCCCTAGCCCAAGAACCGGAAATGTCTCTGGATGTTACAACGTTTCCCAGGGAACAAAATCTTCCCAGGTGAGAACTTCCAGGTTTTATGAGATGATGATCTAAAATTCCAGCAAGCCTTTTCCCTTCCCTACCCATATTTTAATTTGTCAATTATTAATGCAGGCAGATGTACATGCTGGACTATAATAAGTACAAAGAAAAAATACCAGCACTTTTGTATGTTCCTTATTTAATTATACTACTGTCCTAGGCCAGTGGGGTAAAGATGACGAAGGCACAGGTTCTGGAAGAGCCCATAGTCCGGATTAGACTCATTATTCTGTGGCTTGGTTAAGTGTAGAAAAAGTGGTATGGAAACTGATGGCCTTGTGGGTGCGATGTTGGCAGGCTTTGCAGCAAAGGGAGTTGAACATTTGAGGTACAACTTGAAACAGGTGCTGTTGGTACATACTCACTAAATGTTTAGTCCGTCTTGTGAGAAAATAACAGAGTGAAACTGGTACTTTTGTTTGGGTAGGAAGTACACAATCTAGATAAATAGCTTCTGAAAGTTGTTTCTGTACCTAACAGCCCCAGAAAAGGGCAGCTGAAACGTCTTGTGGTCCTGGCTGGGTAGCTCAGTTGGTCAGAGAGCACTGCGTGATACACCTGGGCCACAGGTGTTGTGTCTGATCAGGAGGATGCATACAAGAAGCAACCAATGGATGCATAAAGGAGTGGAACAACAAATTGATGTTTCTCTCATCAATAAATTTAACAACAACAATAAAAAAACTAGTGAGTTGAAAAGTCCTGTGAATGTCCTTTCTGTACTTTCCTGCTTAGTGCACACAACTGGGAGTGGGAGGCACTGGACTCGTCTCTGGGACCAGATGGATCAAGGCCAAAGTGATAAACAGAGGAATCCTCTGGAACCTAGTTGTTCCTGCTAAGTGGCCTAAGAAGTGTTAAAACTTTCCTGACAAACCAATTCTTGCTATGAAGTCATTGCAGAAACAGTTGATTTTTTTTAAGTTCTCTTTATTTAAAGATAGTTACAAAAACCTTTGTTCCAAAGAGATGCTGTATCTTACAAATGTTTTTTGCTTGGTTTTCATTTAAAGGTAATGAAGTTATTTCTAATCTCATAAATAAGTGATTATTTCTTCTTAGAGTTGATTTTGTAGTTCACTCTTTACAAAATAAGTGAAAAATGACAATTTATAAATTTGTACCTTTTCAGAAAAAAGGTTCATTTATGTAGTGTTGTTTGAGTAACAGCAAATGAAACATGGCTGTAGTTTTTACAAGGGTGGTAAACCTTTAAAACAGACTAACATGCAGTGTCTTGCTGATATTAACATGCAAAAACAAAGCTATTGGTTCAGACTCATTTTTGCTACAATTGAGTAAACGTGTTTCTAATTATTTTTAACAATAAGTCCAATTAATAGCTTTAAGTTAAAATAATTTAAATTTAAAACAAAATATTCAACACCGCAACCCAAAGCTCATGGACAACTACTATGTCACTGAATGACGTCAGCTGTTTTAATACAAAAAAAAAAAACAAGGAAAACTTTCCCCTAAGTTGCAGAACATTGATTTTAAAATTATAAGAAGGGAAGACTTTTATGTGTGTCTTAGAAGTTTTTTAAACAAAAGGGAAAATACTAATCTGTTGTTGGCATCATTGATGTCTAGGCAAGCTGCAGCTGAATCATCTGGGTAAACTCAAAATTGGTAATTATCTTTGAAACAAAAAAACCAACAACTATTTTAGAAACAGCATGCTGCCTAACGGGGAACACTTCTGTGCATTCTCAGTTGCATCATCGAAAATGCACATTATAGAGAGAATGGGTAATTCAAAGGAGGTTGGTTATTTCGTTCATTAGTAAATACTTAACTTCCACCCCTAACTCATTTTTAATTAACAGCATGATAACATGTAAGATAAAGAACAGTTTTTGAATAACTGGTTCTCATAGACACACATGTCAGCTATCTATCTACCCTCAACTCTAGCTGACATGGAAGAGTTACAGAAAAAAATGGGGTTACCAATAGCTACTCCTAAATGGAGCTGCTACTTTTTGTATATTTTCAATAAAGTTATTTACACCTGTAATGAGAATTCCACTATTTTCATAGATTTCTCTGGAGACAGCAGGCTTTTCTGTAGAAAGAAAAAGATCTTTTAGTGAAAAATTCATTAATGTACTTTTTAAGATGTGTAGTTGACACACAATATTAGTCTCAAGTGTACAATGGAGTCATTCAACATATTAAGGTACCTTTTTAAAAGTAGCAGAAACTCCTTTGTTTAAAAAAAAACCAAAACACTTTTCTGAAACTCCTTAATGGGGGTTAGGGGTGCTGAAAACCACTGATAAATCACAACTATAGTCATTCCTTTAATTTTTAAATGGTGAAGATTCACATAAAACATGAGAAATTAGGAATAAGTATAAAATTAACTCAGTACTTGTAGGAGATGATGAAACTAGTAGCAACTGTGCTGGAGGACTAGTAAGTAGACAGTACCCCTCACCCAGCATTTAACAGGGTAACAGCTGTTCTGGGATCTAACCATGTGTATCTTAAGGCAGGGGTGTCAAAACTCATTTCCCCAGGGGGGATCACATCAGCCTCACAGTTGCCTTCAAAGGGCTGAAATAATTTTAGTACTGTATAAATATAACTACTCCTTAACTGTTAAGGAACTGAAATTATATTTGGCTCTTTGAAGGCAACATGAGAGTAACGTGGCCCCTGTGAAAATGAGTTTGACACCCCTGTTTTTGGTATCCAGTGAATCCACTTGCAAGGACATTATTTTAGAGTTGACCTATTTTGGCATTAACTGATTGATGAGATGAAACTGACACAGAACTAAGGCTGTGTGACTTTACCTGTTAGGAAGACAGCAAACCTGGCCTGGATATGCTGAATTTGCAGGTTTAGCAGACACTTTAAATGGTCTGCTTTTGTTGATGACCGAGAGTCACACTGATGATAATGAAGCAGCTCAATGATATTTGCACTCTGATATGACTTCAGTATTAAGTTCTTCTTATATGCAATTGAGTCCACTCTGGAAAATACATAAAATGTTAAATTTAGGTTCGGTGTAAGTTTGTGAAAGTTTATTTTTAACTGTATCTTTATTTTGTTGTTTTATTTTTAGGTCATCTTTTGCCTTAACTATACTTCTAGTTTATTCACTTCTGATAAAACCAACTCCCAAGATCCTTTGTTCCTGTTCTTTTCCACTATACACTTGCCTTCCTAGATGTCACTGTCCTGATGTGTTCCATTAAAACAACGTTATGAGTGTACTGCTTTTGCAAATACAGATTTTTAAAAAGTAGCACCCTCGTTCCCAGAGGGACATTTACACATTCGTCTACTACCACTTCCAACAATGCTGCCATCAAGTGGCCCTCTTACTGCAGTGGCTCCGAACCTTTTAAGTCTCTTCAAAACCTCTTCTTTATACTTCTGACTCAAACTATGTCATGGCTATATTTTCCTTAATTTCTCACCTTTTAAATATTACTACCTTTTTCTTCCTCTTTTAGAGGCAACTCTTCAACATCTCTACTGATCTTGATTCCATCTCTCCAGTCTTCCCTATCACTTCTACCTTCCTCCTGCTTTCTGGAGAAAGCCAAAATTGTATGTATCCCCACCATTCTGGTGAGTGACAAGTACTATTCATATCATGATGATGAAATTCCTTCCAGGCTTTACCTTTTGTACATATCAATTTATGGTTGGCATCATACTGTAGTTTTAAGATACCAACTTTTCTGAGTTATAAGTTTCTACTTACTGTTTTATATAGCATTACTTTGCAAATATTAAAGAATTATATAATAAAATTGGCCTAGAGATGGAATTGAGGCTGGATTCATAGTTACTGATAGCTACCCATGGCTATAAACACCTTGGTGGTTTTTAAAAGCTAGCTTGTTTTTAGTTTTAGATAAATTCCTACAAAGGTCAAAGGATATGATGAGTTTTCTGATGAGCTCTCATTGTAACAGCTCAGTACTATTTGAAGAGCATATTACAGTGCCAGTAGTGATATATTTATCTTTATCCAGAATTCTATGAGTGCTAAATAAACTTATTCTTACTAATTTTATAGATCTGCTCTGGCACTTCAGTGCTTCGGTTTGCTTCTCTCATTTCTGAGTTGAACCTTTAAACTGCTATCTAATTCCTTGTGCACTTGTGGTCACACACAGCCTTGGATCCTGTTGGCTCCTGGTGGTCCTCCTTTCTTAGTGTCTCTCCTAGGTATAAGCCTTTCCTGAACTCTTAAGTCACGTTTCAACATCTCATGCACTTCCACAATTTTGGCTGTTTTCACACCTAGGTTTATGCTTCTTTGAAGAAAGCAGTATGGTAAAACGCAGTTAATGGTGATAATAGACGATCCGTGTAGGGTACAAGCCTAGCTTCACAACTGACACTATATCTGACCTGAGTCAGGTTTGTTCTGTTCTCCCCCTCTCTTTGCTTCCATTTCCATATCACTAAAGTTGGTGCTTACTATCTCCTCTGTATAAAGTTAGGACGAGATAATTGAAGTAGAACACCTAACAGTGCCTGAAACAGTCATTTAACAAATGCCTTTGCTAAATCTATTCCCTTCCCAGTCTATCTCTGAGCTCCAGATCTTCCTTTCCCAGCCTCACTAGAACCTGGAGGCAAGCTCAGACCCCAAGTCTTTTTAGCTGAGGAATCAATACTTATCTTTAAAAAAAAATCCCAGCCCTACATAGAGTTTTGCCTATTGGTAAGCTACTGTTTTAAGGGTAAAATTCAATTATGGATATAGTCTCACCTCAATTTTTCCATCATAACTGAGGCAACTTAAAAAGCATTAATGTGGCAAGCCCATACTTCAATTTTTTATGGTTCACGGTAGTAGATCCTGAACTTAATTAACCCTATGGACATTTTAGGACCCTTACGTCTGACTTCTTTACTTCTGTTGGTCTACACAGTGCTACTCAGAGTATATGCCTGTAAACTTTTGTCTTTTTAATCCTAATTTAAGGATATATTTATTATTTGAGAGAGAAAGAGAGAGAGACATCAATCAGTGCCTCCCATACACACCCTGACTGGGGATTGAATCTGCAACCTTTTGGGGTACAGGAAGATACTCCAACCACTGAGTCAGCTGGGCCAGGGCTGTGCCTATAATCTTTCTATTACAACACACAGCTTCCTTCACTGAAGGCCCTGCTACCAAAACAAAATCCAAAAAACCAGTCGATCGAGCTAAATACTGTGCTTAGTTATCACACAATGATTTCCATTCCAGTACAAACTTCCCTTGAGTACCAGTCCAGAGCATGCTGAACATTTCAGGGTGACACACGTCAAAGGTGAAAGGAGGGAAAGTGAAAGGAACTCCTCCCATTCCCGCCTCCCCCAAGCCCTCAGCTGACTTGAGGCCTTACCGTACTTCTTCCTTTAGCTTTTTACTTTCCCTGTAGTGAAGCAACCACTTCCATCTCCCATTTCCATTTAGTTTCTCCAGGATTTTGACAATTTCCTTTAGTTGAACTGCAGAGTAGAAAAAGTTGTGTTTTAAGGCTTTTGGCTTGTCTACTCAAAGCCTAGAATTTATTACTTGTAAAAAGAATAAGACCCATGTTTGAATGTACACCATCATTGCCACTTTGTAGCTGGGCAGGATCCCATACTGCATTTCACAGATACAGCAACCTGTGGCCCTCGCCTCAGTCCTACCTACTTATACTGCAGTAGTGAAGAACTGTATAGAGAAAGAGCACTATGACTGCCAGCAGTTAAAGCTCTGAATATAGTACAAACATCACTAAACCTCATATAGAAGGTTTAGTTGCAACAGCGAAAGTCTAGGTTTCTAAATACAGAACGTACAAATATTTTTCAACTTCAGTTTTCATGCACAATTATGCTTGTTAATAAGGTCTAGTCTGCTGATCCTTTAGCCCTAGAAGTGGTGTATCGACCTTTGGTTCTAATGTGGCAGGTTTTAATCATACATAAAAGTGTCTGCCCTGTGCTCACACATTCTTCTAGGTCCGTTTAGTGCCCTGAGAGAAACAGATTATATAGTTGACCGTTGCACAACATGGAGTCAGGAGACTGACTGCCCACCCAATGGAGTAATTGTGTATAACTTAAGTAGGTTCCCTGTATACACAGATTCCCAGCCTCCAGTTGACCCTTGAACAACATGGGTTTGAACTGCTCAGGTCACGTGTAAGTAGATGCATGTAATTCAAACTCGCATCATTCAAGGGCCAACTATGTATTAGTGTTCGAGCAGATGACTGACACGACTTTCAGTAACCATTTTTTAAGATTTCCATATCAATGAGATTACCATCTAAGGTTGACAGCAACAGATATGGAAGAGGACTGATTGTAAACAAAAAAAATTCTGTACCTGACTTGATTTGGCAAGCGAAGAAGTCAAATGTTAAAAAATCTCAAATTTGGATGACTATTAGCCACATTTTTGAGAGAAGGAATTTAGGTTTGGTGGTGAAGACAAAACAAGAGGTTCTTAAGAGCACATACATTGGGGATGAGAACTATACAAAAACTGCTCTTTTCCATGCAATTATTTGGGTCACTGGGTGAGGAGAAACTGATTTGCCTAGATTTCAAAGAAAATCGAAAGACCAACCTAATGTTAAAGTTTCTAACATTCTGTCATCTGATACCACAAAACCTCCTGTCCGAAACAGCTCTTGGAAGGTGTAATGGAGAACATCTTCAGGGCTGTCTACTCCAGCGAAGATGACACTGGGAAAATGCTTCAGCTTCAACAGAGAAGGAATCTGTTAAACATAAAAGGATCCCAATGAAAACAGGTTTACTGGGTCGCTTCTATCACTTTATACAAAAGTTTCAATACTTTTAACCTTGATGACCAATAGGTAATTCCATCACACATAAGGAATAATAAGTCGGTTCATCATCAATGCTATAAATTCATTAAAGCTAGTTAATTACAAACTGGTCTCTACAACTCTGTTAAGTTGGAGGTAGTGAGGGCAGAGTATACCTGAGGTTTTGGGACCTGTAATCAGGCAGGTAACAAACTAACACCATCACTCCTTGTCTCCAGGTTCACCTGGTGTTGGTGCTGCAGGGACGATCAGTTACTACCTCCTGACAGCAGAGCTGTAGCTATGCCCATAAGTTAGAAGCAGTCACCTTTATTCAACTAATAGGTAAATATCTTAAGAAAAATTTTACAAGTCCATTTAAAGCAAGATATATTCCTATTACATGAAAATTTTACCAATGTCTTTATAGTTTTTCCTTAGTTACTATGAATTTAAACAGGCAATGACAAGTCTAATAATTACACAATAACAAAAGGCCTGGAATACATTTTTGGTAAGAAAGTTACTTCCAAACCTACCTGATGCAAATGTGATGAGATATCTTCATTTTTGATGATGACCATTAGCATATCATTCTCTCTGTGAAAAGCTTGACAGAAATGCTGAGGTTCAATTTCTGTGTGGCCTCCTTTCCTCAGAATATTCTGAAAGATTTACAAATAGCCATTATTAAAAAAGGGATGCTTGCACAGAACTACTTTTATTGTTTACTAAGAACTAAAAACACATCCTATTTACTAAATTATGTCCTAATAATGCAACATAAATGGCAGTTTGTCTTATTACTAGGTTAGACTTCACCTGTAAAAGAGATGACTCCTCAGTATCACGACAGCTGAGTTTAGAAGTTTATTTCAAAGGCAAAAAACCCCACTATATAATAAATCTCTAATGTCCATAAAGTATCAGAGGCTGATTCTATTTATTTATTAATTTTTTTGAGAAAAGGGAAAGGAGGGAGCAAGAGAAACATTGATCAGTTGCCTCTGGTATGTGCCCAGACTGTGGCACAAACCCACAACCCAGGCATGTGCCCAGACCGGGAATCAAACTAGCAACCTTTTGTTCTACAAGACAATGCCCAAGTAACGGAGCTGAACTGGTCAGGGCAAAAGGCTGATTCATTCCTTTCTTTCCTTTTTTCCTTTCTTTCCTCTCTTTCCTCCCCCCCCCTTTCTTTCTTTCCTTTCTCTCTCTTTCTTTCCTTTCTCTCTCTCTTTCTCTCTCTCTTTCCTTCCTTCTTTCTTTTTTCTTTTCCTTCCTTCCTTCCTTCCTTCTCTCTCTCTTTCCTTCCTTTCTTTCTTTTCCTTCCTTCCTTCCTTCCTTCCTTCCTTCCTTCCTTCCTTCCTTCCTTCCTTCCTTCCTTCCTTCCTTCCTTCCTTCCTTCCATCTATCTATCCATTTATCCATCCATCTAATCTATCTATCTAATCTATCTTTATTTATTTATAAAGGAGTGGATTTTTAAAAAAGATTTTATTTATCTATCTTTAGAGGGTAAAGGAAGGAGAGAGGGAGAGAAATATCAGTGTATGGTTGCCTCTCTTGCGTCCCCTGCTGGGAACTGGCCTGCAACCCAGGCATGTGCCCTGACTGGCAATCAATTGCAGTTTGGTTCCCAGGGCTGCGCTCAATTCACTGAGCTACACCAGCCAGGGCAAGGCTGATTCTTTTTAAACATTACACTAATATATTGAGTTTCACCCTCTTCAAGGGAATTACAAAGATGTGCTAAAAAAAAATGCCACCTCGAGGACAGGCCAAGATGGAGATGTAGGTGGAGGAACCACCTTGCCTCTGTGCACAACCAAATCTAAGAACAACTATTTTTAACAGCAGTCACAACCAAGCCACACGGAAAATCGACAATACGGAGTCCAAAGGACAACTAGATACTCAGCTGGGAGGAGCGAGGCCAGCAGCGGAGCAGGTTAGGAAGAAAAAATTCCAGGGGTGGTGCGCAGTGTGCGCAGGCAACCGAGGACGCTGATCCCGAGCGAGCTGGCTGCAGGAGCGCACAGGGAAGAGGCGCGGCGGTCGGTCGGTCGCGCGCATTTACATGCGGAGAAACCAGTGAGAAGGGAAGCCGGCGCGGGGCAGCAGGCTCGCACAATTCCGATCGGATAAACAAGCCCCAGGTGTGTGGAGTAACTGGACGGGCTGGGCTAGCGGAGAGGACCGCCATTGCTCCCTCTCTGACCACGCCCCCACACACAGTGTCACAAACCAGCGACCTGGGTCTCCCCGTCCTGGTAAACAACTAAGGCTCCACTCCGCTTACTTAACAGCACGAATAGACCAAAAATGGCTCTAGGACAACTCAGAGCCCCAGAACCGATAGATCTAAGCGATGAAGAAATAGCCAGTCTTTCAGATGCACAGTTCAAAACACTGGTTATCAGGATCCTTACAGAACTGGTTGATTTTAGTCACAAATTAGAGAAACATATGGAAGCTAAACTAATTGAAATGAATGGTGATACAAAGGAAGCCAATAGTAATGGAAAGAAAATTGGGACTCAAATCAAGGGAGTGGACCAGAAGGAAGAAAAAAATGATCAAACAGAAAAGAATGAAGAAATAAGAATTCAGAAAAATGAGGAGAAGCTTAGGAACTTCCAGGACATCTTTAAACGTTCCAACATCCGAATTATAGGGGTACCAGAGGGGGGAAAGGCACAGCCACCAGTGGAAAACTTATTTGTACAGATAATAAAGGAGAATTTCCCCAAGCTAGCAAAGGAAATAGACTTCCAAGAAATCCAGGAAGCTCAGAGAGTCCCAAAGAAGTTGGACCCAAGAAGGAACACACCAAGGCACATCATCATTACATTAGCCAAGATTAAAATGAAGGAGAGAATCCTAGAAGCAGCAAGAGCTAAGGGGACAGTCACCTACAAAGGAGTTCCCATCAGACTGTCAGCTGATTTCTCAAAAGAGACCTTACAGGCAAGAAGGGGCTGGAAAGAGGTATTCCAAGTCATGAAAACCAAAGATCTACAACCAAGATTGCTCTACCCAGCAAAGTTTTCATTTAGAATGGAAGGACAGATAAAGTGCTTCTCAGATAAGACCAAATTCAAGGAGTTCATCATCACCAAGCCCTTATTATATGAAATGTTAAAGGGACTTACCTAAGAAAAAGAAGATAAAAAAAGATGAACAGTGAAAGGACAGCAAACTCACAGTTATTAAGAACCACACCTAAAACAAAAGCAAACTAAGAGGACAGCTAAATCAGGAACAGAACCACAGAAATGAAGATCACATGGAGGGTTAGCAACAGGGGACTGGGAGGAGGGGAAGAGGGGAGAAGGTACAGAAAATAAGCATAGACAGTAGATAGAAAATAGATAGGGGGGAGGGTAAGAATAGTAGGGGAAATACAGAATCTAAAGAATTTGAGACACGTGCTCATGAACTAAAGGGGGAAATGGTGGGGGAGGGGTATGCAGGGTGGAGGGGAATGGAGGGGGGGAATAGAGCAAATGTAATGGCATAATCAATAAAAAAAGTTAAAAAAAAATGCCACCTCCAGCCAAACGTTTCTATAAGTTTTGAAAATAATACCCATAACAGATAAGCATTACTGAGTATCATTAATGGAGTCTTGGACTTGAATACTGTGGGAGATGTATGTTAAACTGTACATGGTGGTTAGGCACTAACATACACAGAATAGCACTGAAATAGCCTTATTGGAAGGGTGAGTTTATGTAATTAAAGATATTCTTCACCCTTGTCCTCCTTTGTGATTTTGACACTGTTTCTGTCTAAAAGATGCTGGAGGTTTCTATTGCACACCTGGATATTCCTAGTCATACCAGGAAGGTATACCAGTCATACCAGGTTAGTGTGTCATAGCAATACACCAAAGGTTATGGGTATGAGCTCCAGTCAGGGCACATACAAAAACCAACCAATGAATGTATAAGTGGAACAACAAATCAATAAATACAACATTTTTTAAAAAGTTAAAACAAAAGAGAGAATGCTGCCTTTTCCAAAAATAAAATTAAAATTTGCGGATAAAATGAGAAAGTTAATGGTGAACTGAGACAGATTCTGGCTCCTGGGAAGTTAGAATTTTACCATGGTTACATCATTTAAAATTTAGGATCATGGCCTCACCAGAAAGTAAGTTATCCTAATATTTAAAAAAATATTTTCTTTAGCCATGCAGAAGCTTTATATTTTAATGAAGTCCTATTTGTTTATGTCCTTTAATCTAGGGGACACATATCTATGAAAAGGGAAGGGTTGTCAAGGAATATATTTTAAGGACCCAAGGACAAAGTCACAGGGGGAATGATTGAGGGTGGGAATGGGTGAGGCAGAGTAAAATGGTGGCAGGAAAATGGAGACAATTGTACTTGAACAACAATCAATCAATAAATACATCCTGCTTCTGGCCAATTTGGAGGTATAGGTGGATACACATTGCCGCCTTGCACAACCAATAGAAGGATAACAACCAATTTAAAAACAAAAAACAACCCAGAACTGCCAGAAAATGGAATTGCACGGAAGTCTGACAACCAAGGAGTTAAAGAAGAAACATTCATCCAAACTGGTAGGAGGGGCAGAGACTGGCAGCTGGGGCAGAAAGAACACAAGGCAAGGCAGTGGCTGGTGGACCAGGCAGTCCCACATTCGCATGCAGATTAACCAGGACAACTGTGGAGCAAGACAAACTGCCCAACCCAGAGTTCCAGCGTGAGAAAATAAAACCTCAAAACCTCTGGCTATAAAAATCTGTGGGAGTTGTGGTGGCAGGACAAACTGCCAATCTCATAGGAGAGTTCACTGGAGGGACCCGTGAGGTCCTAGAACGGACACAAGCCCACTCAACCCAGGAACTGAAACCAGAAGGATGCAAGTCACTTGTGAGTAGCAGGGGAAGTGACTGAAAGTGGATGAGAGCTGGGCAAGCAGCACTGTTCCTTCTCAACCTCTCCCTTACATACAGCGCCATAATGCAGCAAAGTAGGTTGCCTCACCCTGGCAAATACCTAAAGCTCCACTCCTTACCACATAACAGGTATGCCAAAACAAAGAAATACGGCCCAAGTGAGAAAACAGATCGAAACTCCAGAAAAACAACTAAGTGAGGAGGAGATAGCCACCCTATTGGATGCAGAGTTCAAAAACACTGGTAATCAGGATGCTCACAGAAATGACTGAGTATAGCCACAAATACAGGAAAAACTGAAGGCTATATAAAATGAGATAAAGAAAAACATACAGGAAACCATGAGTGTTGCACCCTCTCTCTTTGCCTTTCTGGGTTCATTGTTTGTACCTTATTGACCCTTATTAGGGTCATTTCGAGGGACCTCAGTTCAATAGCAGCGTTCTGAGGTTTGGGAGTTGGGGTGACCTTCCGGGACCACTCTGGCCTTCCTCACTTTAGAGGGTGGGTAAAAGGGGAGGGTGGTCTGCGAAGATGAGGGCTAGAGTCGGAGGTGAGGTAAGGTCGCCTTCCAGTCTCTGAATATCTGACTTTTTTTAGTACTTTAGTTCTAAACGTGTATGTACGTTGCCTTTGGTAGTTGGGATGAGATGGTACCTACCTCGTAAGGCTGTTCGGAGGGTTAAATGCTTTAACACATCTAAAACTCTTGGAATATTACCTGACACGCCATGATTAATACTTTTTGATGTGCAAGCAGTTTACTTAACCCTTTGATTTTTCTTGGTGTATAAAATTGTTTTTAATTTTAAAGAAAAACATACAGGAAACCAACAGTGAAGGGAAGGAAACTGGGATTTAAATCAATGATTTGAAACAGAAGGACTAAACATTCAACTGGAACAGAATAAAGAAACCAGAATTCAAAAAAAATGAGGAGAGGCTTAGGAACCTCTGGGACAACTTTAAACATTCCAACATCCAAATCAGAGGGGTGCCAGAAGGAGAAGAGGAAGAAACTGAAAACTTATTTGAAAAAATAGTAAGGAAAACTTCTCCCAATTCTGGTGAAGGAACTAGACATGCAAGTGTAGGAAGCTCAGAGAATCCCAAAGAAGTGGGATATAAGGAGAAATATACCAACATACAACATGATTAAGTTACCCAAGATTAAAGATAAGGAGAGAATCTTAAAAGCAGTAAGAGAAAAAGGAGACAGTTACCTACAAAGGAGTTCCCATAAGACTATCAACTGATTTTTTAAAAGAAACCTTACAGGCAAGAAGGGGCTGGAAAAAAGTATTCCAAGTCATGAAAATCAAACACCTACATCCTAGATTACTCCATCCTGTAAAGCTATCATTTAGAATGGAAAGGCAGATAAAGTACTTCTAAGATAAGGTAAAGTTAAAGAAATTAATTATCACCAAGCCCTTATTATATATATGAAATGATAGAGAGACTTATCTAAGAAAAAGAAGACGAAAACTATAAACAGTTAAATCTAACATACTCATAACTATTAACTGAACCTAAAAAACACAAAACCAAAACCAAACCAAGCAACTAGACCAGGAACAGAACCACAGATATGGAGATTACATGGAGGGTTATCAGCAGGGAGAGAAAGGGAGAGTGGGGGAAATGGTGCAGGGAATAAACGTAATTAGTAGATATAAGATAGACAGGGGAGATTAAGAATAGTATGGGAAATGGAGAAGCCAAAGAACTTATATGTACAACCCATGGACATGAACTAAGTGTGGGGAATGCTAGAGGTGAGGGGAGGTGCCCCTTGGCAGAGGGGCATAAAGGGGAAAAAATGGGACTGTAATAGCAAAAATCAATGAAATATACTTAAAAAGTAAAATAATGTATCTGAAACAAAAAAAGTTCCCTTTCAACAATCCATATTAACGAAGAAAGTCAGGTAGTAATTTTTTAAAGTCTCAATTTTATCTTAAGAACACTTGAATTTAAGTATGTCTATACTGGTAACTTTCTTGAAAATTAATAAATGCATTAATTCTGGAATATCATGCATATCTTCAAATACAGTACCAAAAGCAGATATAGATCCTTCTTGTAGTATAACATTTAGTATGCAGATAAAAAAAAAGAGCTGAGAAACTCAAATACCGTCTTTGTATATCATGTTTCTGAAGCCAAGAATGCTAAATGTATTACTTTTAAAATAATCTAAAATTAAACAGCCAACAAAATAATATAAACTGTAAGGAAAATCTGGCACTTTACCTTTGTTCTCACAAAGAATGACTTGTCTTCTGTCTCAACAAGGTAAAACAGAAAGGTGCTTTTGCAAGCCTCTTTCACGACACTTTTTAGTTTGACATGCAAACTGGTACACATGTCTGTAATCATGTCTTCATAGGAGGTTGACCTTCTTGGGAAAGATGAATACACCTCTTGAGCTGTGGTTTCTTCAGAACTAACATTTGACTCTTTATCTCTGAAAACAACTTGGTTGCTATTCATCACCACCTTGTTGAATTCCGCATATTCATTCAGAATACGGGAGATATCATTCCGAGATTCCTTCAAAGTACTATTATATTTCAGTTTGTTGAGGTGGAAGGAAACAGACTGATTTCTCTCAGAATTTGTAAGATGATTTCTCTGGTGATCATGTCTTTCCTCCCAAAAGGAAGAACTGTCCAAATTGCTGCGCATGTGGCCTCTCAGGTGCTGGTTCTGTTCTCCGGCATCTGAGTGCATGATTGTTACCACGAGGGGACTTCTGCTCCGGGATGGAAGATGGTGAACTGAAGACTCGGATGTTTTTGGCAAAGGGAAAGCTCCAGTAGCATTTTGCAGTGGTGGCTCCTTAAGAAAGACGGTGGAAAAGGCAGAATGTTGAGAATTGCCACTCTTTATAATTTGTTTCAGCTTCTCTTCAAAGCGCAGATATTCTAGATCTAAAGTGTTCTGTGTAGGGTCATCTGCCACCTGCCAAGTATTTGTCCAGGAGCTAACCAAGCCAGGTTTAGCAGTGAAATTTGAGTCCCTCCTCAGGCCGTGCAAAGTTCTCTTGGTATCTTGGAGCTCTTTCGTTATAGTAAAGTTAGCGTAAGTCCTGGGGATACCATGAAGATCTCTGATATGTACATAACATGGCACACACTTATCTTCTTTTTTTAATCCAACAGACCAGTTTCGAGGAGGTATACTGGTCTCTACTGGAAATCGATTAGAGTAGGCCCTGTCTTCATTATCACTACTGTTTGGGCTCAGGAAAGAGTCATAACCATCTTTTGAAGCACCTTCTTTCTTGTTGTGATTACATTGCAAAGTACAGGAACCCTCCATGTCTAGTTTGAAATTCCTACAATCACCAAGAGAGTCTTGATCGGAGTCTCCAGAAAGTGGTTCATAATGGATGTCAGAATTCACACTAATATCCATGTCTCCACCTAGGGCTTCAGAGTCCTCCTTGGCCCTGACACAATCACCAGAGCCTTTATTTTCCATCTGTTCTTTAGAGACTCCACAAACAAGAGGGGCACGAGATTTGGAAACAAAAAAAGCAGAAGGCTCTTTACTGACATTTTCACTGGTGACTGCTGTATTTTGGTAAGAATCAGCATATACATACATGGGGGAAAGCCTGCCATTCAACAGATCCTTTGTTTTGCATGTTGATGTATCTTGTGGCATATGGATGTTTTGCTTCCCTTTTGGAGACATGGTGTTTGATTTAGAGCCAACGCAACCTATATCCATGCTTTTTTCATGTAACTCAGATTCAGTTTCACTATTCTTAAGCAAACTAGCCATTCTGACTACTGATATTTCCTGTGTTTGAAACCCTGCCTCTATGTTTATGGGTCTTTTACAATAGGTGAAGGTAGTGCCACCTAAGTCTGAATGCATTTGTACCTGTGTATTATCAGCTCCATCAGCTGAGTCTGAGCTCAAGGACTGAACTTGCATGCAATCATATTCATTTGTTTTGATATCACTGCTAAGGAGACTCTCCTTAATGCATTTCACTGTATCACTTGGAGCACTTGTAGAAACAAATGTGTCAACCAGAGACTTATTTTCCATAATCCTTCTAGGACTAAATGCAGGCTTACTGGTCTCCAATGCAAGGTGATTTAAGTCTGAATTTCTGTTCTCTAAACTAACTGGCTGTAATGGATTTCCTGACATTACCAATTTTTCTGGAGAAGTCTTGAAATCAGTTCTGTAAGTAGCAGTTGATGCAGGCTGGTTTAACTCTGTATGGCAGCATGGCACCTTTTCTGAGGAGAAATCCTTATCATACTCACTTGGGACAATTTCCTCAGTGACTTCACCCAGAAATGTTAGACGTCTATCTTTTTTTCCTGGATGACTATTTAATACTCCAGGTAGTTCAGCAGAATGTTGTATTTGTTGTACCCGAGGTAAGTTATCTTGTCTCACTGGATGGATAGGACTAACATAAGAATTTCCTTTTTCTGTTAAGGCCAAATCTAATGATGTAATCTGAGTGAATTTTTCACTTTTCTCACACTGTGTATTATGATATTTTAAACTAAAGGGGGAGACAGCCCGAAATGGTTCTATTTCTTCAACTGGTACCTGGGGGTCAGGACTAGAAGCTGGTGATACTTCCTCAATTAAAGAACCAAAAGGAAAGTCTGAGGTAACATTAACTTCCTGTGTGAGCTCAAGGGCACAAGTTTCTTTAGGAAGCATTAAAGTAACCACTTCTAAATTATCATCTCTTCTCTCCTTTTCTAATGGTTTCTCTGATACTGTGTGAGGCACTGATGTATATTTAGAATTCACTTCTGTGTTTTCTGTGAAAGTCACCTTTTCTGGCTCAATGCTTTTATCCATATTCTGGAGTTCTAAATTTGGTAATGGAGCATCCTGATGTTGCTCTGTTTCACCAGCTGGAATTTCTTCTCTGGGACTTGTAGGTGGTGATATTGTGAGAGTTAGGTCAATGTCAGGATCTTCCTCTAACTCCAGGCTGATCTCCTCTCCATTTACAGATGGGCTGGTTTGTTTAGCAAATGTTGAATTAAATGATTCAAAGTTCCTATTTTCACCATTTAGACTGCTCTTGTCACTCTTTAATTCTATAAAGCTATTTGATGTATTACTTCTTGATGGAATGCAGTTAAGTGAGTAATTTTTTTGCAGCATGGGAGAGGCTGATGATGAGGCTTCTTCAGTCTGTGGTGGTTCCAAAATCTCTTCTGAAGACATGCTTACAAGACTGTTAGGCTGCATAAAAAATTCTTGAGAGAGTTTTGTTTCTTTAGGTAATGAATAATTAGAACTTTTAACCAATGGTAATGTCTCCTTTTCCAATGAATTATCAGATGGCAATGATGTGCCTGGAACAGGACTCTCTTTCTGTAATGAACATATTTTGTTATTAGGTAGTGTCTCTCCACTTACCGATGAAGCACAAAAGTACTTAGTACCTTTTTCTCCTGACGTTGCTAGAGACAGAATGTCCTTAAGACTTTGTGTTTGTACCTTTTCAAACGTGGATACAGGAAGTCTAAGACTTGAAGCAGGTGATACTTGTTTAATCAATTCCATATTAAAGGTCACAGGTTTATCAGCTCTACTTACAATTTCTGTCTGTATTGGTATACAGGCATTTTTTTCAAAAGTGAGAGTAACTGGTTCCAGATTAATCATCACATACCCTATATCATCCTTCTTTTCCAATGAAGGTTGACAGTCTTTGGTTTGGGGGTTAAGGGCCTGTAAACCATTTGCTTTTGCTTGCATTGTTGCATGAAAAATATCAGCTTTGCTCTCAAGGGTGCTATACGTAGATTTTGGACAAATCACTGACTGCTTGCCAATCCCATCACAAGTCTTGGTGAATGTCGTTTGTGTGACAGTATCATAAGAAGTCACTCTTGTGTTATCAAGTAACTCAAAGGTTTTCTCTTTACCAGGAGTAGAAGGTCCATTAGTTTGGGTACTTCCAATGTGAGAATGCATCAGATTAGAAGTCTCTAATTTATCTGATGATTCTGGTTTGGTGTTCTCTTCAGTTATCTGAAATGACCAAATTAAAAAAAAATTTCAAACAGATTTAAAAACACACGTGAAAAACAGAATAGACAAGGATTAATTTTAATTTTAGTCTTTTGAGTCTTCTAATCTATAAGAATAAGACAAGGCAAAGATCAAGCAAATCCCTCTCTTTTTAGATAGGTTTAAAATATCCCCAAAATAGAAATTTGTTTTCTTTAAACATACAACGCACAGACTGTATATCCAAAACTTTTAAATGAAACAGCCCATTTTTAAAAGGACTTTTAGGAAGGAAAGTGGCTAGACCACTGACAATTTAAAACCTTGAAAATCAATCTTGCTTGCTAAACAGCATTGCTTAATTTGGAAAAGTACTCAGTTAATTTTCACTATTTTCAGTAAGATTAAAAGATAACTTTTTAAAGCTAAGAAGAACTTTATTTTGAACACTAGCTTTTAACAGACTATAAAAATACACTGTCATCTGGAATTTTCCCATAAGAACACAAATTACTATTTCTTGTACACAGAATATAATGGTATCAGTATCCATTCCAGTAAATGAAAGCCCCTTATCCTCAGCTATCTTCTTTGCTTATAACTGGAGGTAATTTCTCACTCACTGTTACCTCCTATTCAACAGAGCAAAAGTGCAGTTTACATGAATAAACTGAACCAAAGAAACTGATGGTCAATGTGGATCTAGGCTAAACATTACTACTTCTGGATAATTTTGATAATCTCATACACGGGTTGTTGTTTCTTTTTGAAAAGCTGAACCATGGTCTTGTACAGAACAGGGTAAGTGGACTGATCATACAATTGACCTTACACCTGTAATTTTGGGAACATTATGGTCACAGATTTCCTGCCATGTCTTGAGACAACCCTGTTAGAAGTTAGGACCTGTGTTTCAAACCTCACTAAAAACGTCACAAAGCTGAGTAATTCGCAGGATAGAGCTGAGAGCCAGAGTTTAAAAGAACATGACTGGACAGGTGCAAGCACAGAAAAGTCTTAATGCTAAGAGTCATTTTTAGAATTTTTCTGTGACCCTCCCACCTAGTCACACTGTGACTGTTAATGTTTGACCAAAGTCCCGAATCTCACCATGCCTGTAGTCTTAGGAAAATGCAAATTGTGATAATCTTGATATGTTTTGATTGATACATTTTTGACTACAGAGTGAAGTGTAATGTTTCTAAAGCAAAGCGTGATCATTTAAAAGAACTGCAGAATTAAACACACAACTAAAAGCAACACGCTACTGGTTTCTAATACCCATTGTGCTAGAATTCTTTTGGATCCTAGTTTGCCCACTTGTAGAGTAAGGAACTGGTACAGCACGTGTGTATGTACCTTTAAAGTTACAGGTACAGTATCCAGGAAGATGATGGAAAAAATTTTAAGTATATGCAACAGAAAGGTTTAGGAATCATTAATTTTAATACTCTTCCTCCTTTTTAATATTTTATTTTATGTTTGCAAAAGACCATTCCTAAAATTAGTACTGATGATAGTTAATTATTATTACAACAAAAAATACTTTTTAACAACTTAGTGTGTATATGTATTAGATTCAGCCTGACAACCATATTTTCTCATTCTAAGGTAGTAATTCTTAACTGAATTTCAAGAATCTCTTTGAGAATCAAATGATATTTCTGAACCACATCAAGAGAAAAATCATACATACATAAAACATATATATGTATACACATGTAAACACACACGTGCAGACTTTGACATTAAGAAACAATTGGATTGCCTAGATGTAAACCCTGGCTTGAAAATTTATTATGTGACTTCAGATAATTTCCATACTCCTCTATGCCTTAGTTTCCTCATCTATTAGAGAGAGGGGAATGGCCCTTACCTCATTGAATTTTGTGAGAATTAATTGACTTAATATGAGGCAAGGGCTCAGACCACTATCTGGCCTATAGCACTCCATCAACCTTCATTTTGATGATGACGATGAGCATTTGGAGACATTCACAGACCCTTGGACCTGCAAACCCCCAAGTAACCCCAGGTATATAAACACTGTCTGTTCATGTGAAGACAGGATAGACAAACCCATGCAAAATTATTCTGAAATAAATCTGGGCCCAGATTTAGAGGCAGATATTTTATCAATCTATTTACTTAGAATCTTAATACAACTTTTTTATTTGCTCCAGTTAAAATTTAACTATCTGGCTGGGCTGAATAGCATTTGAGAAAAATAGAATGAAGCAAAGTATATTTAGTTATCTACAGACTTATGAGAGGTCTGGTGTTTTATTTACTGTTCTAGTATTTGTTTTCAAAAATAATTTTAATACATTCAATTAATTTACTTTAATGTTTATCAAAGATTTCTAATATTATCACATCTGATTCTTAAACACCGTTCTGGGTAAGACATAATGGGTATTATTCACCTCTTTTATAAGAAAAATAAGCTCAGATTCAACAGGTAATTTGCCCTATTAAGCAAAAAACAAGTGACACAATTATGGCTGGCTCCCAGATCATCTGAACCCCATGATTTTTTACTTGTTTCTTCAATCAGAAGACAAATAAGCTCCACCTGCAAACTATCTAGAGAGACACGAAAACTAAGTTTTGGACATTATAATCCTTTACAAAAACTAGAGGATCTACTTTTCTAGAAGAAACGAGTGCCTTTTTTGAATGTGATTTTACATACAAAGGGGAAAAAAAGGAAAGAAAATGTTTTCAAAAGTAATGTCAGGATTTGTAGTATTCAAATTACCTCAATTTGAATACTTACCTCATTGTAAGAATAGAGAAAATTCTGGTTTTCTGGGGTATGTGGATGATCTTCTCTTACAAAAACTTCTTTTTGTTCATTCTGTACCCAGAGCTCCAGGCCTCTTGTAGGTGGTGGTTTAATGAAAGGAAGCAAGGAGTTAGTGTCAGGGAAGGATGCTTCAGCACTATGGCCTCTGGGAGCTTTCTTTGTCTCCAACAAAGGGGCTACAGAACATCTTTCCACACTGGGGGACTCCTCAATTTCACTGAATTCAAAAGATTCTATTGTGCTGTTTATAGACACATATTTGGCAGGGTTGCTGTGTTCCACTACTTTTCGGGATGATCGTATGACTTTGTTTCGATTGCTGTAAAACAGAGCTACCCACATGTGAAGTAAAAGCTTCACTTCTTCCACGTTATCAGGTAAATCAGTGTTCCAGGGCCTGAGATTGTAAAGAAAAAACATACAAAAATCACTGAAAATGGTTATTTTAGATGATTTTCTTCTAGGCAAGTGCCTTTATTATTAACCTTAATTTTTGTGTTACGTTTAGTTTTTGTGAACATAGTTTTTAGTGTTCATTTTTATTTAAAAAATTCATGAACATGAAGCAATGAATAAAATAATAATGTTCATTTAATAAGTAATTATGATGTGTCTAATCTAATTTTATATAGGCAGAGAATGGAACCGAAGATCAAAGCTTTAAGTGACTTCTTTCAAATCACAAAACCTGTAAATGGTCGAAAACATGATAAAATATTAGGTCTCTTAACTCCTAGCCTCTGATTTTTCTTTTCTAACATGCAAAGTCTCCTGGACACAGGGTACTTATTATGTGGACAATGGTTTCAGCAATTGCCCAAATCCTCATTTCCTTCCGTTTGCGAAGTGTGGCTTACTCATTTCCACTTTCACATTTCTCTTCTAATAATTGGGAAAGTATGAAGATTAAATGATCTCTGTGGGCAATTCAGCAGAACTATACTGTTTTCATATTACAGTTCTAGAAAATCTCCTGAAACCAAAAGGGGAGATACAAAACAGTTCTGGCCATCGCCAGACAAAAGGAAAGGAAGGACCTGGATTGGGATGACTCAGAGGGTCTATAGAGGTAGGTTTCAGTGAAACAGGGTTAAGGCTAAGATTTGAAATGGCCCTCATCAGTAGATGGGAACATAAATATACATATGCTCTTTTGAGTGTGAGCTCATAACTGAAGCAAGGAAAGAAATTTGACACAAAATTTAGTCATTCACATATCAAATATTCCACTAATAGGTAGCTCAATGTCATTTAATATGGCTAATGCTTCCTGTTGATAGTAATGGTTATCATTCATTAGTATGTGCCAATCACTGTGCAAATCTCTAATGCATATACAGTCATACCTCGGTACTTGTTGGCTTCAGAACTTGTCAAACCCTATACTCATCACACTGACAAGAAAAAAATATTTCATCACTCATTGCTTGCTTGGTACTTGTTGGTTTCAGCGCTCATCACAAGTACCAGAAACAATTAACGATGTGTACTGAAGTACCACTGTAACATCCTCGTAATGTAGCTACTACTAAACTCACACTTAAAAGTGTTTAATGCTCCACTGGCACTGATTGTCTGGAAGTTTGTAAGACATGTAGACTCTCAGTCCCCATTCCAAACAGACTGTCAGAATCTATAGTTCAGGGAAATCCCTAAAAGGATTGTGCACATAATGAAGACTGAGAAGCATTGTCTTAAAACACAGGGACTTCTGGATCACAGAATCCAGGAAGTGGAAGAGCCTAGATCAAAAACTGCATTAGTCCACACTGCAAAGCCCATGCTTCTGCCACTCTGCTATTATTGCCTTGACCCCTTTTTCGAGGAAGATTTACAAAACAACCCCTTGTAAAACCTCTCACTCATACTAATATGATCAACTTCACAAGTTAGAATTCTTTAAATGTTTCTTCTGAAATTCAGTCTTTAAAGCATTATTTCTGTATCTATTTTACATTAAGCTCTCATGTAAATATAATCCAAAGATTGCAAAGCCTTGTGAAAGAACACCTCAAAGTGGAAAGCCATTTACAGGGCTAAAGTTACCTTGCAAAAGTTCTGCATGTGATCACTGATAGATAATAGTAGAATCAGCTTCATATTCAGCATCAGTGAACACAATTGCTTGATATTATTACTGACTCACTGAATTTACATACAACATTGCTTTCTCCTTTCCCAAGGTTTGGCACTAGTATTTCTACTCACTACACCTATCTCAATAGGAAATTCACCTCCGTTTTCATCAAGTTTCACTCCTACTTACCCATGTAATGCTCTTAGGATAGTTTTCTCCAGTGGGTTGTTGGTGTATTTGCTGTCTAAGCTGAATACATAGTTTGCTTCACATTTGAAAGTGACCTTGAAGGAGCCATTACAGCTGAACACAGTACGAGAGCAGTAGAAGTCTCTCAAGCTGGAGGAAAGCAATCTGCTCCTGCGCTTGAGTACCGGGTCCTCAGAAAGCTTTTGAAGAGGAGAGATGTTCTGCTGATGCCGAAATGGCATTACTTTCCCCACTGGGGTTCCAGCTTCAGGGCCTTTTGTACCATTCTTGGTGAAGGCAGGGCCAGGTGCCCCTCTCTGCTGTAGCAGCTTCTTTGAATGTTCTGCAAGGAGCAGAGCATAGGAATGTTCCACAGCAACAAAAGAACTTTGGCTTGTACCAGAAGTTTCTAGTGTCTCTTCAGGAAGTGCTGACTGGGCTTCAACAGGGGCCTGATTGACAGGAACCTCCTCTTGGCTGACAGTGGAGTCTGATGTCAGATTACTCTTCCTTTCAGAGGAGGGCTGAGGTAATGGTCCACCTTTTAGACTTCTAACTCCTCTATGATATTCATGGTCAGATGTACTGCTCAGAGAACGTTCTTTAGAAAGCAAAACATTGTTTTCTGGCAATTCGGACGAGCGGGGGAGGTTTCTGGGCTCGGATGGTGGTGTGGTAGAGGTAGCAGCGCTTAATGCTAGATCAGCTAACAGATTTAGGGCCTGGGAGTCACAACTGACAATGGAATTCTCAGCTGGAGCTTTCTGAGCCACTGTGATATTTTCTGGTTGAGTTGTATTTACACTATTAACATCTTCTTGCCCACGTGATGTAATTTTTGATTGAAGCTGTGAAACAGTTTCTCCTTTGGCTTCAATATAAAAGAAAAAAAACCACATAGCATTTGATATCCATATAATTAAATCTTTGCCATATGTATTACTATGGCTTAGCGAAAATCAATGGTTAAGTCAATACATTCAAGAAAAACCTCTTGATATGCTACATAAATGGTATATTAAAATTTTACTATCAGACTGAGGTCTCTTCCCACTCTCTGATCTATTGTAATATAATTACCAGAGAAACAAGCCCTAAGGAATGTGCATATTAACAAGAAATCACCCTTCGAACCACATACAATGCATCCTGCTCAATTGAGTGAATATACCAAAAGCAGAAAATGAGAGCCCTGCCCTCCAAGGGCTTACAATCTAGTGCAAACATAGGAATCTTGAAGTTTGAATTGTATGTTAACATACTTTCTTAGAAATCATTTCCCTTAACAAGTAATTAATCACCCAAGTTCAATAGAGATGATGATTTTAACCATACTGATGTTTACTTAAAATATGCAATGATATGAATAAAAACTTTTAAAGTCATGAGTATTCAGAAGAGCTAACCTATTTCATCACCTTTTAAAACTTTAATTTCTGCACTGAAAACATTTCTTCTCTATCTGCAAAACAGCAAATCTTCCTGTCTACTGATAATACTCTCTGTTGATAATCAAATCTACCTAACCCACTTGCCTTTAATTAGAAAACTGACAATCTCAAGTGGTTTATTTGTATTCTTAGGACACAGATTCAGCCTTCTCAAATGCAGTTATCATGAAGGACAAAATTCATAATATTAGGCAACCATTCCCTGTAGCAAGTGGGTAGATGGACAAAAAAAGCTAACTGTGCCCCCCTTTATAATTAACAGCAGCAGGTCTGGAATGAATTATTATTAACCTCCCTGCAAAGGACAATGATGACTTCTGGTCAAGATGGTGACACAGACAGACATGGTTTGCCTCTTCACACAACCACATCAAAATTACAACTAAAATATAGAACAACCATCACTCAGAGCCATCAGAAATCAAGTTGAACGGAAGTCTGACAACTGTAGAATTAGAGAAACCATATCCATCCAGACTGGTAGGGGTGGCATAGACAAGGAACAGGCCAGTCCCACACCCACTGTGGGGGATAAAAATTAGGGAGGAATATGCTGGGAATAACACTGATTATAAGGATGGTCAAGGAACTTAGTGAGGACCTCAACAGCACAAAAAAGATTCAGTTAGAAAGGAAGGATATGCTAAATGAAATAAAGAACAATTTACAGGGAAACAGCAATACAGTGGATGAAACCGAGAATTAATCAATGATATGGAACATAAGGAACCAAAAAACAACCAGTCAAAGCAACAAGAAGAAAAAAGAATTGAAAAAAATAAAAAAATAGTACAAGCAGCCTCTGGGACAACTTCAAGAAGTTCAACATTCTTATCACAGGGGTGCCAAAAGAAAAAGAGCAAGAAATTGAGAATCTATTTGAAAAACCAGTGAAAGACAACTTCCCTAACTTGGTGAAGGAAATAGATATACAAGGCCAGAGACTCCCAAACAAGATGATGCCAAGAGGCCCACTCCAAGACACATCATAATTAAAATGTCCAAGGCTAAAGAGAGAATCTTAAAAGCAACAAGAGAAAACCAGTTAGTTAGTTACCTTCAGGAGTTCCCATAAGGCTGTCATCTGATTTCTCAAAAGAAACTCTACAGGCTAGAAGAGATTGATTGGCAAGGAATATTCAAAGTCATGAAAAGCAGGAACCTGCTGCCATGATTGCTCTACCAAGCAAAGCTATCATTGAGAATCAAAGAGCAGATAAAGAGCCTACCAGACAAAAAAATAAACTAAAGGAGTTCATTATCGCCAACCCATTATTACATGAAATGTTAAAGGGACTTACTTAAGAAAAAGAGTATCAAAACAATGAACAATAAAATGGCAATAAATAACATATCTATTAACAACTGAATCTAAAAAACAAACTAAGCAAACAAGAACAGACACAGAATCATGGATACAAACATTTTAATGGCTGCCAGATGGGAGCGGGGCTGTGGGGGAGAATGGGCAAAGTGGTGAGGAGATTGAGAAGTACAAATAGGTAGTTACTGAATAAGGAATATAAAGTACAGTATAGGAGATAGAGTAGCCAAAGGACTTATACGCTAGGCCCATGAATATGAACAATGGTGAAGGGATGGCCTGAGGGAGTCGGGGGAAAAGGGGAAATATCAGGACAACTGTAATAATAATATCATCAATAAAATATAATTTTTTAAAAAAGCCAATGACTGATACATTCAAAAAGAAGAAAACTCTGGTCTAAGGAAGAAAAGTATGTGTGTATGATAGGGAGGGTAAAATTAATCAATCACGGCCCAGTTTTTATTTAAAATAGCAAAACCCAAGGGGATCAGTGGAAGAAAGTAACTCAAAGCCTAGAACTGTCTCATTAGCCACATGTATTGGAAATATAAAATTAATTCTATGCTTTTGACACTAATTTATTGAGACTAATTTCACTCTATGTTAACAATATGGCTCTTACACAGAATATCACCTACAAATATGGTATGGTGAAGACAAAGAATACTGTACTAAAGTCAAGAAAAAGTGTTTGAGTTAATGAATATGAATAGTTTCAGGTAAATCATTTAACTATTGACTTGTTTGAGGTTCTCACTCAATTGAAAATACAATACTGATAATCTACCTTAAAATACATAAGAGAAAGCCAAATGAATTATATAAAAAATATAAAGAGTTCCGTAAATAAAAACTATATTGAAAACTTTAGAAAGGACAGAAAAATCCTTAGTTTCAGTAAAATGACTGAACCTTCTTAAACTCTTTATATTTCAAGCATAAAAAATGAAACAGATTAGTACAGATGATTAAGAAATAAAAAAAACTTAAGAGATTATTTAAAATGTGGTAATTTTAAAACTTTAATTTTGAAAGTGGCTGCACAACACATACAGACATCTGAAACACAAGTCAGCTTATTTTTGCTATATATTTTGAAAACTTTTCATGTTCTGCACCCATTTTTTGGCCAATACCCAATTGCATACACCTTTTCCCATTAGTTTATTAGTCTACAATTATCTGACAGCCAATTTTATAAAGCATTCAAATGACATGGCTAAGAACATAAATATTATATATTAATATATCCTCATGTTACACAGTGAATGACTGGAGAATAAGTTATGAATTTCATAATGTTCTCAAAAACCCAAAAGGAAATAAGACAAAGGTGAGAGATCAGTGAAGATCAAAGCAGAAGGAAAATGCCCTCCTATGGAGGCAATTTAGGGTGAGCTGGATATGGAGTGGTGGAGGGAGGGCACTGGAATGTAAAGAGGAGTGATGCCTGTGGGGAGGCACTGGCAAGAAAGAAACATGTTAGGAAAGAGCAGGAGAGAAATATGGACCCTAGGGGGAAGAGCACATGAACTGCCTTGAAAGAGATGCAGAGATTTTGGTATGGATTCCAAAACTGCAACACTATGGGGATGACAATATGATGAGCTTTTAAAAATTATTCAGTCATCAATATTTTTAAAAAAACAACTTAGAAAACAAAAACCAAGCTCACACCTAATGCCATCACCCCAACAAAACCACAGTTTCTTTCTCTGAAATCTCACTAAATACAGGATTTTTTGAAAAGCTAAAAATACATTAAGGGAGAAAGGAGTTCAGCAAGATTAGACAGAAAAGTGATAGAAATATAAAGGTATAAAACAAAATAAAAAAAACACACAATACAATAGGACTCAATACTGGGGATAAGTAGAACTGCACTATGCACAGAAAGGAAAGTTATGAAGGGATGTGGACCTGGAAGAAGAGCAGGTGTGTGTTCAGTTTCAGATGTTAAGGTCTGTGAAGACAATAGCACTTCCACGTAAACAGGCTGTGTCTGGCAGTTTGAAACACAGAACTTAAGCAGTCATTTGTTCATATAATTAACCTTCATTATCCACTTAGCAAAACTAAGAAAGTAAAACTGCTTTAAATATAAATTTAATGCCTTTTAAAACCAAATACAGGATTCTGTATTACTATTTTGAACAATCTTTTTATTACTTCCTTGGACAAATAAAATTATAGCTTAAACTAATATGGGCCACAAAAATAGTGCCAGATACTACTTGCTTGTGCATTTAGTCATAAAAATGGCCATTTATGACTCTTGTAGACAGTTCATATTCAGGCTTTATGCAAACTAAAAAGTAGGTCTATTTTGTGATATTTGAATCCTTTGCACTTTCCTAATTTAGTTCCAAAAGAAAATCAAGTTACTTAGTTCCATTAGTGTCTGAATTAAAGAATGTAACAAGAATTGATAGATTTTTAATTGTTCTTTCATTATTTCAATACACTAACTTACAACCCTGAAAACTCTGCGTGTGGTGTTTAAATTTACAGGAAGAATATTTCTTACCAGGTTGTGGCTGCTTTCTGATTCTGGGATTCTGATTGCCTTTTACTATATTTACCCTCTGTTTTTGTGGAGATTTCTTCACAGGTGGCTTAGCCCTCGGAACAGTTTTGACTGGAGATTTCTCTTGTTTCCTTGCCCTTTTAGCATTCGTTGCAACTGGAACATCTTTAGAAATAGGAGCTTCTTGGTTTTTCCTATCCAATTTGGTTGTCTGTACAAACAGTGCAGTCAGCACTTCAGCACCTTATGCAGAAAAAGGGGTAGGGGGCTCAGATATTTATCAGCATAGCTTTCCCTTTTTTTAGGGTGTAACTTTAGTAATGAGAAATAAAATATAAAATTTTGGATACTTCATTAAAAGATTTTTTTTTAACAAAGCAAGAGTTCGAAGTTCTCATGTAAATATGAAACTATGAATTTGCTAAGTGTCAGTCTATATTCCTACCAGGTGAAGAGGAAAAATATCAAAGTAATGACTTTAAAAAACAAGGTGTAACTTAATTTTTCTAATTTGCCCTGAGCAGTATGGTTCAGTTGGTTGGGCATTGTCCTGAAAAACAAAAGGTTGCTGGTGTGATCCCGTTGGGGTGTGTGTGAGAGGTAACAGATAATGTTTCTCTGTCACACTGATGTTTCTCTCCCTTCTCCTTACCTTCCTCTCTCTAAAAATAAATAAATAAAATCTTTAAAAGAGATAAAAAAATAAAAATCTCCATCTTTCCAAATATGACAGGTTAAGGCTGAATATGCTAGTTCATAACACTGGGAGACAGATAATGCATTGTACACAAGAGCAACACAGTCCCTATAAGGTAATGTGGTTGAAACTATAATCACACTTCATAGAAGAGATTGTACATTTATAAAGTGTCATCTTATATATTTCCCTTTACTACTCCTAAATATCTAAGTCTTAATACCACCCCCCAAAACCATTTTTAAAGACAAGACAGAAAAAAGCACACTAAACAAAGTCTTCACCTGATTTAATTTCCTACAAATGTGTTATATAACTGCTATCTCTTACAAAATGCTCAGCTTTGCTTCTCACATGGAAGGAAGAAAATAGCCAAAGATGGAGGCACAAGAGGAAAACACAACTAGTGACCACCTGCTTATATAACACAATATAAAGTTTTTAACCTTTTATGAATTAAAAACGTTTAGTAAGTGCTCCCTTTGGACACTTAATACATTTTACCCATTGACTTTATATAATTTCAGTTATTTCCCACCAAAAAAAAAATTAGCCCCAAAGGTATCATATAAAATAATGATACATATAAATGTTGGCAAGTATCAGTATTTTAAAATTACATTATACAGAAAACAATATTTCTAATTGAGATCAGAAAACATGATACTGAACAGTTAAGAAACTGTGATGATTGCTAGTGCAATGCAGAGAAGAGACCAACTCATTTCCTATTTCAGGAGGGGGAGTTAGAGAAAGCAGTGGTTTTAAAAAAAGCTTTAGAATCTCTTCATGTTATACCCCTATTAGACCCCATGTCCCTGGATCTAATTATTTCTCTCCATACTAAATAATAAAGCAGCAATTTTTTAAAGGAATAAGACCTATTTTTCAGCCAGTTCCAAATTTTTAGCATAAAGAAAGGAATGTAAACAAATTAAGAATATAAAGCAGGAAAACAGTAAGACTAAGAAGATAGGAAATAAGATGAGATGACCAAGACCTAGGGGTAAGTTTTTAACACATACACAACAGGGAGGGAAATCTCTCACAGCCCAGGTCCTGGGAGGAAAAACTGAAACATAAAAAAACCAAGGTTGTCCTTCAGGGACTCCTCTGCTTATTTCTATTATTCAATGCCATGGTTTTCAAACTGCATGCAATAATCCACTGATGGGTTATAAAATAAATTTCATGGGATGCAACCAGATTCATTCTTAAATAAAACAGAATGGTGTAGAAAATATCAGATTGTATTACACATACGGCATATGTCTTTTGAAATTTTTGTTTCAGTCATGTGAATTTTTATGCACTGGACTACAAAATGAAACACATTTCTTATACTGGATGAAATTTAAAACATTTGAGAAACAGACAATATATACATTGAATTATAGATAATTTATTTAACATCTTAAAGTAAATTGGCTCATACACAGTAGAAACTCAATACAGTTGGCCTGGAATTTATTTGTGATTCACTGCTTTCTATAACCATACTTTCCAGCATGCTCCTAAACACATATACAAACACCATTTTTGCAAACTGTAGAAGGCCAAAAGTAACCATTTGTTGAACCACAGGCTAAAACCCTAATTATCTAGAATTCTGGGGTTCTACATATGCCTGATGTTTCTTCTCTAGGCACCAAACTTTCTAGAATCAAAATAGTACAGATAGGGTTGACACACCTTTTTGTGAAAGACCAGACAGTACATTTTCAGCTTCGAATGTCCTACGTTCTTGGTCACAACCACTCACCTCTGCCAACATCATGTGATGTAGCCAGAGACAACTGGTTCAGGAGGGGCCCTTTGACCACACTTTGCTGATCCCTTCTCTAAAATGTCACATAGTATATAGTGCCCTACTTTTCAAAAAAATATACCACCTATAATCTGAGATGGCCCTAAGGCGAAATTGTGTTGTTTGTTTTACTATGTTCACTAAAGTACATTTAACTACATACTAAATGTCTCCAGACTTTGATTCTCACTCAACGTTTATAGGGCAACAAAACCACTTGTAGAACTGTTTCAGTTCCCTAGGCCGCTAAACATTCTATTTCAATAGGTCTATGGCAGGATCCAGGTCACCATTTTTAAAACCTCTGACACACATAAAGAATTAGAAATTCTGCCCCAGACTGTTTGGAGGTTCCAGGCATTTCTCCTCCCCTCTTCATACATGTTCGGGCTAATGCTGGTTATTACTTTTTGCTGGTATTGGTATTCCTGATTTTAGAAAATTCTCTTCTTCCACTCTTGCTTGTCTGAAGATAGCTGAGAAACAGGATAACCATCTTTCTAGAATGGTACATTAATAACTGATGGCTTGAACACTTTTAGAGTAAAATATAGCTTTTGGTGGGTGGGCTTTTGAGGCGGTATCTTACAGTTTTTCCTATTTCTTGACTTTAATCTGTCACCTGCCTCAATGCTTCTCAAACTTAAGCATGCAGACAAATGACCTGGAGAGCAATGTTAACATTTCTAACAAACTTCTAATACTGCAAAGCTGACGTCCACAATGATCAGAAAGGAAAAGTGTTAGAACACAACACTTATAACTAACTCATTTAATAGTTCCCATAAGTCATGCTTACCTCTTTTTCTTTTCTGAGGAAACTGTCCTTTAACTAATTTGAGAGTTGCTGGAGGGACTGAACCCTTGTTCGCTCCAGCAGGAGTTCTTTTGGGGAAGGGACGACACAAGTTCATTCTTTTACTCTGCACCAAAGGAGGTGTGCTGGCCTTTCTCTTCGGCTGAACTCTAAGATTTGATGCTGGATTTAAGGGAACTACAGTTCTCTTCCTAGCTTTAAATGTTTCTTCAGAATTCTTTTTTGTTTCAGTTTCTCTTCTTACTTCTGCCTCTGAGTCCAGAAATTCAGAATCTGGAGTCATAACTAAAGAAAATCCAGCATCACAAATTCCATCTGAAATACAGGGAGACTGAGGACGCTCTGCCAATAAATCTAACGCCGTAGATACTTCCAAAATGTACCCACTAGGATCTGAAAAATAAGACTTCAACTGAGTTAAAGACTTTAAAGAGCACTTTTCAGCTGGAGGAACCAAGTCAAAACTATTGGACAGTCTGCCAAAAAATGCAGTCTCTTTCATTTCATCCTGAGAAGTGGTAGTCAGTGGACTTCTCTCCATCTTGCAATATTCTTGGAAATTATGCTTTACTAATGTGTTTAAACACATTCCTTCTTCAGTAAATGATTTCTTTGCTTCTAGCAGGGCACAATTAAGGGCAGGTAAAATAGGTACCACCTTCAATGAGATGTCATCTTCAACTTTCAAGTCTTTAAACCCTAAAATATATATACATACATTAAAAACCTCAAATGTTTTAGCCTTTATTTTACAAAAATGTACAGACAAAAATGCTTTAAATTACAAAATCATAAAATAGTTAAATATAATATAGTGTTTCAAATGAATATTAAAAGACTTATTTAATGAAAAAATATATATCCATGCATATGTAACCACATGAGAGAGGGAGAGAGGGAGAGAGAGAGAGAGAAAATGAGAACTGGAAAAGAAGCATCCAAATGCAATCATCAGGTCAGAGTGAAGAGGGATGACCTGCCTCCAAGCTGGATCTCATCCGACCAGGAACCCAGCATCAGCTCCATGTACCATCAGAGCAATAGCACTGGCACCTAGAGTTGGCAGATTTGCTATTCTACTTTTTAATTATCAGTTTCTGCTTTTAAAATATCTTATTTATCTCTACCTTATATAATTTCAAAATTTTTGTTAAGAAATATTTATTGACTTTTGGAGAGAAAGAGAAATATCGATTTGTTGTTCCACTCATGTATGCATATATTAGTTGATTCTTCCATGTGCTCTGACCTGAGATTGAACCTGCAACCTTGGGTATCAGGATGATTCTCTAACCAATTGAGCTACCCGGCCAGGACCATTAAAAAAAAAAGTTATAATGCTAACCAACTGTGCTGAAAAAAGTAAGAACCTTAAGTAAGCCTCAAATTTCATCACCTTCTCTATCAAGTAAAAAAATTTTTTAAATTAAGTAATTAAATCAACTAGTCTGTTTTACTTCCTCTCACTTTTTGAAATGCTCACTTTTGTCAGCACATCAATAACCTTAAGGAGAAAGAGGGGGATAAATTAAAAAATTTAAGAGTTATCATAACAACTTAATAATGTAAGAGTAATCAGATCACTAAGAAGTGGTTAATAAAGTTCAAGAAAATTTATGAGTTATCAATAATAAAGACCCACAGATAACAATGACTTCTGGTACCTACTAAACTGAAGTATGAATTACATTATTTTTAAAGAAAAATAACTGCAAAATTAAGAAAACATCAAATTAGTCCTAGGTAAATATATCTGCACTTGAGCAGATACTGTGAAAAGGAATAAAAATACAAATATGAATAAGCAAAAATGTGGCTACACATTAAAAATTCCTTTCTTTACAATTTATCATTTAAAAAGTAATAAGTGAAGAAAAATAAAATATAAAAAGGTTCTTGCTTTAGCCAGGTGGCTCAGGTGGTTGGAATGTCATCCGTACACCAAAAAGTTGCAGGTTTTTTTTCCCAGTGTGAGCACATAGCTAAGTTGTGGGTTTGATTCCCAGTCAAGGCACATATTGGAGGCAACTGATAGATGTTTCTCTGCCTCTTCTCTCTGCCTCTAAAGGAAAAAAAGGTTCTAATGTACTACCAACAGTTCATTCTAAAGTAGCATTTTTCCAGACAACTGCATTATTTCAAGAATTTAGAGCTCTGGCTGGTATGGCTCAACTGGTTGGAGTATTGTCCCTATAAACTGAAAGGTTGTGGGTTCAACTCCTGGTCAGAGTACATGCCTAGGTATAGGTAGGGCCATGCATAAGAGACAACCGACTGATATTTCCTTCTCACATAGATGTTTCTCTCCATCTCTCTCTCCCTCCTTTCCCTTTCTCCCCACCCCCTCCCCCTAAAATCAGTAAGCATGCTCTCTGGTAAGTTTAAAAAAAATTTTAGAAGGCAGAACCCAAAATGAGCTGTAACAGACTATTATAAAATCTATGACATAGAACTTTTTAAGTCCGCTAAGTAAAGTGCCTATGAATTTAAAACAAATAACCTTAGTTCTGACCCTCTGAAAAACCACATATAGAAAATGTCTTAATGAATCAGAGAGGGGTGCACACTGCAACATAACTCTCCGATGTTTGTTCAACCAAATCCTGTGCTCTTAAACACCAAATGGTGCAGGCAGGGATGTTACTTATTTGAATGGTAGTTTACATTTAAAAAAAAATTTTTAAAGATTTCATTTATTCATTTTTAGAGAGGGGAAGGGAGAGAGGAAGACAGGGAGAGAAACATCAACATATGGTTGCCTCTCGCGTGCCTCTTACTGGGGACTTAGCCTGCAACCCAGGAAAGTGTCCTAGACTGGGAATTGATAGAACCGATGACCCTTTGATTTGCAGGCCAGCACTCAATCCACTGAGCCACACCAGCCAGGGCTGTAGTTCACATTTAAAAATAAGAATGACATCAGAGCTCTGAAAGAAGAGGAAGGAGTATTGGAAAGGAATTAGAAGCTAGCTCGAGAGTTGGTTGTTTGACCACAAGTTTAGGCCTCAGTTCCATCATCTTTGAAAAGGTCATATTAAGAATACCTATTTTAAGGGCTGCTAAATCAGTTATTGCATACCTACCACAAAACCTGACAAGTAAACCTGACAAGCATTGCAAGTAAATGCGTGAAAGTACAAACAGCTATTGCCATTATATTGTTATAATTTGTAACTGTTTAGTCCAAATAAGTGATGCTGAAGAAAATGCAGTTCTGTTTTGAATAATGGATTGCAATTTTACGAAATCAACTTTAAAAACATTTTTGTATTGGTTGTTGGTCTATAAATGCTACACACAAATTTGTGTTTAGAGTGATTATAAAGCAAGGAGGAAAATTTCCTCAGACAACAAAAAGAAACGACTCATTTCACTTTATTTACTTGTTTGGCAAACATTTATTATTTTTTATATGCTTGGCATTGCTAGGCAGTAAGGATACAAAAGGGTACAAGAAAGGCAGGCATTAAATCATATATAAGTAAATACTTAAATTCAATTAATGATAAGTCTAGGGTACTCACTGAGGTCAGAGTGGTGATGGGGAATCATAAAGTAACATAAACTGACACCTGACAGATATGAATAACAGACCAGAATAGGTCAGAGCTTCTCTTGATTTTATTCATTTATCCAGCCCCTTATGCCAAGAACCTTTTTAGACTTCATTTCCTAACTGCCCTCTAAAATTTTAATACCACAGATAAGTTGTATATCTATTTTTTTTACTGTATTAGTAATGTTTTTTGCACTATAGAGGTAAATACCACCCAATAAAAGGGAAGGACAAGTAGTCCAGACAGAGAACTGCATCTGTGAAGGTCATGACTCCTACTTATTTGGTGGACTGATAAAAAGTACCTCCTAGCTATTGTTGTTTTTTTTAAGATGAATTTTTATTTATTTTTAAATCACTTTTAGCCATAGTTGACATAAAATACTGTATTAGTTTCAGGTGTATGATGTAGTGATTCAACATTTATATGCCTTACAAAGCAATCACCATTAAGTCTAGTAACCACCTGTCACCATACAGAGTTATTATACTACTATTCTCCTGGCTATTATTGTTCAATACCAAATAAATTCAGTTTTGAACATGCTTAATTTGAGGAACATCAGAGACATCTTAACTGAAAAAGTTAACTGACAGGTGGATATCTGGGTATGAAGCTCAGAAAGAAGAGTAAGTATGCAAAGGGGATGAAGAATTGACCAGGGAGGTTGAAGGAAGAGTTATTTAAAAGAATACTTACTAGGGTTGATGGGTAAGTAAGTTAAGGACAAAAAATATGCAACAGATTTGGTGAAATGGAAGCCACTGTGCCCTTACCTGTTGACAGGGATGAGTGGAATAAATGTAATCCATGTACAGCCATATGCTCATCTCCAAAATCTATACAGAATGAGAATCAGAAGACAAGTTAGGTTGCTGACCTTACCTTATAAAACAAAAAGTAAACATACTGAAAAATAGTTTTTTTTAAAAGTTGTCCTTACTTGTTTCTGATATTAAGGCTGATGATGTAAGTAAAATGAAAACCCCACGATCTTCTAAGCATTTGATGAGTGCCTTGAACATTTAAAAAAAAAAAAAGAAGATTCAATTCCTCTCCTCCCTCAACCACACTCAAAATTCTCTGCAAGTAAATAAATAAATATCTTAAAATATTAATGTTTATGGGAATCAGGAGAATTTTGCCCCCAGTATTAGGAATTGCAAGTCCCTTTAGTGCTCAATTAATCTTGGCTCAATCAGGGCTACATATAATAACTAGAAAATCAAGGGTTAGTTTTAGGATAATGACAAACCCATCAGAAAAGACTTTCACTTTTTCACTGAGATGTTTAACATTTCATACTGCTGACTAAGTAGCCAATCCATTACCATTTAGCTACTACAAATTCAAGGTGAATTAGATCTATGATTAGAAGCTTAAGCTCATGTTTATATACAACATGTCACAGAATACTAAAACTAGAAAGACTAGAAGATTCTATCTAATAAAAGAATCCTTTCCACAGTATCCTGAGATGGAAAATAAATTAATAGAAAAGAACATAATTAGCTCCTGAGGCAACAGAAAATGCAGATGAAAATAAATTCTCTCTCCCTTTCTCCATCCACCAAGGGGGAATCTTAAGCTCAAAACAAACAAACAAACAAACAAACAAACAAAAACAAAAGAAACAAACCTTGACATTTTAATGTTTACAGCAAATTGGGGAGTTTATCTAAATACCATCATTCTAAATCATAAAAATAGTTTCTCTTTTCTGTTACCATTTCTAAAGCCTATATACCCATAACAAAGATAAAACCCAAAGCTTATATAGTAATTTTTCAGTTAAAAAAAAAACTAAACAAAATACACCAATAAAATATTCTATTTTAAAGATTGATAGGTCAGAAGCTTAATACTATGGCAAATTGACACATCAATAACATTTCAAGTATGAAAAAATTTTTCTAACATTTCTTAGTTCTAATTACTATAGCAGAACTAAGTTTTGACACTGATAATTCACATATAAAACATCATTGTGAGTTTCCATACCTTTCTATTATAATAGTATAGCCCCTATGCATTATGCATTCAATAGTTTATATTTTTGTCTCCCCACAGTCTTCAAGTTCCTTGATGGGAGGAACTATTTTCTATTTTTGACTCTGGCACATAGTAAGCACTCAAGAAAGAATTACTAAATAAATACATCAGTAATTACATATACCCACAGCTTTGGTATCTATTAAATTGCAAACAGGTATAGTTCTTGTTTCATTTTCTATTGATGTAAAAAAGTGACAATAATTAGTTTCTACACTGTTCTGCAATTTAATTTTGTAAAATAGATAAAAAGTAAAATTCCTATCTACTTAAAACCATACCTCTCTATCTTCCAAAAATATGTAAATGAAAATAGAAATATGTAGTATAAATTATTAGACTCAAATTATGTGTTGACAGGGCTACATAAAATTTCTATTTTAACCTTTATGGGGAGAAATCATAGAATTTTTTAAATGTGTACTTCTAGATACTTACACACAGAAAATATCTAGCCACGCACGTGCTTAACACCCTTTTAAAAAGAGACCTTTCTCTGTACTGTTCTTGAAGTTCAGTGTTCTAGGTACAAGCCCACATACAGTTTATTCTAGGGCTACTTATTGCTCATCCACTATACACCAAGGTGTCAAAGATGCTTAAGATGTGATACTTGCCTTCAAGAAACTCAGCGTCTAGCTGGGGAGACTGATATATAAAAATTATTCATAATATATGAAGCAAGAAAAGCATGGAGCACTGAAGAGGACCTTGAGTGATGTGTAATTTCTGTAACTATTATTACTTAACAGGTTTCAAAGCCAAGTTCTGCACCAAATCTCTATTATTTTCAATACTATAAGCACTCACAAGTAGTCCCTTCTCTGATGGATTTTCTTAAAGTATCGCTGGACTTTATTCCTCTTTCAAAAATAAAATCAACTATGGTTCTTCAAATATTATAGCCTACAATTCTAGTTATTCAGTCAGCATCCAATGTTGCCCATTCCAACTCCTTACTACAGAAAGAGTTCTCTGCTGTGGAGTACCACTGCAGTTTGAGTGGGACTAACCTCATACCCGATTCTGGAAGGTGAGCTCTCAATGGTTAGAGATAATTAGTATAGTCCATTTCCTTTGCAGTTACTAACTGAGAGATGTACAGACCTCTCTTCCCCCTCCACCTCCCTCTTCCTTCCTCTCCTCTTTCTCCCTCCCTCCCTCCCTTCCCCCCTTTCCCCCTTCATCTCGCCCCCCACCTCTCTCTCTCTTTGAAAACAGAGATTAGTACCACTGACTAGCAGTCTCAGGATGAAACTATCATACAGAGGAGGGTGGAGCTGAAGAGAAAGTCCTGAGCAAACAGTAGTTGAACTTGTCTTATCACCTAGAATTGAAAAGTACAACCTGTTAAAACTCTTTATTGTTTAAGCCAGTTTGGGTTTCTGTTACAAGCAACTTAAACTATGTTAACTGACACTATCCCTAAGACAGCTTACCTTCAAAGGCTCTACACATATTCTACTTTAATTTATTGATTTCTTGTTACTTTAGCAGACAGTCCATCATGTCAATGAAGGGCTCAAAACTTGTTTGATCAGTGTCCTAACACTCACACCATCTCCTTTGGGAAGTTTAGGAATCACTCAGTAAAGAGTTAGTGTCTACTTCTATCCTCACAATGAGGAACCCTGGTTAACATAACAAAGTCTTTGTATCTGATCTATTTCTCAGTAGAGTACCACTTTCTACACTAGAAAACAGTAGAAGCAGCAATATTTCTGCTCTCCCCCCCATAAACCTATGGAGGGACACAGGTCACTTTTAAAGAACTGTCTCATAAGTGGTCTTTTGATTAATTCCAAACCACTAGGAATCTACTCAATTCTTTTGCCATAAAGTAAACAAACAAAAAGAATGAGAAAAATTGTCCTTTTATTCTCAAAATCTGTAGTATAAACTGACTAGTGAAGTATAAACTAAGATGCAAAGATGATGAAAATATCAGTCCATAAATATGATGTCAATAACATCAATCAATATTAAAGGATAAAAATCTTTTCAGCAAGCTAAAATGATTTAATTTAGGCACAACAACTATTAATTAGATACCAAATTCTTAATTAAAAAAATACTTATTTTACATTGATCATTCTTACCAATTGCTTATTTTTAATGACTTCCATTACTTTATCTATTTTTTCGCCTTGTTTGTTTGATAGTTCAACTTCATACATATTGAAGCACATATCTTGGCAACAGACTGGACAAAAATCAGAAAAACAACATTTCTTACTTTAAAATGCTATTATACTTTTTAAATAATTAATTTATTCATTTTATATAGTAAGACAAAAGAAAAACTAAGAATACAATTTTAAAAAATTATCACCCAATTTTCTTAGTTATAAAACATCTTAAAGTTACTGTATAAAGTATTTGAAAACAATGCTTTCATTTATATTGATACTACTATAACAAGGCAAATAAAACACTATATAAATAATGTAAACATCATTGAGTGAATTAATCTAAATGAGAGACACTTTCATTTCACTCTTTCTGCTTTTTCCCTCTCGTTTACAAGTATGTAACTAGGATGATGAGCACACAATGCCCTATATAGATGATATATATAGGTATAGTACATTCGAAACTTATATAATCTTATTCACCAATGCCACTGCAGTAAATTTAATTACAATAAGAAAAAAGAAGTATATACATTAATAAAAGTAAAAATCATAAAAACTTCGGTCTCCTCAAAAGAAATGGTTATGAATCTTCAACTATTTGTAAGCATATCTGTTTACTTAAAACACTCAATACTCTATTAAAGCTAGACTTTGCAATCATAGATGAAACTACCTTACATACTTTCTAGCTGGCCTCCAAGGAACTGAATCACATAGCAACTCTGCAACTTTCACAAAAGACTCAAATTTTAAGAATCGCTTAAGGAAAAACAAAAAATTAAGTGTATGTGTAAGAGGGGTAAATAACTGGAACAAAGCTCCAGACATACAGTATATCATTATATTTGAACAGACCTTTTTGCTGCTCCAAGTAATTCTGTTTTCGAAAGGCAGCTTCTGGTAGTCTTTTTTTCAAAGATGACACTTTCATTACATACTTAAAATCTAGTTCATGTGGTCTAAAAAACAAAACAATATCATGCAATATAATAAACATTGAAACTATCTACACCTTCATATACAAGATTTGGTTTTCTAATAAAAATATTGTAACCACAATAAACCACCTTTAAATTGGTAAACTCCAGGTCAAATAATATGTCTATTAATAAATACTACAGATTTTCAAATATATGACACCATAAACCATGGTCTGCAAATTTGTTCGTATTTTTCTGAATATATGTATTTTTGGTATAAATAAAATACTCAAATGTGTTGAAGAATTATGCATACTGTAATGAGAATTTTTCATGTAAGGATCGAAAACTTTTGACAACATTGCGCTGCCTACCATGCAATGTCACAGAACAAACCACACTGAGACTTTTGCATAATTTCACATGAATTCTTCTTCCTTCTTTAAAATTCATTTTGAAATACTTGTAGACTTACAGATGCCCTCTTGCTCCCTAAATACACCTGTTTCCTTAAAAAAAGGAACATTTCCCTATACAACTACAAAACGATTAGCAAAATCAAGAAGTTAATGGTATAATACAATTAATTAACCTATAGACCTTATTCAAATTTTGCCAACTGTCTCACTGAGGTCCTTTATAAAAGAAGAAAGGTTTTTATACATAGTCTAGGGTCCTATGAGGATGACACTACATTAAGGGTATGTCTCTTCAGTCTCCTTCAAAGTGGAAGAGTCTGTCTGTCTTTATCTTTAACGACTTTGTATTTCTGAACGATGTATACCATTTATTTTGCAGAATGTCTCTCAATCTTGGTATGTCTGTTTCCTCCTGATGTGAGTGGTAGGAATACCACAGAAATGATATGTTACTCACGTGCTTTCTGATGTGATGCACAAAAATACTAATTTCATTCCTGACAATGATAAGTGCTTATTAGTTAAGATGGTATCTACAGTTTTTTTTCATTGTAAAACCTGTATTTTTCTCTTTGTAATTAGTAAGTTAGTTGTGGGAAAATACTGTGAGATAAGTACATACCATCAAACTTTCACCTACTATTTTAAGCATCCACTGATTATTATGGTGTTGCCCATGGTGATTTTCTAATTCCACCATTCAGTCTATACTTATTAGTTGCATTCTGTAGTAAAAAAGAACTTGCCCTTCTTTGTCATTTATTTATTCACAGAATACTTACTTTAGTCTATGGATAATATCTCTATCTCCTTAAAAAAGGCCAATAAAAAATTAATTTAAATAGCACATCAGTTTTCATCTTATATTTCAATGAAATTAAGTCTACTTTTCAATGGTTTTCAATACTAAGGATAGACTAAAAAATATTTCATAAGATACCCTTCACTGTTCTCCAGAAGAAAATATAATTCATTATAATGTAAATACACAGCAGCTATTTATAGCTGTATATTAAATAGAGTATATATTTATAGCTGAATATTAGAGTATATATTTATAGCAGTATATTAAATAGAGTATATATTTATATACTCTATTTAATACTATACCTGTCTAGGAAAATCTAATCTAATGTGACTATTAGAAAGTCAGACACTGCAAATCTTAATAAAGACTCAGTAATACAATTAAGTGGCTATAATATGCTATATGTACTATCTAGGCAAATCCAACTTTTGGGGGGAGAGTCAAACTTCTGGTATTAAATAATTTTCCAAAGAATGGATTAAGATACTAAAATTTTAAAAAGTGAGTTGGCAAAGATTATAAAACATTTATTTTTAAGGCGAAGGTCAAAATTTACATATGAATTTAGGTCTCCTGTGTCATAATCCTAGATACTCTATGCATCTGGCCCAGTAGTACTATAATCTAAAACCAAATACAATTGCTATATTTCATACCAGTGCCAACAAGCAAGAATTCAAAAATCAGAATTTTAAAAATTATACAAGCCCCAGCTAGTGTAGCTCAGTGGATTGGCCTGTGAATCAAGCCACCGTGGTTCGATTCCCAGTCAGGGCACATGCCTGGGTTGCAGGCCAGTTCCCAGCAGGGGATGCAGGAGAGGCAACCATACGTTGATGTGTCTCTCCCTCTCTCCTTCCCTTCCCCTCTAAAGATAAATAAATACAATCTTAAAAAAAACCTTAACACATATTGAAAAAAATTATACAAGCATTAGTAAAGAAGGCAAATTCAGTACTTACAGTTGTGTTGGAACCACTGTACCATACGAGGACCACAGAGTTAGATCACAAAGCAAGCAGCCTTGAATAATTAATTTTCCTTTCCATGGAGAGATGAGGACTTTAAGAAACAAGGGTAAGGAAAAAATGAGTGATTTTATTTATGAACAAAATAGTTACTTTAAAAAACTTAAAAGAATCAATTAAATAATTCCTTACCATTTTCACTGAGTTCAAGCCTAGGAAAAAAAAAGAAGCAATTTTGTAAGAGCAAAGTAAACAAATAAGTAAAACAAAGTATGTACATATAATTACATACCTGCTTTTATGAGCTGGTGCTGCCATCTTTATAGGCTCTCTGTACTGAAAAGCGACAATTACATAAGGATGAATCTGTCTAGGTCTCTCAGTAACCCTGCTGCCCGAAACTTCATACAGGTAATACTGAAAGAAAAAGAATTATAATCAGGGTAGCACTACAGTATTCCATACGTACCAAGCTGATGGCAACCTACCCAGTCCTGAAACTGAACACATTAGACACAGAAATGTACCTTGAAAATGATTTATACCTGACTCAGTTCAAAGGCGCGAAAATGACTTGTCTTGCGAGAAACCTTGTTAGTATTTGCAGCCACGTGGCAATCATAGCCAGAAGATGGGCTAATATAGTTAGCTGTGTAATTCTCAGACACAAACTTGACTTTTCCCTAGAATGAAAATATTATAACTAATCAGATGTATTCAAATAGCAATGACCTTACTTTAGGATTAATTTACAAGTAGCTGAATAAAGATTTGGATGTATATGAACTAACAATTAACTGTGTTAAAAGTCAGAACTATAGTTCCTGGAAAATTATCTTTAAGATCAACAATAGTTTTAATTATTCATGAATCCCTTAAAATTGTATTTAAAAATTGGATGCTTGGGCATCTGAGGCAGCTGTCCACTTTTTTATTTTTAATTGTACTTTCTTCCATTACCAGTTAGTCCTCTTATTACGGTGTCCCAACCCCCGTAATCACCACACTGTTTCCATGTCCATGAGTCCTTTTTCCTTTCTGCTCAATCTATCCACTTCTTTTATCACGGTATCAAAGGAATACATGAATTATCCCATATTCAAGAGAACCCTTTCTTTAAAATAAAAACTATATAGCTTGCCGAATAGATCGGTTATTCAATGACTATAAGATGAAAGATGACAAGTGAAATCTAAAATTTCTAAAGATGAGTTTCTAATCTGAATATTAAGTTATCAATTGTAAATTACAGACCAAGATACATCTATTACACCAGGACTCATAATTCATCAAGAAGAAAATACACAGTAAAGTGCTAACAGACCATTGGCTCTGATTTTTAAACAGCCAACAGTATTTCCTCTTAAAGACTTCTTTCTCAAGAGTTACATGTCTTCCAGAAAAAAACAGCAGTTGACCTTACCATATCATGAAATATCATACGATTTTTAAGGCTGTTTTGAACAACACAGTGACACAGATGGGAAAAATAAAAATATACAAAATATATACCAAAATGAGGTATGAGATTGCAACTTTCATTTTTATTTTTACAAGAATTATTTAAAATAAGTTTGTTTTTGTTTTGTTTTGTTTGTTTGCTGTTAAGGTCCTGCCTCTTCATTTATAGTACCACTGAAGGCAATTCTTTGGTTTAAGAAGCCAAAGAATGTAAACAGTATGTACCACAACCTCTATCTCCTCTCCCTCTAACATCTTACAATGTTGAGCATGGCTGGCTTTTGAGCAGTAAAGTAAGGAAGACTGAGAATAAGTAGGCAAAAACTAAATAGCAGTATCTACCAGACATGGTGGTTGGTATACAGGGGCAAGAAACCAGGGGCAAGAAACCAAGGGCAAGGCAATCTGATGTAATTAAGAAACCAAACATTTGTTATCTAAGCTGACAGGCATACTTTTTGCCGCGGAACTATAGTACTTATCATGGAACAGGAGAGGGAGGACTGAGAGAGGAAAAGCAGTGACTGTGTGCCAGTGCAATGTTACTTTCCCTTCGGCTCTTGGGGACAGATTGTGAAATATAAAGTGTTTATACTCTTTTAAAAAATCAATACTGTTAGATTTATAACCACAGAACTTAGCTAAAACAAAAGCAAAAACAGCAAAAAGACCACAGAATATGTTCTCAAAAAGTCCACCAACCTCTAAAATCAGTGCTTTCCTACTACTTGAGTGAAAATTCTAATTGCAAAACTCACTTGTATTGGACTATTAAAGGGCATTTTAGAATTTCTGACTGCCCATCAGTAAATGAGTAGATCAAAAAATATGGTACACTGACACAATGAAATACCAGAAAGGAGCCCCTACCCTCCACAACAGCATGGATGGAAGTGGAGAGCATTTGCTAAGTGAAATAAGCCAGGCAGTAAAAGACAAATACCATATGATCTCACCTATAAGTAGAACCTATTCAACAAAACAAACAAGCAAGCAAAATATAACCAGAGACACTTAAATAAAGAACAAATGGACACTAACCAGAGGGGAGGGGGATAATGGGGGAAAGAAGGGGAAGGTTCATCAAGAACATTTGTAAAGAACCCATGGACAAAGCTAAAGGGGGGTAAGATTAAGGGTGGGTAGTAGGTGGGGGTAGATGGGGTAGAGGAAAGAAGTGGTGGGAAAATGGAGACAACTGTACTTGAACAATAAAAATAAAAACAAGAATTTCTGAGATCAGTTAGTTATAGGTGCGACATGAAGCTATAAACAAGATCTGGATGTTTCAAGGATAAAGAAAATAAAGGTTTCTTATTTTGACATTTTATACCAGACAACAAATTCTGTTTTCTAAATTCATCTCTCATAACTATAACCATATTGTTTTACAAGCAGTTACTTGTTTTCTGTTATTTAATGTCTAAAAAGCAGCACTGTGAGGAGTGAAAGGAACACTTTTCATTGAATACCTTTTCTATTATTTCAAGTTTTTAAAAAATGTGTTCATAGCTCATTTGTTACATAAACAAATTTTTGTCTTTAAAGGAAAACAGAAACATCAGTTGCATTTTTGACTTTGAATAGCTGTCTTTCATGAGGACTATGTTTAGCAAATGATCTGCAAAGAACATTATCAGCAAGAAATTATACAGAAGCACATTTATGCTTTACCTTAATTAGATTAAAAATTACAACATAACCAGACTTTCCATGATACCATGGTCTTGCATGAAGACAGTCTGAGTATCTGGAAATGTATACACCTATAGAAGCATAAAATATAGATTAATTTACACTTTTAAAAGATTATTTACACATATACAATTCTCATGTAGGATGACCTTTAACTGAACAAAACAACACAAAAGATAAAGTCAACATTAAAAACTGTTTTGAAACTGCTGACTTTTTAAAAACTATTTGAGTTATTCTAAAGGTACAGAAACATTAGAGCTAAGATAAGACAGAACATATCTGGTTGACAACCAATTTTCTACTAGGGTCTAATAATTGAAAAGGGATAAAGTTTCACATTCTTGGAAAATTCTAAGTTTTTCTGTTTGTTTGTTTTTTGCCCGCCCCCCCATGCAATCATCCTGTGAAAAGATCTATGGTAATCTGACTCTCAAGTTATTTTCTGCAAAAAAATCTCAATGAGTACAATAGCCCTACCTTATCCATAGGGGATTTCATTTCAAGACCTTCAGTGGATGTCTGAAATGGTAAACAGTACTACCCCTTATATATTGTTTGTTCCTAGTATATACATACCAATGTTAAAAGTTTAATTTATAAATTAGGCACAGCAAGAGATGAACAATAATGACTAATAATATAATAGAACTATAACAACTTGTATATTAAGTTATGTAAATGTAGCATCTCATCTCTCAAAATATCTTACTATACAAGCATACCTTGTCTTATTGCTGTTTATTTTTTGTGCTTAACAGATATTGTGTTTTTTACCACTTAAAGGTTTGTGGCAACCTTTCACTGAAAGAAATCCTTTGCGCCATTTTTTGCAATAGCATTTTCTCTCTGTACCTCTGTATCATATTTTGGTTAATTTTCACAATATGAGGTAAGGTAAATGTAGTGAGTACAAAAAATACACAGAAATCATTCTTGCATTATTTATTATTGAATTATTTTACATACAATCAAATGTAAACCTACTTTTGCCCCTCTATTTCAAACTTTATTATATTTGTCATGCTTATCTGCGATGGCTGATAAATATGTTACTATTATAACAGTTTTGGGGCACCACAAACCATGCCCCCATAACACAGTGAACATAATCGGTAAATGTTTTGTGTTCTGACTGCTCCACTGAGCAGCTGTTCCCTCCCTCCCTCCCTCCCCCTCTCTCTTCAGGCCTCCCTATTCCCTAAGGCACAGCTATTTTCAAATTAAGCCAATTAATAACTCCACAATGGCCTCTAAGGGTTCAAGTGAAGAGAAGAGTCACACGTCTCTCACTGTAAATCAAAAGGTAAAAATTATTAAGCTTACTGAAGAGGCATTTCAAAAACAAAGATGGGCCAAAAGCTAGGCCTATTGCACCAAACGATTAGCCGAGTTGTAAATGCAAAAGAAAAGTTCTTTTAAAAAAATTATTTATTTATTTTTAGAGAGAGGGGAAGGAGAGAAGAAAGAGTGGGAGAGAAACATCAATCTGTGGTTGCCTTTCATGTGTCCCCTACTGGGGACCTGTCTTGCAACCCAGGAATGTGCCCTGTCTGGGAATCGAACCAGTGACCCTCTGCTTCACAGGCCTGTCTCAATCCACTGTTACACCAGCCAGGGAAAAAGAAAAGTTTTTGAAGGAAATTAAAAATGATACCCCAGTGAAAGAAAGAAATTAGCCTTACTGCTGTTATAGAGAAAGTTTTAGTGGTATGGATAGAAGAAACCAGCCACAACATTCCATTAAGCCAAAACATAGAGCAAGATCCTAACTCTCTTCAATTCTATAAAGGCTAAGAGAGGTGAGAAGGCTGCAGAAGAAAAGTATGAAGCCAGGAGAGGTTAGTTCGTGAGGCAAGATGCTGTCTCCACAATATAAAAGTGAAAGGTGAAGCAGGATGTGCTGATAAAGAAGATGTAGTTAAGTTATCCAGATCTGGCAAAGATAATTAATGAAAGTGGCTGTATCTAGGACTTTCCCAGGTAGAAGAAAATCAATCTGCAGCTTCAAAGCTTCAAAGGATGGGCTAACTCTCTTGTTAGAGGTTATTGCAGCTGGTGATATTAAATTAAAACCAAGGTGAAAATCATAGAGCCCTTAACAATTATGCTAATTCTACTCTGCCTGTGCTCTATAAATGGAAAAACAAAGCCTAGAAAACAGCACATCTTTGAGAGGGAAATAAAAGCACACATCTATACAAAACTTGTCAGTGAATGTAGACAACAGCCATTTTAATAACAGACCAAAAGTAGAAACAATGTCCATCAACTGACGGATAAAAACACATGATATAAACCATACAAAGGAATATTATTCAGCCAAAAAGGGAATAAAGTACTGGTACACGTACAACACGGATGAACCCCAAGAACACTAAGCTAAAAAAAAGGTCAGACTTCCAGCCAAGATGGAGGCATAGGTGGAAACTCTGTACCTCCTCGCACAACCAAGTTTAAACACACCAAAGTTTTAGTAACAAAACGCAATCAAAACACAGAAAATTGAACTGTACCAAAGTCCAACAACAACCAACCTTTCAGCCAGACTGGTAAGAGGGGCGGAGTCAGCAGCTGGCGGAGCAGGGTCCCGCAGGTAAAAGTAGACGGACCAACCCAAAGCGCAGGCGGCAGTTGGTAGATCCTAGGCGTGGGATTACAACAGGCAGACCCAGTGAGGACGCAAGGGGGCAGGCTGACTGCGGTCACATATTCGAGAGCAGATAAACCAGGCAAAGGAGCAAGCAGTGAGACAGACCACACAGGCTAGGAACCCAGCAACAGGAATTAAAGCCTAAAAACACCAATTGGAAACTTGGTGGGGTCGAGTTGCTGGGAGAAGCTCCCAGGCTCATGCAGAATTTGGTGGAGAGACCTACAGGGTCCTGGAGGGTGCACAGGCCCACACACCTAGGAGCTGGCACCAGGGGGGCCCAGTTTGCTTGTGGGAAGCAGCAGAGGGGACCGAAATCCAAGAGAGAGCAGAACAAACACCACTCCCCCTCTCTGACCCCACCCCCACATACAGTGTCATAACTCAGCGACTGAATCGCCCCACCTGGTAAACACCTAAGGCTCTGCCCCTCATACATAACAGATGGGACCTGACCAAAACATTATGGCTCAAGCAGAACAGCTCCAGAGCCAATACTTCTGAGCAACCGGGAGATAGCCAACCTATCAGATACACAGTTCAAAACACTACTGATCAGGATGCTCACAGCACTGGTTGATTTTAGTCACAAATTAGAGGAACAAATGAGGGCTAAACTAAGGGAAAGGAAGGGAAATGCACAGGGAACCAACAATGATGGAAAGGGAACTGGGACTCAAATCAAGGAAGTGGACCAGAAGGAAGAAAGAAATGACCAAACAGAAAAAAATACAGAAACAAGAATTCAAAAAAATGAGGGGAGGCTTAGGAACCTTCAGGATATCTTTAAATGCTCCAACATCCAAATTATAGGAGTACCAGAAGGGGAAGAGGAACAGCAACAAGTGGAAAACTTATCTGAACAAATAATAAAGGAGAGCTTCCCCAATCTGGCAAAGGAAATAGACTTCCAGGAAGTCCAGGAAGCTCAGAGAGTCCCAAAGAAGTTGGAGGAACACACCAAGGCACATCATAATTACATTAGCCAAGACTAAAATGAAGGAGAGAATCCTAGAAGCAGCAAGAGATAAGGGGACAGTCACCTACAAAGGAGTTCCCATCAGACTGTCAGCTGATTTCTCAAAAGAGACCTTACAGGCAAGAAGGGGCTGGAAAGAAGTATTCCAAGTCATGAAATCCAAAGACCTACATCCAAGATTGCTCTATCCAGCAAAGCTTTCATTTAGAATGGAAGGGCAGATAAAGTCAAATTCTGTGCTTCTCAGATAAGGTCAAGTTCAAGGAGTTCATCATCACCAAGCCCTTATTATATAAAATGTTAATGGGACTCATCTAAGAAAAAGAAGATAAAAATTATGAACAGTGAAAAGGACAGCAAACAGTTATTAACAACCACACCTAAAATAAAAGCAAACTAAGAGGACAGCTAGATCAGTAGTGAAAACATGGAAATGTAGATCACATGGAGGATTAGCAACAGGAGAGTGGGAGGAGGAGAAAGGGGGAGAAGGTATAGAGAATAAGTGGCATAGATGGTAGGTAGAAAATAGACAGGGGGAGGGCAAGAACAGTATGGGAAATATAGAATCTAAAGAACCTGTGAAACATGGACATAAACTAAAGGGGTAATGGTGGAGGGGGGGTGTACAGGGTAGAGGGGAATGAAGGGCGGAAATGGGACAACTGTAATGATATAATCAATAAAATATATTAAAAAGAAAAAAGTCACAAAAAATCATATATGACTCCATTTATATGCACTATTTGGAATGGGCAAATCCATAGAGGCAAGAAGCAGAGTAGTGACTGCTTGGGCTAAAAGGTAGTTGAGAATGGGGAGTGCTAACAGGTATGGGATTTTTTAGGGTGATAAAAATAGTTTAAAATTGATGTGTTGCTGGCTGCACAATTCTGCAAATATACCAGAAACCACAGAACTGTACACTTAAAATGGATGAATTGTCTGGTATGTGAATTTTACCTCAAAAATAGGTATTTTAAAAAAAGAGTAGCAGGAATCTAGCCACAAAGCTCAATTTTTCTCAGTCTTCATCTCCAAATTCTGTAGCACCCAACACAGCTAAATATCCCTCCATAGATCCTCTGGTTTTCTATAAGACTATTTCCTGATTCTTCATTCATTGAACTGTTCTTTGCTTTTCCTTCTACACCTCTCTCTATCCCTACCACTTGGTGTAGAACTACACAAAAGTTCTGTTCTTTGCCATCTTTTTCCTTCTATACTGACCATGTAATGGTATGTTTGGCTTCAACTAACACCACCTCCCCACCTTGACCCCCAATCTCAATTTCTAATTCCTTTTCCAATTCATTTCACCACCACTAGGGTGTCTTCCAGAAACACTTCTGAAGATCTCATTATTTCTCAAACTTAACTCATGAAAGTAGTAGAGTCCATTTACTAAGAGTTTACTAGGCTTGCACTGTGCTCACCATTTTACAGAGTCTCATGTATCCTCATAACAAATATAAAAGATAATTTTATCTGTTTTACAAATGATAAAACTGAAGCTTAAAGAAATTTAGTGCTAATCCATATACTTAACCATAAAATTACCTTTGTCTTTTATTGGCTTCCCTATCAATCTCCTCTCCTGTGTCTCTTTTCTACCAGCAATATCACTGCAGTGTAAGTTTAAATCCTTATCTTTGATTATTTCCTTTCTCTTACTCCTCACATTCCATAGTTGCCAAGTTTGGCCAGTTCTATCTGTTCTCTATTCCTACTGTCATTATGATGATGTAGAAGAGAGCCTCACTAACCCTGGATGTCTATAATAATCTCTTGGCAACAAAAGATACCTTCAGTATCTGCTCTAGTCCAACCAACCTTTGAAAACAAGTTCTGATTGTGTAACTTCTATTGGAAAACCTTAAGTGTTAGGCTCAAAGCTCATTTATATTTTAAAGTTATGATCCTAAATACTATTCATCATTAATGAAGCTGGCTTTTAATATGGGTATCCTAATGAAATAAACTATAACTTGCTTCATTATGTAAAGTAAGAAATTCGTTTTTCTTACCTTTTGCTGGGTCACCCAGAGTGGTAATAGCACTGCTGCCAATACAGAGTCCACGCTGACATACCAATTTTGCCTTTAAACAAAATATAGTACTTTGCTTATCATATAAGTCTTGGGAGAGGTAATGAAATAACACTACAATCGACAGGTTTTCAAATAAATGCAGAATCTTTACTATATATATATATGGCACACAGCAAGATTATGTAAAGCAACTGTATTTAGTTAATAGTTCAAAGTTTTTCATGAAATTTACCATTTAACAAAAATATCACCAGTTTTTAAGAGAGAATCAAAATAAATAAAAATAAATAGGATCACAGATAAGTCCTCTCTTAAAGATATCCTTTTCAAATATATCTTTGGAAATGTCTTATTCCCAAATGTGTTTTGTAGTATGAATCTACAGCATACCTTATTTGGAAGCACATGATTAAGCCAATAAGTAAACTTTTCCAGTATTACTATCTTTGTTATATACTAATATTGAACATTCTTTAAGCAAATCTACTCTTGTTCTTTAAAAATTATTAACTCAACCAGGAGACTTCCGGCCAAGATGGAGGTGTAGGTGGAAACACTGTACCTCCTCGCACAACCAAATTTAAGGACAAAAAAGATTTAGAAACAAAAACAGACAGAAAATTGAACTGTACCGCAGTCCGACAACAACGAACCATTCATCCAGACCAGCAAAAGGGGCAGAGTCGGGGACTGGCAGAAAGGGGTTGAGGCAGTAAAAAGCGGGCGGACAAACCCAGGTGCATAGGCGGCAGCTGGCAGATCCCAGGAGTGGGGTGGCAACTGGCAGTGAGGGTGCAAGGCTGCTGGCTGACCGCAGACACACATTCACACCCAGATAAACCAGGCAAAAGAGCAAGCAGTGAGACAGACCGCACAGGCTAGGGCCCCAGCAAGGGAATTAAAGCCTAAAAGCACCAACTGGAGAAACTTTCGGGGCTTGAGGTGCCAGGAGAGGCTCCCAGCCTCAGGGGAGAATTTATTAGAGAGACCCACAGGGTCCTAGAACATACACAATCCCACACACCCAGGAGTCAGCACCAGAGGGGCCCAATTTGTTTGTGGGAAGTGGCAGAGTGGACCAAGATTCGAGAAAGAGTAACAAGTGCCATCACGCCCTCTAACCCCACCCCCACATACAGTGTCACAACCCAGAGACTTGGATTGCCGCACCCTGGTGAACACCTAGGCTCCGCCCCTCATACATAACAGATGGGACCTGACCAAAACATTATGGCTCAAGCAGAAGAACAGCTCAAAGCCCCAGAGCCCATACTTCTAAATGACAAAGAGATAGCCAACCTATCAGATACACAGTTCAAAACACTACTGATCAGGATGCTCACAGCACTGGCTGATTTTAGTCACAAATTAGAGGAACAAATGAAGGCTAAACTAAGGGAAAGGAAGGGAAATGCACAGGGAACCAACAATGATGGAAAGGGAACTGGGACTCAAATCAAGGAAGTGGACCAGAAGGAAGAAAGAAATGACCAAACAGAAAAAAATACAGAAACAAGAATTCAAAAAAATGAGGGGAGGCTTAGGAACCTTCAGGATATCTTTAAACGCTCCAACATCCAAATTATAGGAGTACCAGAAGGGGAAGAGGAACAGCAACAAGTGGAAAACTTATTTGAACAAATAATAAAGGAGAGCTTCCCCAATCTGGCAAAGGAAATAGACTTCCAGGAAGTCCAGGAAGCTCAGAGAGTCCCAAAGAAGTTGGACCCAAGAAGGAACACACCAAGGCACATCATAATTACATTAGCCAAGACTAAAATGAAGGAGAGAATCCTAGAAGCAGCAAGAGATAAGGGGACAGTCACCTACAAAGGAGTTCCCATCAGACTGTCAGCTGATTTCTCAAAAGAGACCTTACAGGCAAGAAGGGGCTGGAAAGAAGTATTCCAAGTCATGAAATCCAAAGACCTACATCCAAGATTGCTCTATCCAGCAAAGCTTTCATTTAGAATGGAAGGGCAGATAAAGTCAAGTTCTGTGCTCCTCAGATAAGGTCAAGTTCAAGGAGTTCATCATCACCAAGCCCTTATTATATAAAATGTTAATGGGACTCATCTAAGAAAAAGAAGATAAAAATTATGAACAGTGAAAGGGACAGCAAACAGTTATTAACAACCACACCTAAAACAAAAGCAAACTAAGAGGACAGCTAGATCAGTAGTGAAAGCATGGAAATGTAGATCACATGGAGGGTTAGCAACAGGAGAGTGGGAGGAGGAGAAGAGGGGGGAAGGTACAGAGAATAAGTAGCATAGACGGTAGGTAGAAAATAGGAGGAGGGCAAGAATAGTATGGGAAATGTAGAAGCTGAAAAACTTGAGACACATGGACATGAACTAAAGGAGGGGAATGGGGCGGAGGGGGTGTGTAGGGTGGAGAATGAAGGGGGGCAAATGAGACAACTGTAATGGCATAATCAGTAAAATATATTTTAAAAAAATTATTAACTCAACCAAAACATTACCTTTGAATTGTGTTAAAATTGTATGTAGGTGCCAAACACATCTCTGGAAACATACCCTGCACACAGTTTCCTTCTTGCACAAGTTAGACACAAGGAACAATATGGTTGTTTATGAAACAATTTCAAGAACTGGTAACTAGAACGCTGAAAATGTTCATCTTACCCTCAAAGCTATGTCATTTATACTTGAAAAACCTCCATAAAGAGGTGAAAGTATCTTGTAAACAATGATAGAATGGAGGTATATCCATTCATTCCATTAAAAGGCATTACTGACACCTAGGAAACATGCATTAATCCAAATCTCACCATGAGAGCTTACAAATGTATCTAAAACTAAAAAGGACCTATAAAACGTTGTAGAAATCAAATCTCTTTCCTAACTAGCTTTCACACTGGCATTTACATTGTCAACAAACTAAGTAACAAAAAAAGGCAGATGAACTGGTAATTTTACAATACTTGCATAACTAAAGCACCAATATTTAAGTTTAATGATAAATCATTAATGGTATATATTAATTCACAAAATTAATGTTATACAACCTAATTCCCTTACCTGATTTTCAGTTTCAAACAGAAGAAACCCGTAAGTTTCTTGAAGTTCTTCCTGAGTATAGTTACTTGCTTTTTTTTCTTGGTAGAAAGTTCTGTACTGTATAAAAAGAGAATAACCAAATGCTACAAATATGTTATTTTGCCTTGCAAGTTCATTTTAAAAAATGTATCATCTGAATCTCACCTGCTAAAAATCTAATAAAATGTATTATTTTTCTATTCTCCAGAATAAATATATTATTATTACCTTCCAAGTGACTGTTCCCAAGGATCTTTTATCTAATCTGAAAAGTAATAGCTTAAAAGAACTTGGCTGATAAACTATAAACGATGGTTCGTTAAAGCTAAAAATAAAACTAACACACAGACACAGTGTGTACCTCACCTCATTTAAGAAAATGTCATTTTTCACCAAAGTCACTTGACTGTACTGAAAACCATGCTCAGATGCAGAGTCCAAGTAAGAAGTACGGAGAATTGAAATTGCCTTCTGGAAGACAGAGTCTGAACTCAGGGACACTGTCTCAAAAACTGTAAAACACAAACAAAAATAATGCGACTGTTTAAGATAACCAAAGGATGAGGTTCAAATTGGTACACTAAACATCACTGAAACATATTTTCTTCCTGTATAACTAAGACTTTCACAATATGTTTTTGCTATCATATCTGTACTATCTTAACTTAAAAGACCTCTCATGTGAAGAAAATAATGTAAACGAATTATGATTTAGGGGCAATTACTTTCAATACAAGAGTATATGTAGTCTGCCAGATCCCTTACGGCTTTTGGTTTAAAGCTGGGTGCTGAAATGGCAACTGGTAAAAGCAGATGTGGCTGTACTGTCAAGCTGATGACCAGCAATCACTCAGACCAATTTTTCTCATCTTTACAATATTTAAAACTTATGCCATATTTTGATAAATTCACTCTTCCCGTCTTCTTATCAAATTGCCAAGTCAGTCGTTAAGTTCCTTTTAAGGGGCATACTCAGCAAGCACATTAGATATCATTGCTATCTTTGGGGTTTTACACTCATTTAGATATGTCTATTGAACTTTACTTCTTATGGTTTGTGTTGTAAAATCACTTTTTTTTGTTTTTACAAAAATAAAACTTTACTGTTTTTTAAAGTACTTTTTTCAAACCATACCCATGTGCTACCCCACATATTCTGATATACCCTTAATCCCAGGAGAGATATGTTTCCTAATTGAGAATTGCTGACTGAATCCAGTAATTCTCTTGATGTTGAGCCTTTGTGCTGTCTGATTTTACAACTCTTCAGCAAGAACCAAGCCTAATGAATTCTCATGACGTTTAACTATTTGATTTGTTTACTCCCTTCTATTTTTATCCTCTCTACTTTCTTTAACAAGGAAGGGGAGGGTGTACAAACTGATAAATTGATAAATAATAAAGAGAATGAAGGGATTTATATAGCACTGTATGTTTTGCTCATACAGTACAAATAAGTACATTTAATATGGCTTCCTACTCTTACCAGAACACTGCAAGAGAAAATTTTAAAAAGTTAAAGAAAAAAAAAACATTATTTAAAATTAACTTATGAACAGGTAAGAAAAAAAAACTAGACTTTCACAGAAATGAAAATAAACATTTCAGTGAAATTAATCTGGGCTAAACTGTCCTAACACTTCAATTATAAAGGTAGCTTAAAATGCTTTAATAAACAAAACTTCCCTTAATGATAATAAAAGATTATAAATAGCAAGGAAAGAAAGGACGATGAAATACTTAAAAATATTTTTAAGCGGTATATTGGATCCATTACAATTCCATTTTACTTTTTCTTAGTTTCTCATTCAGTATCAGTATACCAGTGCTGTACAAAATAAAGATATTCTGAAGAGATTAAAATAGCAAAACCTGTGGTAATTAAAATTATAGCTTTGTTAACTACGTTCCTCAAAACAAACCAGGAGGCCTATGCCTTTGTAAACTCATCTTACAAATCATCTGCATTGCTAGCTCGAATACAAATCAGGATTCTTTAAAAAGTTTTTTAATTTTGGATACCTTGTATTTAGTATTTTTTTAAAAGGCAATATTCTGAGGCTCAATATTTGAGAAATATATTGTTGACGGTAACAGAAACAAAAGTTATCACAGCTTTGAAAAGCAACCTTCTATGATTATCAACTTCTCTAAATTCCACAAGATATTAATAGGTGAAGGCAGGTTTTATGTTTTAGAAGCACTAAATACTACATGTGTCCCTATTTTTGAGTGTCAATGTACAATAAACCTAAAACTGTGAAAGCAGTGCAATTAAAAAAAACCCTAACATACTGTTTCCCTAATATGTGTGGTCACAGAACACTTTATACCAGTGTGTAGAAAACTGTTTCCAATAAAGCTATTAATAAAGATAATGATTTAAAATAAACAAAGAGAGTCCTGGCCAGTGTGGCTCAGTTGGAGAGTTGTCCAGAAAACTGAAAGGTCACAGATTCAATTCCTGGTCAGGGCAAATGTGTGGGTTGCAGTCCCAGTTAGGGCGTGTGCAAGAGGCAGTTGATTGATGTTTCTCTCTCACATAGCTATCTCTCTCCCTCCCATCCCTTCTCTCTAAAATCAATAAGCATGTCCTTGGGTGAGGATAAAAAAAAAGTAAGAAAAAAGAAATAAAACTTTAAAAAAATAAACAAGGAGAAAACAAGTAGGAAATTACTTTGTGCATATATATTTTTACTTCTAAAACTATTTCTTTATGGTTAAAAATGCTTTCCTTTTAGGTCAGCATCCTCCAAATAGCAATATATTTATAAGAGTAATCATTTTACGGTTAGAAGAAAAATTATATCAAAAGCCAAGTTGTTGGAAAACAAGAGTAAAATTTAAATCTTTCATGACTTTATATTAAAATTACTTCAATTATACTCTCAGGGAAGCTCAAGTTTCCTGCTCTATAAATAAGGAGGCAGATGAGAATTTTATTGGTAAGTTACTTGACATTGTCCATTCTTACACAATGTACTTTCATTTAAGAGTCTAACTAGAGTACAAAACAATCTGAGCACTAAATAAATTAAGGACCTTATTTATGCTCAGCAATATACATGCTTTATTTACACATTCAAGGTTATCAGAATATTAGAATGAAAAAGGGATGATTGCAAAACAAAAACAAAACAAAACAAATCCCACCTCAAACAACATCTAAAAAGGTAACTTGAAAAGTGCCTGCCTGTAACATAGAAAAAGTGCCCCTTAGGGCTTAAGTGACTAATAGAGAACACACGGAGAAAATTTAAGTTCAATCACAAAGGCTCTGGAAATTGAGTTAAAATGCTTTCCTGTAGCACCTGGCTTTGGGCACATTTCTCTATTTGTGGATTCAATCTGAAAAGTTAAATCAAGCTCAACATAAAGTGGAATCTGCTATTCTCTCCTTCTCAAAATTCATCACAGAGACAGGACCGGGTGTGTCTGGTTTTGATAATTTTCTTTTAACTTCTAACAAAAGGGATCAAAAAATAATAAATCAATTTCTGATTCTATGTCACAGGTATCTTTTTCATTCTATAAACGTATGGTCTGAAATCAAATAATGAGATAAACTAATGCCAACAAAGTTCTTATAATCATTAGTCCTACTCTATATTTGTTTGCCACAAAATTGACAGAAACCAACCACTTCTACATCTCCCAGGACTTTCATGACTACATCTCCTATTTGTGAATTAAGTAACAGTACTCATCATCAACATAAACACTAAAACCAACAATATCTGCCATTAAAGGCCCTTATTAATGTTCCCTATAGACAGACTACAAACTACTAATATGTCTACATATACTTTATCTAGTCTAAGCAGGCCATTTGATAGTTGTTGAAGGAATAGCCCATTCCTTAATTATCTAGTCCTAAAATATATTACCTTTACTTTTAAGATATTAAAGAATTACCAGTTTAGGATAGAGCATCATTTGGCAGGACCTAACAAAAACTTAATAACCATTCTATTCCTTGAGATCTATTCCACAGAAATCCTAGCATAAGAGCACAGGATACATACAAGAGTGTTCCATGCACCAGTATTCATAAGAGCAAAAACAAAGATAACCTAAATTGCCATCAAAAGGGAAACTGCTGCATTGCATCTACTAGAATAAATCTGCATACAGTGACATATAAAGTTATCTTTTACATCTTACAGAGTAAATAACATGCATGATATCATGTCATTTTGGTTAAGAAAATACATAACAAATTATGTGTTTAAAGGTATACAGATAGAAATCTAGAAAAAGAGAAAACCAAACTGTTAACAGTGTTTAAACCAATGATTACTAAAATTGCGAAGTGGATAAAAGGGGAACTTACACTGTACTTTATATGTATTACTACAATTTAGGTTTTTCCTACATAAGCATGTACTGCTTCTATTTAAAGTATCCTAATTCAGAAAGTAAAATGAATCATAATTTCAAAAAAATACAAATAGGGAAATGTGGCAGTTTTCCTTAAATACTTTTTCTGTTGCAATTTGAAAACTGAATCACTTATCACTTATGGACTAATGATTATAAGAACTTTGTAGCTATTGGAAACTATAATTTTTTAAAAGTCCTCTAATTTAATATGATCAAAATTAAAATTTTAAAAGTTTTATTGATCTACTTTGAATTCATTACTAATAACTTACTGCATTTAGTTTAATACCCACTCTTTTCTGATATGAACCCTGTCTTGGTCTTCTCTAAGAGAGAATGTAGCTGGGAGGGTGGTCTTAATTCATTTTCACCAAGTATACCCCCAGAGTTCTTGACACAGTTCTGTTCTCTGTTAATGTCATAAATGCTAAAATGAAAAAAGAAAAAAATTAAATCATAAAGTGAGTAGTTGTATTTACAGCATATCTACTATATAAACAAATGTTTACTGAGCATCTAATTTGCATTAGGTACTATTCTATAATGTTTACCCCATTTGACAATTCTACAAAATTAAGAACAAAATTTGCTCTATAAGCAGTAACACAAAAAATGAAATGCCTCTCCTCCAATATATTTTTAAAAAATATATAGAATATTTTGTCTATAGAATTAAATTATGCTAATAGGAATCTCATTTGCCTCACTGGAGTGTTCAGCTTCAGTCTGAACTTGTGCCCTCTAATACTGCTGCCTAGCTTTTTGACTACTACTGACTACCTTTGTGATCTTGCTGGGGGATGCTGAGATACAACGCTGACCAATAGATGTTGGACACAATTCCAGTTTGTGGAAACTGATGACCTGATTCTAAAACTTATGTGGGAATTCAAAGGAATTATAACAGCCAAAATAATTTTGGAAAAGAAGAACCAAGCTGAGGAACTCATCACCTGATTTCCAGAATTACTACAAAGCTAAAGTAGTCAAGACTGTCATGTTGGTGTAAAGATAATACCTACAAATCAATGAAACAGAATAGAGAACTAGGACACTGATTTTCAGCAACAATGCCAATATAATTCCACATGAAAAAGCCTCTTTACCACAAATTGTGCTATAACAACGAAAAACGGAAAAATCCACAAACCCCCAAACCCCTAACTAAAACTATAAAATTCAACGGAAAATGAATCATAGACAATATAAAAGCTAAAACTATAATGTTTCTAAAAAGGATCATAGAAAAAAAAACCCTTCTTGATGGTGGAGTATGTAAAGATTTCTAAAGGCACAAAAACCAGTTACCATAAAAGAAAAACTGAGACATTAGACTTTACACACATTAAAACTTTCTGATCTTCAAAAAGTATCATTAAGAAGTTGAAAATATTTGAGAAGGACTTGTGTCCAAAATATATAAACAACTCTTAGACATACTTCACAAAAGACATAAAAAACTACACAGGAAAATGGCAAACATTATTAGTTGTCAGAGAAGTGCTAGTTAAAACAATAAAACAGTATTCACCCACTAGAATGACTAAAATTAAAAAGACAGAAAATGCTAAGTATTGATAAGGATGAGGAACAACTTGAACTCTCATACATTCCTGATAGAAATATGAAGTTGTATAGTCAATTGGGAAAATAGTTTTGCAATTAAACATACCCTTACTATACTGCCCAGAAATTATATTCCTAGGTAATAACCCAAGAGAAATGAAACATACGCCTGCATATGAATGTTCTGTACATGAATGGGGCAGCATTATTCATAGTAGGCTACAACTAGAAATGACCTAAATGTTTATCAGTAGGTGGGTGGATAAACAAATATGGTACATTCATGTAATATACTGGTACTCGGCAATAAAAAAGCAAATCTGTTGATACATGCATGAACCTCAAAAACATTAAACTACGTAAAATAAGTCAGACCTAAAAGAGCACACACTGTAGGATTCCGTTTATATGAAATTCTAGAATAAAACTAATCTGTAGTGATAAAAATCATACCAGTGGTTGCCTGGGGTAGAGGACAGAAATACAGAAACGGACTATGAGTGAGGCAGGCACAAGAGAACTTTCTAGAGTCTCACTGAACTACATACTTAAAATGTGTTCAAGTACTAAATATTGATTCTATACAGAACATTCTTTGACTAACATCCAGGAAAATTACAATGCAACCATAAAAAATTAATCTCAAGAGCGCATGTTTGGAATTGAAGCAAAACCTTTGAAAAAATCAATGAACTAAAGAGTGAATCCAAGAACTTAAAAAATAGAGAAACAGTAAATTCAAAGAAAATAAGGGAAGAAAATAAATAATAAAATCTGAAATAAACAGAAGAAAAAAACCACAGTGCAGGGTCAAATAAAAGATTATTTGAAAAAATAATGTATCTTCAAATCATTATTCTTTTACAGATTTTAAAGGAGGGAGAAAGAGATGGAGAGAAACATCAATGTGTGGCTGCCTGTCTTGCACCCCCTACTGGGAACCTGGCCCACAACCCAGGCATGTGCTCTGACAGGAATTGAACCAGCGACCCTTTGGTTCACAGGCTGGCACTCAATCTACTGAGCCACACCAGCCGGGGCTTATAAAATTATTTTCTAAAAAGGCACATAAAACATTAGAAATAAAAAAGGTGTGATTTATACATACTACAAACATGAAAAAATAATAGAAATAATTATATGACAAAATGTGAATTGGTAACATGAAAGAATTCCCTAGAATACAATTTATCAAACCCTACCTAAGAAAATTAGGGAACTAGAATATACCTATCAATGTTAAGTAACTGATAACAGTTGTTTAATTGCTATAGGCATATAATTGTCAGGCACAGAAATTTTTTCAAAATAAAATTTTTTCTCAAGAACAGGAAACAGAAAAATCTTATTTTATAAGGCTAGCCTAACCTTGATAGGGAAACCAGAAAAGAACAGCTGACCCAGCAATTCCACTTCTGGGTTTTTATCCAAAGAAAATGAAACCACTATTTGGAAATCATATATGTACCCCTATATTCACTGTAGCATTATTTACAGTAGTTAAGATATGGAAGCAACCTAGGTGCCCAATGATAGATGAATGGATAAGAGGTGATATATATACGCACAATGGAACAGTACACAGCAATAAAAAAATGAAATCTTATTTGTGACAAAATGAATGACCTAGGCAAGGGTGTCCGACCTTTTGGCGTCTCTCTAGGCCAGACTGGAAGAAGAAAGAGTTGTCTTGGGCCACACACTACATAGGCAAACATAAACAAACACTGATAAGCAAAAAAAAGGTGTTAAGTAAATTTACAATTTTGTGCTGGCCTGCATTCATAATCATCCGGGGCTGCTACAGGCTGCAGGGTGGACAACCAAGTCCTAGAGTGTATTATGCTAAGTGAAGTCAGGTAGAAAAGAGACATACTCTATGGTTTCACTTATATTAGGAATCTTAAAATAAAACAAACAAAACAAGTACAGTCACATAGAAACAGAGACCAAAGGAATAGTTACCAGAAGAGAGGGGATGAAAAGGGGAAGGACAGATAAGTAACTAGAATTAGTGGGGTAATCATATTGTGAAGTATAAAAATGCTGAATCACTATATTGTACACCTGAAACTAATATAGCCAATACAAGATTGTATGCTTAAATTAAAAAATTAATTTATAAAGTATAAGCCCTGGCTAGATGGCTCAGTTGGTTGGGGATTGTCTCATACTCCCAAAAGTTGCAGGCCTGATTTCTGGTCAGGACCCATACATACCTGGGTTTCAGATTCAATCCCTGGTAAGGATGTAAATGGGAGCAACTGATTGGTATTTCCCTTACACTGATGTTTCTTTCTCTCTTTCCTACACCTCTCCTCTCTCTCTAAAATCAGTGAATATGTCCTTTGTGTAAGGATTAAAAATATGAAGTATAAAAAAAATTTTTAAGCAACGTCACCAACAAAAATAGATACTGTAACATAAAAAGTACTTCCTTTAAAGTTAGAAAGACAGTAATCTCTAGTAATACCTTCTAATTAATTCTAGGTTTTTAGTAGTCAATTCCTTGACTGAAATTTCCCTTCTCATTTACTGATCAACTAGTTTGTCTTTCATGTGTTTCCTCAAGAAACACTTATATAAAAAAGACCTGAAGCACTGAATGTTCAAAACGACCCATCAATAGTTATTATACCCAAAGGCCAGCTTAGCAGGACCAAAAAAAAAAAAAAAAAAACCCTTGGCTCATTTTTCCTTGAGTATCTTGCATGTGGTTCATCAGTTTTCTGGTATTGTGTTCTGCCACCAACTTGCTTTTCTTTCCCTTACAATATGGTCTTTTGCCAGTTCAAAATTTTTTACCGTGATGTCCCAGTGCTGGGCCAGCTTTCCTTTGGAATATGACGTACCCTTTCATTAGGTAGATTCAAATATATGTGTGTGTGTATTTTATTGCAGGGTTTTGATTTTCTTCTTCAGGTACTCCAGTTTAGCATATTTTTGAACTGTTTTGGCTGTCTCCCATATCATTATCTAATTGTTTGCTTCTGAAAAATAGGTTTTTATTTCTCATGTCTTCTTTTTTTTTGTTTTTAAAAGTATGGCAAAATATACATAGGATTTCATTTCTACCTTTATGTCTTTCATATGTATCTCATCATTTATTCTTTGCTTCTGAAAGTGTTTAATCTTTTTCTTTCCTTTCTTTTCTGTTCTGCCAGTTCCCGTTTTACATCTTCCTGCTGTCCGGCTGCCTCTTTCTTGAATTCTTATATTTCTGCTTTGTGGTCTTTCTTCATAAGTTCTATGCTTCATTAATTTATTTTAACATACATAATTAACATAGTATGCAATTCACCTATTTAAAGTGTACAATTCGGTGGCTTTTAGTATATTCAGTGTTATGCAACCATTACCATTGTCATTTTTAGAACACTTTCATCTCCTGCCCCAAACTCCCACATCATTTAGCTATCCTCCTTGCCTCATTACTCCCTAACCCTGAGCCTGTGTCACTACTAGTTTACTTTGTCTCTAAAGGCTTGCTTATACTAGACCACTACATATAAATGGAATCACACAATATGTGGTCTTTGTGACCAGCTTCTTTCTCTTAGCATGTTTTCAAGGTTCATTCATATTGTAGCATGTACTTCATTCCCTTTTATGGCCAAATAACAAAATATGGATAAACCATATTTTACTTATCTAATCATCAACTGATGGACATTTGGGTTGTTTCTACTTTGGGACTATTATGAATAATGCTGCTAGGAATATTTGTGTACAAGTTTTTAGGTGGGCATATTTTCATTTTTCTTAGGTATATATGAGGTCTTTCCAGGAAAGGTCCAGCCATTGTTAATATAGTGAGACTAGTTTGCACAACATCGATGTAACCTGGCAGCCAAGGAGAGGACTGGAATGCACAAGTGGACAATGACGAATTCAGTGTACTAGTTGGTGGGGTGGTAGATACCACTGAGTATGTGTACTGTGTGGATGTTGCACTCAAAATAACTGAGTGAATAACGCAATAAATCTGCATTAAATTTTGCATTAAGCTTGAACATGGCTCTGTGGAAACTATTCAGATGATACAGATGGCCACAGCTATGGGCAACTGGTGACTGGTAGCTTCATCATAATGCGCCTGCTCATGCATCATGCCTCGGGCAGACTGTTTTGGTGAAACATCAAATAACCCAGGTGAATCAGCCCCCCTACAGCCCAGATTTGGTGCCCTGTGACTTCTGGCTTTTCCCAAAACTAAAATCACCTTTGAAAGGGAAGAGATCTCAGACTGCTGGTGAGATCAGGAAAATACAATGGGGTGTTGATGGTGATTGGGAGAACTGTGTGAGGGCTCAAAGTGCCTATTTTGAAGGGGACTGAGGCATCATTGTCCTTGGTGCGATGTTTCTTATATCTTCTTTAATAAATGTCTCTATTTTACATATTACATGGCTGGATACCTTCTAGACAGACCTTACATACAAATTTTTGTTGCTATACAGTATTCTTTCACTTATGCATTATTATTTTTGCCATACGAAATCTTAAGAACAAAATTATGATGTTCCCAAATAAAAGAAAGCTGTTCAACACAGAAAAATGTTCTGCCATAAATTGACTCAGGGAAAGAAAAGCATCTGTGCATTTCTCTGCATGCAAGCACATGTGTGTGTCTTAAAGAATATACACAATATAAACAATAGTCATCTTGCCCTGGCCGGGTGCTCAGTTGATTGATGCACCATCCCATACACTATAAGTTCGTGGGTTTGATTTCCAGTCAGGGCACCTATCTATGTTGCACGTTTGATTCCCAATTGTGGTGCATATGGAAGGCAACTAATTGATGTCTGTCTGTCTGTCTCTCTCAAATCAGGAAGTATGCCCCTGGGTAAGAATTACAAAAATAAATACATAAATAATAATCATCTTCTGCACACTTATCAATATCTGATATATTATTTGATTATCCTCCCACCAGATTAACAACTTCATAAATACAAGGAATCTGTCCTTTTTCATGCTGTATCTCCAGTGCCCAGAGTAGTGTCTAGTACACAGTAAAATTTCAATGAACATTTATGTAATGAATGAATGAATTCATTTTCCTGATCATTTCTCTACTTAAAATCCTGAAGTGGCTTCTTTTTGCCCTCAGATGCAATGCACACTCCTGCCTCAGCCATGTAAAATCTAGCCCCTGCTAACAAAGTTACTAGTAAGTTCCAGCCAGTCTACTCTTTCCAATTCAAGCTCTTTCATCTCTTCAGGCCTTTGTACTGGTTATTTCTGACTGGAATGTGTTTTCTCCCATTTTGCCCATGGCTTAACTCCTCTTCCTTTAGTATAATCTAGAAGTTATCCTTCAGATAAACCTCTGATCACCTAAAGTCGGTGTTTTCTTAAAAGCACTCATTATAACTACAATTACTTTATCAGTTTACTTTTTGGAGGGTCTATCTTCCCCATTAGAATGTAAAGTCCATAGAGGTAAATACTTTGTCTTATTCATCAAAGTCCCCCAGTGTCCAGCAGAGCGCCTAGCACCACAGCAGGTGAGTATAAGTGATTTTGCTAACATTTTTACAGCTTTATGTTATTATCATCTGAAATGTCACATAAGCATAAAATATAACCTGGGGGAAGTAAAGTTATTTTAATTTTGGAAAACAAGATCTCCCATAGTCCTAAGTAACAGCAAGTTAGTTTACTAAATGAAGACAAAGTAGAGATAACGAATGGAAATAGTACTTCCCATAAGCCAAGATAGTAATTAAGAGACCCATAAAACAAAGTGTCCCCATTAAAAAACAGAAAATACTATAAAATGAGAAATCTATGATTTTCATTAACATTTGAAAATGTTTGCCACATACAAGTTTTAGAGTTTTCTAATGTCAAGATAATCATGTACATAAAGAGTAAAACCCAAGATACTCCTTGCTGTTATGTCAAGTGCAAAGCTCATTTAGAATCAGTTCTAAATTTCAAAAGGTTATCTAAAATACTGTTAAGTCCACACACAGAAACACTGGAAGAAGTGATGCCATCTCTCTAGCAGCTCTGTAAGGGTTTCCCCACTACCATCCTCACAGAATCCAATGAGTTAGGAGCAAAGATACTCGGTAAATCTTTTAAGTACCATACAACCGTGTGTGGGGTGTGTCATCACCGGTCTCATCTCCGTGGCCCCACCAAAGTTACTCCCTAAAGCTCCCTACACACAGTTGGACACCTAATCTGTCCCTTCTACCGGTCTCCTCTGCACCCTGTGCTCTGGTGGGCAACTCACAGGCAATTTAGGTGCCCTAGGCATCAGAGGGGAGCCAGAGTTGGGGGTGGGGGCCCAGTGGCCCTCCTTACCTCATGGTGTGTGGGGGAGGGGGCTGTGCCAATGGCCCGACGGCCCCCTCCCGCCAGCGAAGGCCGGTGGGGCCAGCACCGCACAGGCACGCTGAGGCACGCGGAGGCACGCGGAGGCGTGCGGCGGCGCCTTTTAAAACACAACGATGGCTGCGGGCCGCGAGCGAGCAGGTGCAGGGGGGTTTCGTGGAAGCTGCAACGTGGTCTGAAGGCAGGAAAAACAAGCTGAGTGACTTTGGTCCTCTGTTTCTTACGTCCTCTAATACCCAAAAGTGGACTTTTAAAAAAATCATATTTTTTATGGGTGGGGGGGGGGTAGAAAGAGAAGGGGAAAAAACGTCTACAGGTTGCCATAACCTAGGCATGTGCTCTAACCAGGAATCTAACCAGCGACCTTCTGAATGGAGAGAGGAAGTACAACCAACTGAGCCACACCAGTTAGAGGAAGGTGGAAGGTTTTATTTTACAACAATTGCTCCAAGCTTCAATTTCTTGGAGGGACTGGTCTGCAGGTAACTACTAACAAGGGTCAGACTGTAAATCCCAGTCCTACTTGGAAATCCATGTCTTTTCACTTCAGGTGACCCCAAATTATTCTAATTGCCCCTATTAAGCTTTCCCATTATCTTCTAGTAAACTCGCCAGAGTCATGGACTTTGTTGTAATTTACAAAAACAGAAGGCTTACTGAATATCACTTTGGATATTCCATAGATTCCCCAAGAGATGCTGGTGACACCAGCACAAGGGGTCATGATGGGGGTGCTAATCCCTCCCACTAAGCAAAGCAGTCCCAATAAAACTCACTAAAAATAAAACTGAATGGGGAATGGAGGGAATGAAGTTATTTGTCGTGACCTAAGGACATATTTACTTTTGACTCAAGTTTTAACCAAATAACCTAAGACATTCACAATCATTTCCTGAACTGCACTTGAATTTGCAAGAGGAAATCTAATCAGGAGAGTGTGAAGAATCATTACCGCTACTGTGTTATACATACAGAAAACAGTAAAGTCTGAATTCACAAAGCAAATTACTAAAATACATACAGAACCATATAAAGTATGTGCTATTTAAAAGTAAATTCACTTTTGGTATTTACTATATCCAATGGGACAAAAACTACCTTTTTCAATTAGCAATAATTGAGCCTCAGATAAACCTCATTGGCTACAATACTGCCACTGCGCAAAACTTAAAAAATTACCGTTTTAAAAAAATATATATTTTGGGGGGATTATATTCATTGTGCAAAAATTAGTTACACATCAGTAATATGATGTTTTCATTTAACTATGACCTTCTTACTCTTACATTTAATATTCCATTTTGGAAGACTGTTTTAACCTTCTCAAAATACAATACAACTGCAAAAAGTATTTTTGCATATCAAACAGAGATGCTTATAATCTTGTTTCTGTCAAATTTAGTTTTCTGCAATGCTGTATAAAAAGTCAACAGTTCCTTCGGAGATCACACATTCTGTATTCAAAATTATGTACCTTTTAGGAGAATCACTTTAAAGTTTATAAGGTAACATTTTTAGACATCTTTATAAAGTAACTGATTTCTGTTCTGGATCCTCATCAAACTTGGTTTATTAATTTGTGCTTTAACATTAAACTATCAGTCTGCAATGAAATAGCTGAATTAATGTATTTATTACAAAGATATTAAGTAGTTTTGTCCCTGTTACAAAAAAATCCTAAGAACAAATTTCTCTCACAATTATATTTTAAGACATGCTTTGGATTCTTTTAATTATTACATATGACAAAAGAGCAAGTGACATCTAATCCATGGCGTAATGAAGTTTTGTTTTGTTTTCCCAATTGCAAATCCCCTAGACCTGTCCTATCCCAAATGCCCTGGGCAAAGAACAGGCCCATTCACTTAAGAAGGCTCACAGAGAAGTAGGGGATAACTGCAAAGCAGCTGCTTAGACTGGTCAAGTCAGGCTTCATGAGTTGGGGTTTTGAAAATTCTTTCTCCTAATGGGGGAGCAGGTGTACCCAAAAGTACTAAACAGGGTCTATTTTACCATGTCAGAGAGGGCAGTGAGTCTTCACACAGAATATCAGCCAGGGATTTTGTTCTCCAATTAAATGTCATTAAAGTATTAAGGGAAAATAGAAAGTATGCCCCAGATACATTTCTAACAATAAAAATAGTAATTTTAAGAAGAGAAGCCCAATTTAAAAACAAAAACAACCTGATGACCACTTGATATAATCAACAGAAGCAAAGGTTGGTTCTTTTGAGATACATTAGTCTTTTAGCAAATATAATGAAGAAAAACTAAAAAATTAAATATTGGAAACAAAAAGGATATAACTACAAATATAGGGAAAATATTCCTAAAGTTATAAATTATCATATACAATTTATACCAGTAAATATGAAAACTATAAAGATATAATTTATCAACACTGGTCTAAATCTAAGAAACATTTAGATAAACCAATTGTGATGGAAAAACAGAAAGAGTAATCATAGTCCTACCTCTTCTACCAAAAAAGACAAATCCTAGAGTTTTATTATCAAGTTTCACTTTTCACTTATCAGATCATCAAAAATCCACAAGATTGTAATTCATTCTGTTGGGGAGGCTATAGAAAATGAAGTGAAAAGGCAAGCAAAATACCAGCAGAAACATGTACTATAGCAAAGATCTATTTATACATTAAGACAGATAGATCAATAGAATATAAAAATGGAATTATGAATAGCCAATGAGCATACTTCAAAACACCTTCAATTTACAGAGTTAAGAAGCCAAATAATCCCAAGGAAGATAAATAAGGTATGTATTTCTGTGAGACATCAGAAAGACAAGGACAAAAAGAAAAAAGTAGCCAGAGAAAAAGATATTGAGAGACTGACAGGTGACTTTTCAATAGCAATAATGAAAACTGAAAGAAGGGAATGAGGCCTTCAATGTACTAGAAGAAAATGAGTGCCTAACTAAACTGCTATATTCAACAGAACTATCTCCCATAAATGACAATGAAACAGAAATTTTCAGGTAAACCGAGAGAGCTCATCACAAAAATTGGGAGTTCATCATCAAAAGCCCTTCAATAAAAGCCATTCCAAGGATGTACTTAAAGTAGAAGGAAAATGACCCTAGATGGATGATCTAAAATATAAAAGAAGAAATGACTAATACAGAAAACAATTTTAAAAAATGTGGGAAATTTACACAAGCAATGACTGTAAAACACAATAATTCTAAACAGGTCTCCCTCTCATGGGTAAGATATGTTTTTTTTAATTTAAGTATACGATAGTAACACTTGAATCATGAAGGGGTTGAATGAAATTAAACTTCTAAGGTTCTTATACTGTGTAAGAGAAAAGTAAAAATACAGGTTATTTTTAGATTTTGAAAAAATCAAAGATGCATGACTTTTCTAAAATTATCATAAAAAGAAAAAAGTACAGAACATCCAAACTAGTATATGAGAAAAATGGAATAACAAAAAGATTATTAAATCAATATTTAAAAAATAATCAGAAAGAGGAAAGAAATATATAGAATAGTCAGGACAAAGAGAAAGCACAAAATAAGATCAATTGTAGTTAATGTAAATAGGTTATCTGTCCCAGCTAAAACTGTTTTAAAATTGCATCAAAAAATTCCAACAGGTGCTCTTTAAGAGACATATCTAAAACATACAAGTGTGTATGATTCTACAGCTATATGGTTATAGAGATAACCATAAAGCCAAAAAATTCACTGTAAAGATAATTCTAACTCATAAGCTACAGGCAAAATGAATGAACAGAAAAGGGGGAGGAGAAACAGGAACAAAATATTCAATATCAGAAATAAGGGAGACATGCTTCAGGCAATAACAATAGTAAGAAGGCACTTTTAATGACTGTGGTAAGAAATATTAAAAATTTAGACAATATGGACAGTCATAGAAAAATCTTAGTAAAACTGACAAATTTTTTTTAAATCTGAGTAATCCTGTAACCATTATATTTTATATCAACTAGCCAAAAATCTGCCACTAGCGAAACTTCAGACTCAAGTGTATTCAATGGTAAATTCTACCACAAATGGTTATCCATGAGAAAATAAAGTTAAATTATATTCATATTCCAAACTATACATAAATATTACAAGTATACAGACATAAAATGAAATTAAAATCAAGAACGTTTGCTTATTGCAACAAACAAACATACAAAAAATACCACAAAAAAAGAAAAGGTATGTGCAACCAACTTCTAATCACACAGCTGAGATCAAATCTTCTTCATACACTTCATCCAAAACAATACACTGCAAAACTGAATGCAGAAGCAGATAAGAGACTGTAGTCACTACAGATGTTTGCAAAAAAGTAAAATAAAGCCACCTTTGTCACTAATTTTTTTCATTTTGGAGAATAGTTATTTTTCATTAAAAACTGTTATTACATTAAGGTGTAATAGGTTTATTATTATTTTTAGAGGTATCAATATGTATAGTATTTATAGTATTCATAGGTATCAATAAATATGTATTATCTTTACTGGTATACATAATATACCAATAGATGCCGTATATATTTTAAATTGGCCATTTTCAATGCCTATGATATAGTCCACATAAACAAAAGTTCTTTGGGGTCCTCAATAATTTTTGAAAGTGTAAAGTAGTCCTGAGACTGAAAAGTTTCTGAATTGCTGAAACACAGGCACATGCTTCAACAGGGATGAATCTCAGGAACATGTTTAATACAACTAATTCGCAGAATATACCATAGGGTTCTATTTAAATAAATAAAAAAAACAGGTGAAAGTACACAATATGATAAAACTGTAAAGAAAAATAAGGAGGTAATTAACACAAAATTCAAAATGAACATGGTGATGCAGCAGGGAGTACTTTGCTTCTGGGGAGAGGCACAACTAAAGGTTTCTAAAGTACCATATTTTGTTGCATATAATGTGCACCCATGGCTTTGTGTGCATTATACACGGGATTATTATTCACATGATACATAATCATTATGCCCATGTACAATATGCCTCCTTATTTTTCCCTCAAAAATTTGGGTAAAAAAAGTGAGCATTACATATGGCACAATATGGTATTTGCAATGTTCTACGAAGAGTACACATATACTTTTTTACAGTACACATAAATAGCACATTTACAACAGATATTGTAATAGAAGAAACAAAGAGACATACCTATTCTCCTAGAAGGAAAAACTCAAAAGACTGTCTCTTCTCAAATTAATCTATAAATTCAAAAGAATCACAAATAATATCCCAACAAGATTTTCTATAGAACTTGAAAAGTTGATTCTAAATTTCATCTGGAAGAAAAATGCAAAAGAAAAGCCGAAAGCTTTTTTCAAAAGAAAGTACCAAAAATATACTATAAAGCTATAATAATTAAAACAGTATGGCAATAAATTAAATGGTTAAAAGAAGAGTTCAGAACCACCTCCCCCACCCAAATAAACAAGCAAAGGATATGACGTGGACAAAAATGTTTAACTTTCTGGTTACCCAAGTAAGATAAAAATTAAAATGAGGTATTTTTAATTATTAGAAAATTAGTAACATATCAAAGAAATAATGTTATCATCCATTGCTAGCTAGCAGGGAGATTTAAAATAAAACATTTTTTGAGAGAGTAAATATAAAGGGTACAATCATTTGAGAGCAAGTTAATAGTATTATTGTTCAGCATTCTCTAAGAAATCATTTCTACAGAAATACTATCACGAGCATATGAAGCACGGTTTATTATTAATATCAGTAAAAATTATAATCACTGTAGCATCATTAGTTATAGGGGAAACCTTGAAAATAAAAATCCATTCATGGAGAAATGAAAGCTCATTCAATAAATAGATGCCTTATCTATTTAATTATTCTAGACAGATATACTACAGTTATTTACCAAATTACTGTGTCTCAGGCACATTTTTAGGTACTGGGAATTTTAATTCACTTAAGCCACTGTGTTTGGATTATAGGAGATGCTCATGATACAGCTGTTTTTAAAGACAACTAGTAACACTTGGCAAATGTTCTGAAAACACAAAATTTCAAACATTCTTCTTTGTCATTCCTACAATATTTGTGTAAAAACAGTGACTTTTTATTTTTCTCTAGTTTGAGTGAATTATTTACTTATGTACTGAACATATTGTATAATGCTATCTAGTTCTAAAAGGTGGTTTTTCAACACGGGAATATTCTTACACCAACATGGAATATCTGCTTTATTATAAACCTTCTGAGTAGTCTTACTACCAATCTCAGATCCAATAATATTACATATCATATATACACCCTTTTCCTTTTAATGGTTTTTCAGAGGAATGTTTTGGGCTCTTAGAGCGCTAATATTACTACAGTAACACCATAAACTTGTACAGCACTTAAGTTTAGAATATATTTTTACGAGCTCTAATTTTACCTTACAGGGAGAATAAAGAAGGTCTATATAAATTTTTGGATTTCAAATAGACAAATAGTGGTTAAATAAAACTTGAAGATTTTCAAAGCATCTTCCTCAAATTTTGAGGTTAATTTGCAAGTTCTCCCACAAAATGCGGCTTGGTGCCACACTCAAAAACAGATGGGTTGCGGGCACCAACCTAGCATGACATTCCTTTTGCGCTACTTCAGTTGTTCACTAAATAACCTTCCCTATGGAGGGAGGGAGGGAGGGAAGGAAGGGAGGAAGGAAGGGAGGAAGGAAGGGAGGGAGAAGGGAGGGAGAAGGGAGGGAGAAGGGAGGGAGAAGGGAGGGAGAAGGGAGGGAGGGAGAGAGGGAGGGTTGGTTCGGTACTGACATTCTCTACAGAAAGAAACTTGTGGTTCAGGATTCTTGGAGAATCTTTATAAAACTAAACAGCTAGTCCAAATCAAATGAGCAAAACTTTAAGTTATTTCTCATAATGTCCATAAAGATGGAGCTGTCCTCTGACAAGCAACTCAAAGGAAATAACTTAAACCTTCTAGACTTCCTGCCTTAAAAGGGGGGAAGATAAATTTTGAAGCCCCATACCAACCTGTAAAATGCTGACTTCCTAGCAACAAATTAAGACGTAACTGAGAACGGCCATAGGTGGTAAAAAGTGGAGAAATGAAAAAAGCAGCAAAGCCAAAACGATTCTGACAACCACCGTCCCCTTCCACCCAACTCACCCCGGAGCAGGACAAACAGGCAAGAACGCGTTAGTCACTCATCATTCATAAAAAGCATGCAAATTACAACCTGAAAAGTTTTAACTATAATAGCGAAGCTACAAACGCCCTAACAGCTACACCATGCACCTCCGTTTTGGAGGACAGGGTCTCCGATTCCTTCCAGCTGTCTACAAAGGTCCCTAAACTGAGGTCCCCACACAGGGGAAGTTTTTACCTGTTCTTTGGGCTGCCGACACCCCCGAGAATCTGGGATTATTTTTCAACTTCTTCCCCATGCTTTTATATGTTGTCCGCTCCTCCACACACGCGCTTCCTTCCTCCCGACCCCTCACGGCCAAATGTGACAAGAGATATTTTTCAGACCTTGTTAATAAGTCGTTTTTGCCTCCTTCACGGCAAGGGAGCCCTAGAGTTGTCTTTTTTCGGGACCCTCTCCACCCGGATTTTTAATGGGTGGCCTTGGTTCCCGATTAGTACAGGCTCGTCAGAGATGCTCAGGATCCACCACGTCGCAGCCCGTCCTTCCTCTCCGCCCCTATGCCAAAGGCTTGGGAAAGGAGGTCTCGGCCTTGAATGGCGGGCATAAGGCGCAGCCGAGAGGAACGCCTCCCGGCGTCCAGGCTCGGAACCCTCAAGACCCGCCGCGCTAGTCAGCCAAGCACAGTGCTTCCCTCAGAAGACAGAAAGGAACAGAACCCAAGACGCCTCGCGGCCTGAAAGAACACGTCCACTCGCAGTGACGGAGCTGGCAACCGGAAGTAAAACACACTAACCTCAGGAAGAGGGGGGGAAAAGAAAGTGAAAATTGAACTGGGGCGTACCCAGCAAAAGGTAGAAGCCAATCACTGAGGAGAGACCAACGCGCAAGCGCAGGCTGCAGCTGGCGTCCCAGCAGCGCTCGCTTTCCCCTTCTGCGCAGGCGCGATTCCGCAGCGCGCTCTGGGATTGGATAACTGAACTGGCGCGCGCAGCGTTACTGAGAGTCGTCGCGTGAGCCCGGCATTTCGTTGGATGCCGCAGAAGCCCACTCGAATCTGCCTGGATGCCACTCTGATGTGCTTACCCTGGCTTTCGGGGCTCCCTTTCCCTAGGTGTGGAGTGTTTGCCTCTGGCTTCGTGGCCCGCTGAAGTTGTCCCAGTGACCTTTGTTCGTTCTGTTCTGGTCAAAAGCGACATTTGTGAAACCTCATTCTTGTTTTAATTTAATAAATGATAAATCCAAGTAACACTTGTTTCCATTCTACTTCCGTAGTAAAATACCTCTAGAAGTTGATAATCTATGCAGAGGGCTGAAGGGACCGCAAATAGCATCAATTCTACCAATGAAAGGTATTAAATACTGTAAACACCATGAACTGGGTCCTGTGTCACATGGTGGGTATAGAAAGATTTATTTATTAAATACTGGATTGGCCAAATATCTGTTTAGTTTTTCCTCTAAAGCACATTTTTCATTTTTACAAGTAACTTTATTTATTTGGTTATGTCAGCTGTCTCTTGCTATTGGCTTCTAGTGGATAGAGGCCAGGGGTGCTCCTAAAGGTCTTCCAATTCATGAGACAGCCCCACAGCAAACATTTATCCAGACTGTCAATAGTACCAACAAACTTAACCACTTTTGACACTTCAATCATTTATAGCACCTTCTTCATACACTGCACAGATCTTTTTTTGGTTTCAGTTGCATTTTAACCTTTCTTAAAATAAAAACATAATATACTGAAAATGTTACTTATTTTCTTACATCTTCAATATTAAAATGGCTGCACAAGAATTCACTAAGTTTGATTTAAGTTTTTTTAATGCACACTGATATGACAGCTGTCATAATACAATCTAACAAAATTATTTTGAATGAAGTTAAAGACAAGCACTACTAGAGCCATCATCTGGGGAAAAAAAACTAATTGAACTTTTTGGCTAACCCAATAGCATCTTTTCCTGTTCACTGTGGCCAGATGCTGAATTAGGCGCTACAATTACAGCAGTGTACGAGTTAGACAAGGACACTTCACATAATTAAACTTATTCTAGAGGTAGGTGACAAACAGGCATAAATTACACCATCACCACCACAATAAAAATAGAATTTTATTTAATAATGTTGCTATGAAAACAAGCTGGATATGCTGGAAGATGGTGTTGCAGGCCAGGGACAGAACAGGCAGAGACATACGATCTCAATGAGAAGGACATTTCAGGTTAAACGTCAATAATAAAAACAAACCACAGTAATCCTTGGAAGTTGTGCAGGAAGAGCTTTTCAAACAGAGGATAAAACAAATGCAAAGGCCCTAGAAATGAAATTAAATGTGCTCAAGAACTGAAGAAGGCTGGTTGTAGAAGCAGAGAATGAAATAGAACAGATATTTTGAAATACACAAAACCCAAATCTCTAATTTTGTACAAATCTCTAACTTATCACAAGGCAAATATTTATGAAAATACCAACCTGGTCAAGAAATAGAACATTGTCAAAAATCCAGAAGCTCCCTCTTGTGACACCTCCCAATCAATGCCTGCCTCCTTTCCCTATTACCAAAACTACTCACTACTCTAATTTCCATTGTAATCTCTTCTTTATTTTCTTAATAGGTTTTGTGGACCCCGAGAAAGAAGGTACCTACTGAAAAGGGCTGCTGGTATCTTAACTGGGCTCAAATTTGAGAAAAAGAAAAAAAAAAAGCCTAGGAGCTGTTTCTACACGGGTACCTCTCACATAAACTACACTTCAGGGAGAAGCTTTCGCTGAACTATCTTCCACTGGACTGAAATGCTTGCCTAGACTGTTTGTGCCATCTGAGTTAGCCCATAGGAAGGAGTTCCTGGAATGCTATCTCAACTAATACTGAGTCTTCCTCATCCAACTGGAGCTGGTGCAACTATATCTCCATCAGTTTCTTCACCCATCAGCCAAAATGACTGTATTCTGACCAATCAGGACAGTGCCTTTTGAACCAATCAAACTACAAAGATTTGGAGTCCTCATTTGCATAATGACAGATCAATCCGGGACCAGGGTGTCTATAAAAGTTAGGTCCTCTCTGGCTCAGGAAACGCACTCTCCCTTTTCAATGAAGACTTTCCTTGGTGGAGCTGAAACATGGAACATCTTTGTCCCAGCAGAGCAGAGCAGAACAGTGAGGAGCAGGGCAAACTATGGAGGAGCAGAACAGAGCTGTTTAGCTGGAGAGATGCCTGGCTCCAGGGCTGCCTTATAGCTGCACCGTACCACAATTGAGCTGTTTTGCATGGAATAAAGTTTCCTTCTTCGCTGCACCTCAAATTGGGGATTCCTGTTGGCATGGAATTGATGCCACTGACCATCCCAGGACTTCATCTTTAATTTGTTTGAAATTTATATAAATTCAGTGATTTTGTACCTGGTTTCTTTGGAGTAAATTGTGAGATTCATGATTTCATGTGTACTTATTCTTTCATTTTCATTGTCATACAGGTATCCCTCACTTTCAGAAAGTCTGCATGGCGCCACTTCATTTTTATGAAAGACTTATGTTAGTACTTGTTTTCACTACAAATAAAAACCATTGGTGTACTAATGTAGCAGAATTAAATAACATGATGTTTTGGAAAGCAGAAAATACTCTTTACTTTCACTATTTCAGCTTAAGAAATGCTTCATGAGGAACACTCTACTTTGAGATAATTGGGGAAATCTGTATATGTAGGTGTGGGTGTAGCATATTTTCTTTATCCATTGTACTGTTGATAGACATTTGGGTTGTTTCTAGTTTTTGGCAGCTAGAAATAATTCTGTTTGCATATTCTTATTCTTGTCTCTTGGTGTAACAGGGTGCAGCCAAGGGGGGAGGGGCAAAAGGATTTGGAATGGGATCCAGAACTCAAGGTGTCTAGGAAATATAGAAAGACATATAGGATGCCCTCACCCCTTTCCCCCTCCCCCCACAGGTGTGAGTTTGGGGAAGGGACAAATGGAGCAGGAACATGCAGAGCTGTTTTGTACAGCCACAGCCTTGCAGCTAATCTATGGCATGGCCATTTAACCTATCTATAATCTTTAATTGGTTTCATAGATATGTTAAATAGCTCTGGCCATTCTTTGAGCCAGGGGGACGGAAGTGACTTCTACCCAAGATGTAACTGGGAGGCAGGTCCCCCAGGTTACAGCGCCTGTGTGAGAGCTTGGACAGGATTGGCTCCATGTAATGGGGCCACACCAGCCCAGACTCATGATGGCAGCCCAGTATACTTGGAAGGATACAGAATGCTGGCAGGTGTAACTGATTGTAGGAGGAGTTGGAAATGGGGGTACAGAGGAAGATTGGTGCAGGAATTTAAGACCCAGACAGGGCAGCCATTGAGAGAGCCATGCGCAGCTTTGCAGAAAGAACCACGTGGCCTCTGGCAGAGTGGGAACCCCCTGCAGCCATGTGAGAGAGAATCACCATGCACCTTTAGCAGATAGCCACCACTCGGTTTTGGCAGAGTGGTGACCCTACCCTCTCCACAGCTCTGGTGGAGAGAAGAGTCATGCAGTTTCGGCCAGAGTGCAGACTCCTGCAGCTTTTGTAGAAGACCATGTGGCTTCAGGGTACTCCCTTTGGCCAAGTGGTCTGGGAAGCAGGAGAGACTTTGCCTGGAAAATGGGTACAAAGATCTCTTGCCAATAGACCATGAGAAGGTGCCACATGGCTTTGGATTAGTTAGAGATCCTGCCTGGATAATGATACAGCTGATGGTGCCAGCGGCCTGAAACACGGACATAAGCTTCTTTTCCTGAGTTACAATACCCGAATTAGGGCAGGGGAAGAAAGAAGCACTGTGTGCACCTGTGGGTATCTTAAAGGACTTTGATATTTTAATGGGGACATTGGGTTACTACTTTAAGTCTGTGTAGCTTTAAATAAACCTTTCCTTTCCTTCTCACAAATCTCTGGCATTGAAAGATGTCTTTCCTCTGGTGGTGGACATAACGAACCTGTGTGCGTGTTTGGCAATAGTTTTTGGCATCCCTGGGTGGTCCAAATATTGCCCCCATCCCTTGGGTCTCTGTTCTGTAACATTGGTGCACACATGCATCATTATTGTTACGTGTATACCATGCTGACATGATGGATATGATAATTTAGATTTTTATTTCAACAAATATTTATTCTCTTCCCCCTTCCACTATTGGCAAAGTTTCCTTCTCTACCCCTTTGTAGGAGACTGTTCTGCGTGGCGTGGGCCCAGCTCCCACTCGGAGATGCACAGGACCCATGCCCACAGATAGGTTCTCCCATGGGGGAATCAGGCCTGCAATGTGCCTAGGCTGCTTTGAGTCTTGCTTTTTGCTAAAACTCCCTCACCCTGAATTAAGACATCAAGTGCTTATTGTAACTTCCTAAAATCCATGCTAAACCTTCCTAGGACCAGTGTAACTAGTCCAACCACTTTTCCCTTTTCATTTGCTAATATTCTCCTTCTGTGATGTGATTAGTGGCATTGGCTCCTTTGTTTCCTGTAAAAGGTAACCACCTAATGTAACCTGTGCATAGTAAATGAGGACCATCATGTAATGTGAAGAGAAACCCAATAAAGGCTGGTCATGGCAAGGTCCATGGCTTTTGCTCCCTTTGAGAGAAAAAGCCATGCTGTCCCTTTTCCTCCACAAGACTCGGTAGTCCATGTGAATGCCTCATTTCATCCATAATGATGTGGACACTGTGGGCTGGTGTCTGCATCACTTTGATATTGTTCTCAGCCATGTGATTTTTTTTGCCTG